GTGAAAATACATAATATACTACTTTGCAGAAGTCTTCGCGTAAGCCAGCCTGCAGTACAGGATAGCTAACAGATCTCACAGCAATTTTAGACGTTTGAATTCTCGTCCTAAACATTATAGCTATACGGTGCGGTGCATATTGACGAAAATCAGAAAGCGACAGTGGTAGAAAATTCCACCGATTTCATAGAAATTCAGACTAAAAATAAACGCCGGTGATCGTTATTACAATTAAAAGGAGACAGTATTGCCATAGCCAACTGTCTTGGATAAGGCTTTGCCAATGTAGCTAATATAGCAGAAAGCCTATGGCGCAACACGCAAACAGCAGAAAATACATCCCATACTTCGGCTCATACAACGACTGCACTTTCCGTCTGAATAACTTATTAGCAGGTGGGCAACAGACAATTCTGCTGTTGACGTCAGCTAATCAGTTCAGCACTTCGAATGGCTGACGATATATGCTTCAAAGGACGACATGACGACTGTAGGATTTCACTCATAGCCTGTAGCCACAGATATAAATAAGATATAAATAAGAAATACAAGCCACTATTTTTAAGTCCAAATAATCATTCAAAATAGGTACCTCCTTCAACTCATAGATATACGTAACGAATTTAACTTCTAGTGCTGCTGTTGTTGTTGTTGTCTTGTCCATATTACATGGAACAAAAGTTGCCAGAGCCTACGCCAAAGAGAGGTTGGACTTATATCCCCCCCAATTTTGAGGGAAAGCCCCTTCCACCAATCCACACGAGAGGATTTTCGGCTCGCAGCATATTTAGAGTGCCGTCATGCCGCATCGACACTATACATTTACGAACATCCATGTCTTCTACGGGATTCGAACCCTGGCCCTTCGGTACCGTAGTAGGCTCCACTATACCGTCTGGGAGACATTCAACTTCTATTAATTCAATGGTAATGAACTTCTTCATTACAGTACATATTTTTGTGCAAATTTCAACAATTATATGAAATACTAAATTACTAACAGTACTAAATATCATCCTTTATTTTCACTCAAATATCGGCGGATTTCCAGATCAAACACAATTAAAGTGTTGCTATTAGAAATTGATAAAAGTTTATAAATTATTAAGTGACATGGCAGGAATTGTTCTAGCAACAATATATCATTATCAGAAAATAAATTCTTTCAGAATTCAAGTACAATCTTCTTTGTTTATTAGAAGTATAGAATAGTATTTTTACAAAAAAAAAAAAAAAAAAAAAAACTTAATGCTATTCCGCATATTAAAGCTACGATTGTCATTTATTTCGAGTGGACTGGATTATTTAATGATGACAAAACACACTAAATGTATCTGCCTTTGCAGAGGAATACCCTCGTAGAGGGCTCTATAAGGAAGGTTAGTCTGTTTTTACATTACACATGAGATGGATCATAAAACATGAGTCGTCAGGGATTAGAATGCAAAGTTAACTACCACGTGTTTCGCAGCTTTAGCTATATGGCACATGATCGACTAAGGTGCTCATTTGTTAACAGGAATTTTTATTTTCGTATAAAATGTAAGATATCATGATTTTACATATACAGTGATGGCCAAAATTGTGGACACTTTTGGAAATTTTTATGCTTTTGAACTTTGTATGCTTATAGAAAATGTTACGTTTCGCAAAATGCAAACTTGTATATATCATTTTAAAGAGAATTTATTACTGAATTCAACACAAAATTCAATTATTTGCAATACAAAAAAAGTTATATGTACTTTAATATAAATAAAAAAACACAGTTATGAAGTGGTTTGTAATGTCTAGCTTTCCTGGCCAATCACTGTTCTTGTCCTGAGAACCAATCAAATGTTAGTAACTGCCAGGAGAAGCTGACATCATGTTTACACTTGAAACAATTCATAATTTTGCTTTGTTCTGTAGAAGGAGGACCTGTGTCTTATACACTGCAATTACAAGTAGGAATTTTTGTAAAAATTTTTAATATTTAGTCAAGAAACAATGACATCAAATAAAAGAGTAGATTGGACACCTAGAAAGAGATGTAATATTATTGTGTTACGAGAAAGTGGTCTTTCCTATGCTGAAATTGCAAGACAGGTGGGTGGTTCAGTGACTACATCTGGAGTCCGAAAGTTTTGTTTACGATATCAGGAGACAAATTCAATAAAAAACAAAGAAGGAAAAGGCCGAAAAAGGTGCACCACATCTATTGATGACAGAAGAATAAAAAGACTATGTTGCCAAGATAGAAAAATGTCATCAGCGGCCATCAGAAGTGATCTGAATGATGCTGGTGTTTCTGTCAGTTCAAGAACAATCAGAAGATTAACAGATGTTGTACTGAGAGATAGAACTCCAAGAAAAAAGCCTTATCTTAATTTTCAGCAACGGAAAAAAAGACTACAGTGGGCAAAGGAACACATTAATTGGACAGATGATCAGTGGTCACAAGTTATATGGAGTTATGAAACTAAGATATCGTTATTCGGTAGTGATGGGCGAAAATATGTAAGACGTAGAATAGGAGGAGCTACATCCTGACTGCATTCAAGCAACTGTGAAGAACCCAGTTAGTTTTATGATTTGGTCATGCATGTCAGCAGATGGTATTGGTCGCCTTCATGTCATCGATAGGACACTGAATGCCAGGAAATACATTGACACTATTCTAGAACCATAACTTCTACCTTTCATCAGAGATCTCTTTCCCAACAATGCTTCGTTTATTTTCCAGCAGGATTCTGCTCCTTGCCACACGGCCAAAATATCAAAAGAGTGGTTTCGTACAAAGAGCATTAAATTGTTGTCATGGCCAGGAAATAGTCCTGACCTCAATCCTATCGAAAATTTGTGGCACCGTTTGAAAACTCTTGTCTGAATGAATTGAGGCTATAATTGTTTCCTGGTATCATGTAATAACGAAAGAAGAGCTTAAAACTCTTGTCAGCTCAATGAAACGTCGATGTAAAGCTATAATAAAAAATAAAGGGTACCCTACTAAGTACTGATAACTCACTGCAATCATCACTATCTAATGTATATCGATAACTATCATTATTTAACTTTTTTTGTATTGCAAATAATTGAATTTTGTGTTTTGTATTGAATTCAGTAATAAATTCTCTTTAAAATGATATATACAAGTTTGCATTTTGTGAAACGTAACGTTTTCTATAAGCATACAAAGTTCAAAAATATAAAAATTTCCAAAAGTGTCCACAATTTTGGCCACCACTGTATATTAAAAACGAAAAGATCTAGTTAATAAACTGAATAAAGAACTAGAATTTATAAATAAAAGAGGGTGACAAGTAAAATTTCTATGCTATAGCAAAATACTAAATTATTATTGTTATTTTTAAATCTTAAGTAAAAAAAAAAATTTTGAATAAAAATGCATGAATTTTACAATTCATTAATTTTAAAAGTAAAATGGCAATAAAATGCATTAAAAATTTAATTTTGATAACTTTTGGTGTCGACTGAGTCAGAAAACGAATTACAAGACACTAGGGTTGGTTAAGCCTTAAATCACTGTATAGTTGAAATCCATGCAATACAAAAATTTCTTTGTGAATTTTGCATCTAGAACAGCAGCATCTAATATAAATGAAGATAGAGTCAATCTGCTTTTTGTTTAGATTTTCTAAGAATATAAGAATATTTTTCAACAGATTCTTAGGAGAAACATACAGTACTGCCAGTTATACATATAATTAGAGTTTTAGGGTAACTTCTTTTAGAAAACTAAAATTAATCAACTACTCAAAATCATTGATAAGTCAAAAACTAACTGATGAATATGGCTGTTTAACTACGTACACAATTTTCAGAACAAGAGACTTTTCTATAAGTGATGAGTTTCTATCTTTAAATGCAATACAAAATAAACATGTATATTTTTATTCATATTTTATGCTTCAGTTGTTCTAATTTTTTCCAAACTTTATTATTTTATCAATATTACACTTTTTCTATTTTAGTTGTTCAAAACCCATCTGGTCTTGAGAATTATGCTCAAATTAAACTTAAAAAATAAAATAGTTTTAAAAAAAGTCTCGACTGAAGAAGTTTGCTTACCTTTCAAGGTAAATTCTGCTTTCCGTGACTATACTTTTCCCTCTATTTTCACTTGATTTGTATTAATAAGTCTCATGTGAAATAATAGCTATCAGGTTGTAGAGACATTAGGTATTTTTGGAAGCAGGCAAGAGAGATTGAAAAATTAGCAACGGCTTCGCTGGGAATCGAACCACGGACCTCTGGAATACACCCCTGCGTGCAGACCACCACACCACGAAGGCATGCCAAGAAGGCGGGAGAAATAACTTATAAGGTAAAACCAAAATGTATTTTAAATACTAATGACATTCTTCTTATGCATGAGTATGCAAATCTTTCTAGTCTCGTTTCCTTACAAAATAAACAGACACATTGGGCTCACTTTGAAAAAAAAAAATTCTTTCAAATTAAAAAATCCAGCAGAAAAAATTTCCTCGGCTAATATTTATAAAAGAAACTGGAAATACTGAATCAGTATACATTTAGTAAAAGTTACTGGTGGCTTATTTTCTACCTAAAAACAAGAAAGTGATTAACTTATGTATAAAAAAATATAAAAGAAATAATACAAACCTAATTAACCTTAATACTATTATGGTATTAACTCTAATCTGAACAGCAATCAACAAAAGCACATTTTTAAAGAGCAAAATCTTTTTTCAACCTTATTCAGTCCAGTGCTTAAGCTCTACATGAATTAATGCCTTAACATGTAGGAAAATGAGTATAAATGTTAATCCCGGTAAAGCAATAAATTATTTATATAAATTCCCATAAAACTACATATGTTTTTGAATCAATATCAGGTATGCTGAAAGTAACTGTATTCTCTATACTGCTAATTGTAATTTTTAATATCACACTCAATGTCAAGATAGTAATTTTATTTTCTTACAAGACAAAAAAAAAGGGAAATTTCAAATACATATTTCAACATAATATCTTACCAGAAGTGTCAACTACTGAATCAAATGGTGTAACTGTAGAAGTTTTTTGGCATTTCTCCATTTCATCTGGTAAATTTACAACAACAGGATTGAGGTCTGCAAATTAGATAAAACAACAAATATAGAAATAATCATACAACTGTAAAAAAGGTACTTTCTAATAGGAACTATGCTAAAAAGTGCTATTTATTACTTAAAAAAAAGTCATGATCTGTTACTAGAGTCACACTTCATGCTAATTTATTACATCTTTAAATTACGATTATCAAAACAGCAGTATAAAATATTTACATGAATATTTAAACATATAAAATCTTGACTTGCATTAATTTATCCACACATAAATTTCATTCATTTATATTTTATTTATTAGTTATGCTTAGCAATCTTCAATCTCCAATATAATGACGATCAGTCAGGAAAGATATATAATATGTGGTTTCTTGTTTTCTCATGAGAATCATTCTTTGCCCCCAGCAGCCAGAGCTTTGCTAGGCAAACATTCCTTGGAAATGGCTGAAGCCACTGGTCATTTAGTGAATAAATGCTTCTTAACATTTCAGAGTGATTTCACATTTAATTTCCAAGACATAGCATTATCTCAAGTTTTAATTATCGTGAAACTTTAATTCCTTTTAATATCAAATCAACACTCGATTTAAAATCATTTCTTGCAAGTACAAATAGTCTATGAATCATAATGAAAAATCTTGTGAAGTATCATATGAAGATGTTTTATTGCCTCAACAATTGGCATCTCTGTCCCCCTTTGACAAAGTATCAGTATCAAATAAAAGTTTTTGACACATATGGCACTCAGTTAATCCCAGCATCTAGCATTACCCAGCTGCATGTATAACTTGTCTCTTAATATGGTGATGGCAATATTCACCTCATTCTGAAGGCCAGTGCTGTGATAATGAGTTAGTTTTCCTTAGAAAATCCTCCATGAAGGTATCCCTCCCCTTGGGCAGATAGCCTTCATGTGCTTTGCTGTATTCAAATAGCTTAACCTAACCTGAAAACCAGTTCTGTTCCGATTTTTGTGCCTATTAGACAGTAGAGCATTTCAAAACGTTACTTTTTAGCCAAATTAGCCCAGAAAAAACTGAAGATAATGAACAGAAAACGTCTTTTACCACTGATTGCCATAATATCATAAATATACCTACAATGGGCCACCAATTTATTTAAGTTAAAAAATAAGTTTCGAGGTCATGCTTAGAAGATAAGAGAATAACAGATGATCGTTATCGCATTTTCCTATTATCTCATAAAAATACAATCCAACACCCAACTAGTTCATAATGTGGAAGTACGTTTTTCAGAAATGGTCGAATTCGAATAAAAGTATTTATGGCTCATTCTCACTTATTTCCCTAATTAATAAATCATAATTAAAATTTTTTCTCTAAAAACATATAGCAATTTATATTAAATGGCTATGTATCTACTTAACTATATTTTTAACATTTTATAAATTACCTTTAAAAGGAATGAAATATATATGATCAATTGAGTCTATTAAGAATGCAGTGCATCCATTCTAACTGAATACCATCACAGTTGAATGATCCAAAAATTTACCGTCTGCTTTCAAGAAAGCTTGTTTTAGGCCAGATAGATATCAAAGCAAAAAAGGTAAAGGGAAAAAAAACAGAGAGAGAACTTCTTATAGTTGTCATTTCTCCTCAAATACTTCAATGTTATTAAAAAAATGTGTTCTGAAAATATTAAAACTACAGGAAAAAAGAAAATGGAGAGTTAGAAACGTTTTTGTACACATCTTCCTCCTTTCTCAATCAAAATTTCTACTTTCTGAAGATTGGGACAGTTTGATTCATTTAAAAATGAAACAGGATCAGAGAGAAAGAAATCTATCTTGAAACATCTGATAACCGGAAAAGACAATCTGTATCATTCTTAGGAGTGAAAATAAATGCACAAAAGTACAATGTGTGATTCTGAAAATAAAAAAAGTTATAATATGTGTTCTAAGAACTAAAGCCAACAAAAGGTTGTCATGGGAAACAGGGTTCTTCATATCACTATTCCAGAAATTATTGCAGTGATACTGCTACAACAAATCCGAATAAAAGACTGGAAATTAATGCACATTTTTATAAAAAAAATGGCTTTTAGCGAAAAATTACTAATAAAGTAAGATTACAACTCACCTCAGTTATGAAAATTTTTTCATAAAGTAATTTGTTGTGTAGTCTATTCAGCTGTTTATATGCAACTTGTTACATTTTGTCATACATATAAATATATACTATATGGCAAAATTTAAATTTTCATAACATATATGAGTAGTGCACATCAAGTATGCCCATTATGAGCATGTTACAAATTTAGTGTTCTCACTACTGAAACATTAATTTTTTATATAATTTTGAGAATTTTTATTTTTATTTATTTATTTATTTTTGATTTCATGTGATAGTTATAAATTAGAGTTTAGATAATGATAAAAATAAAATAATCGTGCTAAGTTCCGAGGATGACTGATTGAATATAATAATGTGTCCCACTTTGGTAAGTTCACCCTAAATGTAGTCTTTTAATCAGAGCATTGCAAAACTTCACAGACTACTAACAAATAATAAATAATAAAAACTTAACAAATAATAAATAAGCTTCATTTCTGAAATAAAATGTTCAGAAGTTCTAACCCAATGAGAAATATTGATAAAAAAGTATTGAAAAGCTGTGCAAAAATAACTTAAAATATAAAAAATGTTTGAAATAAGATCTTTAATACAAATGAAATGAAAGCAAATTTATACATCATTTGCAATGTGAATGCTTTCTCTCCTAAATTAATCTAAATATTGTTCTAAACAATTGAAATCTGAAAAGGAATACCACCATTAATTTTAACAAATTCTTCACAGCCTCATAGTAGAAATTACAATGGCTGAAATTAAGCCAATGGGTACTAATGATTAAGTATAATTTTAACAGCTTAATTAAACTCCTGTAAATTCTGTGACACTGCTTTTGCAATTATGACAGCAGAAATTACTATGGAATTTTAGTGTTTAATATGCGAGTTTACAGAATTGTTCCAAAAGTTTACAGAATCCTTCCTGACAATAAGAACATTTCTCTCGATGATTTTGGGCAATAATAGTTAAAACAAAGCCACTCAGCTCTCTATTATTTTGTTAGATTTGATATAATTCACTGTAGAAAGTTTTCTATCTGTTAATACGAGCTTTCTGTACAGGGGAGAGTAAATCAACAGAAAATGTTAAAAAGTTTAATTATATAGATATATTTAAATCATTCAAGGAGTTTACAAACAACTTTTAAATTTCCTTCTTTAAAAATGCTTGAAAATAAAATATACATACAAGTTATAAACAGTTTTGACACAGTTTGCTGTATATTAAAGAAAAACACTTGAAATTTAATTTAGTTTTTTTTTTTTTTTTTTTTTTTTTTTTTTTTTTTTTTTTTTTTGGTTTGTTTTTGTTTTGTTTTGTTTTAAGAAATTAAATCTTGACAAACACTGATGAGGGTTTGATTTAGTTTTGGGGTTCAGGCACAGCATCATTCATGAAGTTCTAATATATACTTCCCTTATTTTGTCTGGGAGGATTATGAGAAATACAGGTATTATGTATAGGTATTAGGTATTCTTTAAAATATTACACCTTAGATCTGGATTTAGTGGGCCTGGACAGAAATCTAGCCCAAGGCCCAGTTTGGGCATGGAATTTTAGAGACATGATTAAATATCAAAAACGAACAATATTTCAGAACTAAATATGGAAGGTAGATCCATTTTTCAAGCATGTTATACAAAGTTATGAATCCTGAGACATCAGCTACCTAAAGCATCAGTTAACTAATGCTATTTCTACAATTAAACTATATTTATCTTCTGATCAACATGGTAGAAAACTGTGCATTCTACATGAAACTAATTGGTTTGCATAGGTTTTCAAGCTATATGAGGCAAACTGCATCAAAATGCATTTAAAAAATTAAGAATTATGATTTATGATCACAAGTCAAAATTCTGAGTACATAACTTATTTCTTAAGTAATTCCTTTCATACAAATAATATTTAAAAGATGGCTCTTTACTTTTTTTTTTTTTTGCTATTTCATAAAGATATTTATAGCATAACATTCATTTGATATACTATAAAATTTCAGATGAATTTTGCTCTATATATTAACTTTAGCTCAGCATGTGCACTACAAATTTAGCTGTCATTAAAACACTAAAAAATAAATGTGTAAAATTTTGTTTATATATTTATATGAGAAAAAAATGATAGTATAAAAATCCTCTGCTATTCATATCATTAAAAAGGTTAGACTGAATTTTCTTGTGATGGGAAAAATATCACACAATGCTTGCATTTCATCTTTTCAGTATTTATATAATACTTAAAGAGCTAATTCTACTCTCCATTACAATCTGTTATCAGAAAAAATACAGAATTTTTAAATTTCTATAATATAAATGTATTAATATTTAAATAAGATACTCTCATGTTTTGAGACCGTGGAAAAAGGTTTACTTTGGATTGAATATGAATTTACATGGATATAATTAACATTTTTAACGAGAAATATTTCATATTTAGTCATGAATTAAATATGCTTGATTTATAATTAAAACCTGAAACAGTTTCATACTTACAGTATAACGTATAATAACTAGACAGGCAGCTTTAAACAGGAAAAGTTAATTACAAATTTTTTTGTAAGTAAAAATAGCACACAATAAATTTAAAATAAAATTTTTATGCTAATGTAGCACTGTGTCCTTTCATTTTAATTGGGACAATCTTAAAAATAATCTTTATTTCATAATAAAATCTTAATTTTAGAACTAAAAATGTGTTAATGAACTTGTTTAGAAAGCAAAATACATTAAAAATATTTGAAGCTGTTAACTCTAATTTTAATTATTCAATAAAAACTTTCATGCATTACATTAAAATTTAAGCTTTCATCTCAAATTTGCCTCATGAATTATTTAAAATATCGAAAAATTAATTGTTTGGGAGCTGTTAATTTACTACATGCATAGCAAAATTTACTTGCCGAAGGTTTCTATTGTGAATCTCAAGTTACAGCATTAATAAATATTTTATGGCACAGAAATTTTCATTTTCCCCATTTATCACATATGTTCAATAACACTGTTTTAAAATAGCAGTGAGAAATAGTTATTAAATTAAACTGTTGCACTTATCATTATTAATAGATTCTTTTATCAAATTTTAAGATTTTGTTACAAGTAACAGTTTTCTCTTGCTTTATATATCAGATATCAAATTCCAGACCCATATTTAATTTTTTTCTCAATAAATCTCAATTCAGTTTAAATCTCTATAATCACATACTGGAATGTGCTAGGCTATGTTAATGGATAAAATAATTTTAAATCTCACATTTAATTTAATAAATCATGTATTATTAATTTTTATGTAAATTTTGTAATTTATGATCCCAAGTTCCCTATAGTTACCACAAAATTTATTTCATACACAACTATTTCCAGTTTTGCAGTTTTTGAAAATAATATTGTTTCAGGTAATGTTTCATATGTGGAAAAAAATGCGGTTGAGGTAATATTTAAACTACATGGTTAATAAAAGTCTCCTCAGGATTTCAGAATATGTACCAAAAAAATTTGATTTATGGTAGCTTGAGGAAAATACATGCACTACTTAAAAGAGTATTACTATAATTTTGTGAAACCGAAGCAACTAATCAAAAACAAAATTTTAAAAAGCATTTCAATTTTTCCTTTTAGAAGTGCATTTACTGTTAAAAATTGAAATTCATAAAGGTAAATAAAGAAAAACTATAGTTAAAATTAGGAAAAGCTTGAAATGAAAAAAAAAATTAAGCCTTGGAAAATAATTTCAAATAATTTAAAGAAAACTAAAATGGAAATATTTTTAAAAAAATGAAAGAAATAATAAAAATAAGCTAAAAATCTATAAAATAAAACCAAACCAAACATGCAAACGTAACTTACTATTTTGTATTTTATCTTCATAGATTTTTTCCTTTGAAGAATTCATATCAGTTTCCCACCCGTCTTTCAGGAGGGAATCAGAATCAGAACTGGACGGTGGAGGAGGGGTGAGGGATGGTGGGACACTAACATGAGAGCTCTTATGAGTACTAATGTGTTGGAACATTTGGCCCCCATACCGTGGTGAGTTGCTTTCAAGATCCTCAGCAGCACTGCCATAATTGCGAACGGTATCAAATTTTGCAAGTGCACTCAGTGATTCCTGTGTACTAGGAGTATATGATGCAGGACGAGGAGGCAGAGGTGGTGTAGTAAATGTGGCATCCAGATTACTTATCTTGCTCACACGCTTTACATTATCCTTCTCTATAATAGCATTTTTTAGCATGAACTCATTGGCTCCTGGATCATCTCCAAGCTGCAGACTTGGCCTCCTTTGTCGTCTCTGAACAGAAAAAAAAAATTGTAATTTAAATCAAATTTTGTGCTTAGTTTTTTAATAAAACCCTTAAAGCTGAAATCATATTCAGCGACAAAGCAAAATTATTATGCATATAGATAATCATTTGCACTAAATCTCTCGTAATAACTTTCATAACTTAGAATGCCACGTTTCTAAGCAATATGAAAACTGCCACCTTCTACTTTGACATGCTATTCAATTTAATTAAACACTTGCTTATTCAGTTACTATTGAACTAATCATTTTCTAATAGAAATAAGTGAGAATTGCTTATTTTTAATTTTAAATAAAATAGCTATTAACGAAATCATTGCACCTTCTTTTTTAATTAAATTTTTTATAAAATTATTACCTCCCTACATAAAATTTTTTTCATTAACTTTTTATTTCCTCCTCTCTGTGCCTTTTCTGAATATTTTAGCTCTCTTTCTCTCAGTTTGTTCCGGTTTGTTTCCTATTTTTGATGTATATTTTGAAACAGAACTCTGGATTATATTTTCTTTTAAATAATGCCTTCAGTATTCCTGGACCTGTTATGATGCTACTACTTCGAAGCTAATAAAGTGCACAACATACAATTTGGATCTATCATATTTAGTGATACAATAAAAAATTACTTCAAAATTATTTTTACAACTAAATAAATAACTTCAAATTAAAATCTTTTATTTTATTATCACCAACCTAGAAGCATACAAGTTTTTCCATATTTTGAATTATTTCCGTTCTTCACAAATTTTACGGTTTTGTAATTTTTTGAAATGATAAAATCTACACTATAGATATAAAAGAATTTTCATATCAAAGTAATATTTCTTTCACTTTATATCTAAATAATATTTAAAACTTAATAATTTACAGTGAACATGAATTCTAATCCACAATGGGCAACATAATTAACACAGGCTCAAATCTTTTGTTTATTGATGTGAGGTTTAAAAAATTACTGTTAGAAAAATAAAAAATAACTTCTGATTTTTATAACTATACATTATTTATTCAAAAGATAAAAACTATAAATAGAATAGTTGTATATATACACAGGATATAGATCCTTTCAAAACGATCTGAATGGAAGATATTTAATCCCCAAGGCAGGATTACTTGAACTATATGATCAACTAGCTTAAATAACAGCAGCAACACCAATAAACCAGACACCCATTAATTCGTCAGTCCTTATCTTATAGGCATTAAACAGCTGCCTACCTTAAAACTGGAAAGCCAGGAGGTTCCCATGCTTCAAACCAGCAGTTTCCATGTTGCACAGCAGCATTATTTCAAAAGAACTCAAAACTGATTTAAATTTGCTTTATAATATGTGATTCAGTTTATTTAACTATTTATAACATGATCGTGTTGTAAAATATATTAATATTTACTTACATGTTCTAAATTTCATGTTCTTTGGATAATTTCATTTCGTAAATTTCTAACACTTTTATACAAAGAAAATTATGAGTAGGGTAGAAAGGCTTTAATTTACCAAAGTACTTTTAAACACAGAAAAAACAATAATAATGAATGTACATACTATCGTACGGATAAACTTAGTAAAGTACCGTACACTGATTTAAACAACAATTGGTTGAATCTAGATTTAAAATTCTATAAATGTCTACAGTACATTAAGACAGTTTTTAGTTACCAACCTTGATATGTGAAAAACCGGTAGATTTTCACAGAAAAAACAGGAAGTGTCAGGGAGGTTACAGCACTCAGGGGTACAATTTTTAAAGAACTCCAAATTCATTTTATAATGCATGATCTGGTTATCAAATTATTATATGATCCTGATGTAAAATATATTGATATTTTACTAGATATTTTATGTCCTCTGATTAATTTCGTTTTGCAATTTTCTTAAATTTTTATTCTGTGAAAATCCCAAATAGGAAAGGAAAGCTTTAATTTTTCAAAGTACTTTCAAATACAATTTAAATTAAATAAAATAATTAATAAACATACAACTGTGTAAATAAACTCAATAATGTATCATTTATTGATATAAAACAACACTGAATACAAACATTAATAGGTTAAATATTGGTTAAAACTCCATAAAATGTTCTACAAACATATACAGCAGATTAGGGCAATTCAGATCAAACCGAATTTAATAAGAAAAATTATGCTAAAAATCATAGAGAATAGGAGGCTGGAATTTGCACAATTTTAAGTTTCATTAATCTAATAAATTTCATTCACTACTGGGAGACATCTTACAGTCTTTCTGAAAACATAAAGATAAATATTCTTAAAAATTATTTTCACTATGATAAAACGTGCAGCATTTTCTTTAATTTTTCTGTTAGAAAATTAATAAAACTAATTTTAATATTTTGAAAACTAAATATTTTCATATGATGAAATTTAGTACTCAAAAGTTTCTGAAAGACCAAAGAAACTATAAGATTTATTTATATTTATGCACCATGACAGTTAAAATACTGTTTGCTCATGTTTTACAATTAAGTGAGGCTCATGAAATATATTTACCTTATGTCGTATTCTCCAGCAACAAGCAAGTATCACAGCCAGAAGCATTATAAAAATTACAACAACAGCAATACCAATTATTTCTTCTATGGTAGTATTCCATCTGGTAGAAGTTATTGAATTAGTGTAAAGAAGATCAGTACAGAGGGCACCAGTAACATTCAGCGAGCATTGACAGTGAAACGATCCTGGTACATTGTGGCATGTTGCACCATTAGCACATGGGTTAGCTTGGCATTCATTTACATCATACTGACAGATGTCACCATAAAACCCTCGACATTTGCAAAGGGGTCCATATGTTCCTTCTTCACAAACACCCCCATTATGACATGGATTATTACAGTACCGACCATAACCACAGCGCTTCCCACTAAGGCCTTCAGGACAGTCACATCGAAAGCTGTTATTCACATTATGGCAAGTTGCACCATTAAGGCACGGGTTGGAGGCACAGGGGTTTGTATCAATTTCACAACGCGGACCCAAAAATCGAGCGAGGCACTGACATGTGAAGGCATTTCCTGTTGCATTACAAGCACCGCCATTGGCACATGGTTGACTTCCACAGACTCCAGGATCAAAAAGAACAGCACACTGAAATTGCACATTAGCAAATCTAAAAAATAAAAATAAGAATGAGGCTTTATTTATGTTTCCGAAGCATTTTAAGCAGCATTACTTATTTTATACAGTATTACTTATTCAATGTGAAACTTATTAAAATTATTTATTAAAAATTCTTTTTGTAAGCCAAAAAGTGTGCATAATGCAATGTACATCATTAAAATGCTCATTTCATTAGCATCAATTAATTAATCTGTAAAACTATTATAAAGAGAGAATATGAACTTGAACATTTTTTTAAGATAATGAAAACATAAAAGTATAACGAAGTATTATATACTACCACATAATTTAAAGCATATAAATTTACAAAATTAACAAAGAAATTTCCATAAAATGAGGGATTTATAATAATTATAGTAAAGATAGCATAGCAGAGAACAATACAAACTGCAAATTTCAGTATACATAACAAATCTTTTCACAATCATCTTTACTATAATACATTTTGTGCAGTTTATGTAGCCTCGAATAACTTGAAATTCCATTGTTAGTACAATTGCCATTATTAATCATTCATAAATGCTGCTTTGACATTCAGAAATGTTTGATGATTAAAAATGATTTGTTCTCATAATAATGAAAATAATTTTACTCAAAAATAAACCTATTTTCACAATTAATAAACCATTTGTTTTCTCGGCAGTATTACAAAAAATTTTGCTTAATTGGAAATAAAGAAAATTTTCATTCAAAATTTACAACTAATTTTAGTAGTATTTAGAAGCAAACAATATTATAAAACTGTAACTTTATATATATGATTCAGACTGCACAGTAAGGATCTATAATGCAAAAGGCAAAGCTCAGGCTATTTATATTTTTACTTTTCTAACTTTAATATATGAGGAATTCCATTTTATTGCAAACCTATTTAATTAACTAGCACTACGCAGAAGCAACTTTGTATAATTTCAGTTAAAAGTTTAGGTATATTTACAATATTGAGAATGTAGTAGCAGATTTAATCAAATTTTTTAGTTTGAAAGAATAATTTTTGAAAATATTTGCTCTTTTTTTTTAAATCAATATCAAATAGAGGTTCGATATACAAGTATATATATATATATAAAAACTTCAGAGAACTTGTCTTATGAAATATGTAAATATAAATTAGAACTTTAAATTTCATATTCTAAGATAAACAATCATTCTTTAATCTGAAACATGAAAAGAGATGCCTGAAATTAAGTTCCATCTAAAATGTAACATTTTAAACACAAAAGTCTGCTAACCACCAACAATTTAAAAACACATAAATTTCTTAAGTTAACACTAAAATCAACACATTTTCATACACTTTTATTGAAAATTACTATCAACTATCTAAAACAGCAATAATCAAAATGTGTGGATTTACCTCCTCAGAGTTACAACATTATTTCTTCCTGCTACATGCAAGGGTAAAGATACACCATCTATTCTTATATCATCCATACAGCCAACAAATCCCATTCGAATATCTTCATATCCAAATACAGCTGGGTGGTGACGAACTTCAGCTCCAAAATAAATATCATTGCCATCTAAATTCAAAATATCATGAACTCCAGGGGCATTTCCTGATGTGCGATGGACTTTATCCACTATTACTTCAGCAGCATTGCCTCGCCTTTCAACACAGATATCATGCCATAAACCATCATTAACTTGTGGGTGTTCAACACGTACCAGGCCTTCCCCACTGCCACAATCAAAACGATACTGCACATAACCATTTACAATCTAGAAAATAATCAACAAATAAGTCATTTATTTTCAGTGGGGGGGAACACCTAATGTTGAAGAATTATTATAATAAACTGCTAAATTTACGAGAAAATACAAAGAACAAACTAAGAAATGATATTCTTAGGGTGCAGGATTAAGAGTATTTTAATAGGTAATCTTTATATGTATCTATCGTGAGGTTTTCTGGAATTCTTTGCATTAAAAGCATTTAGCAAATAAATAAATAAGTTTTAATAATTAAATGTTTTTCTTGATGGATTGAAAAGTACCTCAAAAAAGTAATTTCATATAAACAAAGTCATTAAAGCAACATAAATGCCCTAATATTGAGAATCAGCTCTCCTTATCTTATTTATTTATTTCATGAAAAGTATCAGGGAAAAAAGTGAGCTAGAAAACAAAGAAGTAAATGTGAAAAATAAATACTACAAGACAACAGAGTTCTTTTAATAAGCATATTAAAAAGTAAAAAATATTGTCTTTATGTTTGAGAAATGATGCATAATTACAGGATCACATATTTAATTCTTTTTTGTCTCTTTTTTAATATTTCCCTTCAGCTATGCATCTCTGAAATTATCAGCAAGTTTAAAGACTTTTAACTTCCACATAAATCTGAATTCAGTGGATTACCTTTCAGCTATTATTAAATTGCACACCTTTCCAAGCCCATCAACAGCAAAATTACTAAATATTTTTAGTTTCATCCTGAATTTGATTATCAACACTACAAGCAGCTTCATGATAATTTTCATATTTTTATTTATAAGCTTCTTAAATGAAAGTAGTTTCCTATGAAGTCCTCATGGAAGCATAACTTTGGGTTAAAAGCATTCTGCATACTGCCAGGTAAATTATACATATAATTACCTAACACAGCTGAAAAGTAACTTAAACACAGAAATAGAAATGTGTTACCAACAAATTACAGGCATTTTTTTTAATAATGAGACTGCATTTTATCTCAAACAAATAAATAAAAATCAGAGTCACTTGAATAAATTTTCAGTATAACTTTACATTATGTTTCTTAATATGTTATTACTTTCGTAGACAGTACAGGAAAATTTTTAAACTTATGTAACAAAAGAGCTAGTAAATGCAGTGTGGCAACATGTATTTCTTCAATTTTTCAATCTATTCAAAATAGTTTTACATAAATTACAAAATAAATAAAAGGAATGTGCTACTTCAGATACAGTTTTTCTAAAATCTAAACAGGAGCTTAAAGAGTTCATGTCCAGTTCAGAAATTGTGAAATATTTTCTAGACATTACAAAACTATTCTTTAGCTTGGTGCCGACACTTCTAATGTGGTCAAATTCAGGAAAAGAAAATAGAATAAAGCCTATACTTTCAAACCAAAGCCTAAAAATTTTATGTCCTAACCTTTATAATATAAATTTTAATACTTAGACACTTGTCTAAAAATAAAAATTATAGCAATACAAAATAGTCTAACTTTTCAATAGCTCTTAAGGATAAAAAATATACTTGATGCAACAAAACAAATGTTTAATGAATTTGTGAACAAATTAAGCAGGTTTCTTAAGTTTTAAAAGTGTGTCTTACTTCTTGGCTTTCATCCCAACTAAAAATTTATACAAATCTCAGTAAAGCATGACTAAGATTACACACTGCAGTTTCTTAATTGCAACTTAAGTTGAATCTTAGCAAGATTAGATACTGTGTACCAAAATGTTTATCATTGTTCGAAGGTTTTGCTGATGATGGCAATACTTAACTTATTACGGAGAGAAGCACCAATAAACTCCAAAATTCTGATGAGAACTACAGAAGGGGAAAATTAAGAGCCAAAAAAAAAAAACATCGAAATATCTAATTGATTGAATAGTTTTAATTGTGAATTGTTGATAGCTTAACTGCATAACTTTTCACAAGTAAGTGAAACTTTGTATCATGCATTATTTTAAGTACCACCATAAGGTACAGTTCCAATAAATTTTTAGTTACTGTTCTTTAGTTGTTTGTAAATCCTTTATTATCATGTAGATGGTAATATGTCTAGATAGTTAGACAGCTGAGATAGGTCAGTAGATTCTACATGCAAAGAATTTAGCGGAAGAATTTTACATTAAATAACAAAAAAGAATTCTGAATATTATAAATATAAAATTTACCTCTAAAATACTATAATCTCTTATTCCAGCAGCATACATCAAGTTACCAGTAGCTTGTACCGTTCGAACACTGACTGCAATGCTGAGATGTCTCTCAAGAGGATTAGTTAAGGAATAACGAGCATAACTTTTCCCATTGTATGAAATAGGATTCTTTTCTGCAAAAAAAGTTCAAAATACTTTACATAATCAAAACATGCTTGTAAAACAAATAGAGATAACTAAAGGTTTGTAATAAAATATGTATATCTACTTCACAGTTTTTATTAATAAAAATATTATGATATGTTAGATATACACAGAAATTTGAACTGGTAAAACTTTCAAGGTAGGCAACCCTTCTAGTTTTCCAGAGCTGTATAAAATATCTAAAAAACGGAAATCTGCAAAATGCAGAATACAAATCTGAAATACCTTACATTAATTAATAGAATATATTAATATATACAAAATACATTTTATATAATAATGAAAAAATTCTCACCTTCATAGCATGTACTTCCTCTACATATCTTAGTTTTATCTCGATCACATAATGGCCCTGTTTTCCCAGGAGGACACTGGCAAATATAACCCAAATCTGATGGATGTGGAAAGCATACATGATGTGAGGAACATGGGTTACGGGCACATTCGTTAATTACAATATCACAGTGTGTACCTGGATAGCGAAACAAATTAAAATATATTATATGAAACAAATTTTCATCACAAAACTGGATGCTGAAAATAATTTTTATTTCAAACATTTCTTCAAAACTTAAGTTAACTAAAATTTGTAATGTTATATCAAGTTTTACCGTATTACTCAGCAAAATTAATGTTATTACATTAATATCTAAAAAATAAAACAAAAATTGTAATTTTGAATATTCAGCATAGGGCACTGATAAGATGAATACTGTCAACATTTATTAATTCATTAACAAAACGAGCTGACCCATTATGAAGAAACTACATAGTATTGTTACAAATGCTTGAAGAGGCGTTGGGAAAATAGTTCCTAGTGAATTTAGGTACCTTTCTTGGAGAATCCTAGCTGCGAATTCCTATTGGTCTAGATGTCGCAATAGTTAATCAACTACATGTCATGATATTTGGAATATTTTTATTGCATATATGAATCTCAGCTTAAAATTAATGTTATTATGATGCAAGCACGATAATGTAGAAAAGCACAACTGCATAAAAACAAAATGAAGAATTGCATAAAGCAAACAAAATCATAATAGAGATCAGAACATTAATCTTAAACATCAACAGAGACAGTCATTCAGAAAGCATACACAGGAATTAATCCCTTTCTGATTTATTTTCTTCTTTCATAGTGTGATGTAGATCTAAATTCAAGCCCACATAGCTAATAAATCCTTACTTATAAATTCAAAATACTTTTCCTTTTTTAAGTGTTGTAAATGTATCTAATGATAATGTGCTTTTATTTAAAATGCTAGCTAGTTGATGGTGCCAGCATCAGATCCTGTTATGTACAATGTTTTCATGTGAGTGAATGGGTCTCTTTCTAACCGCCATGCCATTAAATTGTTAAAAACTAAATAATATTATCCATTAGCATATAGTATCAGAACTCAACTTATTATAACCATAAGTACCAAAATTATAACAAAATGAGAAAATTAAATACTGCTCCTTGAAAGCATCTCCTAAGGATGTAGTTTTATGCGGCTAAATCTTACCTTGAAACTAAGAATTTATTTTCCAAGCAGTTTTATGTCGTATTTAGTAACAGTCCACAATTACAGAGCACTTAATTCCATTTTTTAAAGAAATTCGCTCTTATTTCCCATAAATATTACTCAAAGGCAAAAATTAGAAGAAATAAAATAACAAAACTGTACTTTAAACAATTAAATTGTATTTTAATTAAAATAATTTAATTTTTTTACATTATGTATAAATTAGTTAATTTAAAAATTAATTAAATATCTATGTATAAAAATTTAATTCACTAAACAATAATTTTTACACCTAAATTTTTATTTTTCCATATTTCAGATGAGAGTAGAAATTATTTCTTTTATGTCAAAATTTTAATTGTCAATAATGGATGTTTCTTTCCTGTGACGTACTTACACATAAATAATTCTTCATTAATTTTAGTTTACCTTCATAGAGGAGTTGAAATCCATTAAACTTTTTATTCACTTCATATATATAAGACATTGGGAACATTAAAAATAGATTTTACATATATAAAATGTAATTCAAAAAGATATAATTATACAACTGCATAAGAAATATAACCATATTTAATGCCATATTTAATAATACTGAAATAAAGCAGATCCAATGTCATCTAAATGGAATTTTGTTGTTTAAAAATTTAATGCTAAGTTTCTGAGTCTAAACATATTTGCTCATTATTTCATACTCCAACACTAGGAAACCAAAAATATATAGTAAGAGTTGAAATTAACTGAAATGTTTGTTAGAAATTTAAAATTAGTGATTTCTTTTTGAAAAATTCACACATTTCCATACTGCAGATCTACTGTGGTATTAAATTAGATGTCACTCAAATTAATAACATGTTGTATAATTATTAATTGTCATATCAACATCTTTAATAACAAACTGCTATCTAAAATCAATATAGCCACCTAAACAACTAACAGTACTTGCCCTTTTACATAAAAAAAATAATAATAATTAATGTTTAAAAGGCTAAGAAAACCTAACTGCAATCCATAGTTTAGTAAGCTAATTTCACTTAATAAGTTGGCTGCACATGATCTAAAATAAGAATTCATAAAACAATGTATGTATCATTTTCGAAGAAAGTATGAGGAACAAGAAAGAATGCTTTTCATAGATGTCCTTTCAATTATATCCTGTCACAGTTTGGGAAAAGATTAAAAAATTCAACAGTGCCATACAAGGAAAAAAAGAAAGAAAAGAAAACAGAAAGAAAAAATAATTAAAAGAAAATTATTTTCTATTTACCAACCAAAAATAGCAGATTATTTAATATATATTCTAAAATAAACAATTCGATAATACTCTTATTTATATCAGTCCGTTATAAATTTATATATAACAAACTGTTTAGCATAGCTGTTATTTATGTACATAAGATAGTAGTAACTTTGATAAATAATAAAACCAACTCTATAGTACTCTACAACTATTATTGAGAACAGGATAAAATAAAAGAAAATCTATTATTGATAAATAATAAAACCAAAATACAAAATTGAGAACAGCATAAAATAAAAGAAAAACTATTATTAGTTACACATTCTAAATAAAAAAAAGGGTAGAGGGAACTCTATAACCCCTTCTTCAAAATTCAAAGTACTAAAACTGTTTATTTAAACAAACTGTTCTAGCTCCTTACTTACATAAAATGAAAGTTTCTAACTACCAAAATTATTCTTAACTTACCACCATAACCAGAGTTACAAACGCATTCCAGTTTGCGAACATGTTGGGGTGAAACATAGCCCAAAGACTCTGTGGTAATACTGACAACATAAGTTTCATCTAGAACAATTCGATCAACACATTCTCCATGGACACAATAATCTGTAGTGCATCTATCTTTTATTATCTGTACATAAAAAATTATTAAATAAGCTAAGTTAATTAACAACCATTAAAACATGAGAAAATGTGTAAATTTTTAGAAATTTGACTTATTTACAGAATATTGAAAAGTAATAATGCAAGGGCTATCATGACTTTTGTCTAAAACATTTCTGTAATGTAAGAAAAGCATGAAGATGATAATCAATAATAAAGCAATTATATTTTTTATTTATTTCACATGAGTTGTTTAAAAAAAGCAGTCTCAACTCTTTATATAAATAGTAGTTAATTCACTTATTTCTACAGCTACAGTAAAAATTATGTTTTTTGCAAAAGCAAATATTTATCAAATATATTAGCGCTTGTGACTCTTACGAATATATAATTTCCTTGAAGATAGTTTAATTACATAAAAAATTTAGAAACACTTATATTACATCTAACTTTAATTCAATAATATGAAAACTGTTCAGTTGAAAGAAAACAGCTGAAATACTTAACATAACTAGTACAAGTAATAAATCTGGTCTTCCGCACAGTGCCTGACTTTGAAAATGTAAAATAATTTTGCCAAAACAAAAATTATTTCAGTAAAGTTTTAGCAATGAGACAACTCAATCAAGACCAGATACCTGCCATGTTACATTTAATATTTTACATTTTGTACTAATAATCTAATAATAGATTAATCCAAACAAACCAAACTGTTTATAATTAAAAGTAAAGAATATTAAAATATCAGATAATTTTAATTAAGTTTAATACACCCTTTTTAAAATACATGCATCCTCAAAATAATAATAATTTATGTTTCATGCACCATTATGCATTACTTATAAATTTCTATGCTAAAGAAGCAAATTTCAGCTCACAGTTCTAATAATTTTTATTAATGATTTAATGTTTAATAGGCACTATATAAAATATAAAATATAAAATGGCCTATGTATATAATAAAATTATTTAATACTTATTGTCTACTCAATTTCTGTGAATAGTGTAATCAATCCCAAAAATAAATAATGAATTAAATTAAAGCAAAATTAAGGAAATTAAGAATAGAATTATGAAATAAATTTCATTTAAAATCACAATCAGCAAGTTTTTATTTTTCATTTAATTTGTTGGGCGAGAGGCACAGTTCTTTTACACAATTTATGTTCTATTAACACACATTACTTCAAAATTATATTTGCTGTGGACACCCTGAGCATTATCTTAGCATAAGAAACAGCATAAATGTTGAATTTGGTTTACAAAGACAATGAAATTACATAATTTAGATATCCCACAACATCAGTTTTTCCCCCCAGTATCATGTTTCTGTCGATATTAGTGTGAACATCTTTCAAAAAATGTAAATTAAAATTGTGTAATGGTAGGGATATCTGATACAGTGCATATACAGGACAAATTTGAAGGTACTTTTGTGTTCCTAAAGAACAGGGCATAAGAAAATATTCTTAAAGATTAACTGACTTAAAGACTAAGAGCAATGAAATGTTTGAAAGATACACCTCAGAAAGAGAAATTTGCTGGAGTGCTGTTGCAAAATAGGTCAAGTGTTACCAGAAGTCAACTTATTCGAATTCTTAAAGTTACATGATTAGTTAATTAAATTAGTTTTTCAGAACTTAATTACCAAAAAAACATAATAATCATAGCTTAAAACACAGAAAAATATAACAATCATAGCTTTATTAAGAATTTCAGTTAAAAACTTTAATTAAATAGTAATCATCAGCTGTAATATGAAGCAAAAACTACTTTCCATTTTCATCATTTTTAAATTACTTGATCCTAAAATAATTTTTTACTGCCAATGATGTTGTATATTACTTATTAAAATGTAGGTGTATATAATAATTTTGAAAAGTAATTTTCTTTCTTGTAACTATTATTTGCATTTATGAGTCCTTATAATGCAGCAGCCTTCAAAGATATTATCCACTTTTCCATTACTTTCATGATAGCCTTGAATTTGCATCACAACTTACAATTATAAGTGCATATACATACTTTTCAAATACAAAACTGCACAGTAATTTCAGCTGTAATTAAGTTTTGATAATGCAGTTTTGATGAGCTAATGAATTAATCAAAGTTTTGAAGCAAAAAATTGCTTTACTTCAAGAAAATTGTTATATGAAATTCACATATTTGTATGCAGAGGAAACAGTTCTCAGATTGAAATACATGGTAAACAGAATGTATGGAATCATTCAATAACTACTGAATTCTTATGACATTATGTTTTAAAAATAAAACTTTGCAATATATTTGAATTATCTCGTAATTGATACAGCACAAGTCCTAGAATACTTTATTTTCCTCAATGGGGTGGCTTGGGAAAGATTTCAGTGTGGCATTAATGCTCTGATCATGACTATCCATCTGTATGGATAAACTTTATTTATACATACAACTTTCTATATTACTATGTAACTTTCATTATTATCAAGGGATCGTGATTTATGATTTGATTTAAGCACAGATAGCTATGATGGATGCTATATTATACTGCATGATCAGCAGTCAACATATTGAAGCAGTTTATTTCACTAGTAAATGTCCTCTCTCCAAGTAATCCTTCTGAGAGAACTGCAACCATTTATTCTTTGTTCTCTATTACTGAAACTTTCAAAATGTCTTTAGCTACCTTTTATATCTGCATTTTTGAGGTATAAGTAAAATTAATATAAGTATTTTAATATTAACAATATTATTTATGCTAAAGGATCTCAGTGTAGCAGATATAGCACCAGAAGTTTTAGAAGATCTCTTTTTAATATGCTGTACCTTTTAAATATGGTTTGGAAAGAATATATTTTTTTACCTTGAAGGGGGAAAATTAATCATTTTTCCTTAAAAGAAAAAAAGAAAATTACGTCCAAAGGGGAGTTTTTTAACATTTTGTCTGTTACCTTTATTTATTAAATATCACGTTCTATTAAATATCACTTAAATCATAAAATTCAGTTCAAGAGCAATATCGCAAAATAATTTTAAATTGAGCATACCTTTAGAATTTCCAATGCAGAGTCTCGCGCATTGGAGATAAAAATGTTTTTTCTGTACAACGTTGCCATTGCTCACTTTGAAATCTTTGAGTTTGTTAATCAAAAATTCGCTAAAGTTTTACAGAATATGAAATCGATAATAAAACAAATTACAAATTTGGGCTTCCACATGCCCATATTCTCAGTAGGATTACGTCATTCAAAATTCGATGGCTCTATGTACAGTTGTTTTATCACAATGCGAGAAATATACATAAATTTATGCAGATTTCTAATTATTTAATTTCTTCAAATATAATGCAGAACTCTAACATTTGGTGGCAACAGTTTGAAAAGTGAAATGGGCATTTATAGTGAACCAACGTAAAATCGCAAAACGTAAAAACCATTGTCCATTGTCCTTCAGGGACAAAACCCCTTTGGACTAAAAAAAAAAAAAAAAAGGGAATAAAGAATATCATTATTTAGAAAGAGCCTTTTTTTCCTTCAAATATTTCAGTTTTTAATGGGCAAAAAGTACATATATGCACATGAATACAGAAATATGTTAACTACACAAATGATAATGTTATAAGATATTTCTTCCGCCTTCATGGTGTAGTGATCAGCACACTGAGCCGGTATTTCAGAGGTCCGTGGTTCGATTCCCGGCGAAGGCAGTTGCTAATTTTTCATCTCTCTTTCTCCAAAAATACCTAATGTCTCTACAGGGGCGCCCGAACTAAAAGGGTCGTGGATGATCTCCACACCCAGGATTTGGCGCTTGGATCCCCAAAAAACCCCAGTCATCCTATAAAAGGGGAAGTATATAAGGTATTTCTCCCGCCTTCCTAGCATGCCTTTGTGATGTAGTGGTCAGCACACTGAGCCGGTATTTCAGAGGCGAAGGCAGTTGCTAATTTTTATCTGTTTTGCTCCAAAAATACCCAATGTCTCTCTACAATGTTTTACTGTATTCTCAAATGCTGAATAATATCACTTAAGGAAGCAAGCACTTAAGGATGTCTTCTTTAATAAATTATTCCACACCAATTTTAAATATAGCAGTTACTCTTTTATCTTATAGATTCTTTTTGAACAATTACAAATTATGCACCTTAATTAAAAAATTTTATTGCAAAACATACCTTGACAACTTTCAGATTAGAGGCAGTTTCAAATAATGTTTGTTTTTCCTTAATTTTAGTCAGTAGCTGTTTTGCAGGGTAATAAACATGAGGACTTTTCCGAACTGCGAACAAAACATCAAGGTCACGGTTGGTATCTCGCTTTTCTTTAGTTGTCACTGCTTCTGCCGGCTGAATGCTTAAAATATCTATATCTTTGGTTCGAATATTTAAGGCACTGCGTAAACCATGTAGAAAATTCTTACGATGGCTTAAAATGAAATCTTCTGGAGTAATGCCCTTTAACCTCATGCCAACACTGTTTTTCACAGCTTCTTCACTAACCATGTTAACTTCAACTAAAATAACTCCATAACTTGTGAACTTTCCATCTGTCACACTAACATTAACATTATATGAGCCTACATCAAGTCCTGGCAGAGCAACTAAAGTTCCGTCTTCTCTGTCAACTGAAAAGAGTTCTTTAAAGGGAGATACAACTTCATAATGCAATTTATCATATGGATCACCATCAGTTGCATGAATACGACCCATAACTCCACCAGGAAATTCATCTCGAAAGGAATTTATCACAACTTCAAGGGGTGATATGATAGGAGGAAACTGACTCTCCTCAATAATTAGTGCAGTAACCCAAGAATCAGTAGATAATGGTGGATCGCCATTATCTGAAACTTTTAATTGCAGAACATATTTATCTTTTTTCTTGTGATTAAATTTTATAGCTGTGCGCAGAGATGCATCTTGTTGAACTAATCTAAAAGCACCATCTTCATTACCAGACAAAATTTCTAATAAAAATGGGCCAGTGTTTGGTGGAGCATCAGCATCAATAATTGTAAATTTAAGAACTGTGTAGCCAAGTGGTCTTCCTTCCTAAAAATGAACAATGAAATTTGTAAATTAAACATTTACTGAAGACTTTAGGAAATTATAATATGACAACATAAACATTAATGCATGCATATTTCAATAAAAGATAAAATTTCTATAAAAATTAGCAATATTTTTAGTGAACTACACTAAGATTTAATTACATTAAATTAAAGTGCATACTCATTAACAAATAATAGTTTTTATAAAACAGTCAGACTACCAACGAGTACCTGTATGATGGCAGTATAATTGCTCTGTGAAAACATTGGGGCATTGTCATTAACATCAGATACATCAATATTGACATAAGCTGTAGATGACAACTGAGGAATTCCACTATCAGAACATAATACTTGAAGTACATAGTTTGGTATCTATTAAAAATACAAATGTATCTAGTTAGAACAAGATAAAAGGAAACTAAGAAATAAGAAACAGTAGAGTAAAACGTTTTATAAATTGCTGGTTCATTAGTTCATGAAAATTAAAGGTTTGACATTGAAGTGACAATTAGCAGTTTTTGTGACAGTATTTAACAGTTCAACTTTCCAAGATAAATCAGACAATTAAAGAAGGTACAGAAAAAACATTAAAAAATAAAGTAGTATAAATAAAAATATTCAAGAAATGATACATAACATGCTTTAGTTTTCTTTACTAAATATAACTTATTCCCAGAAGCTGAATCAAGCATTCATTACTCTTTTAGGCTGTTGTAAGGAATAACAATCTATCGTTTAATACATGGTAGAAATATATCAGAATGGCCATTTATTATCCCTGGCACCTGTATACTGAGGCAAGGATGCCAACAGATAATAAGATAATTTATAAATACTATAGGGAAAAGGTGAGGAAAGGTAAAACATAACCCATAATGTATAATAATAATTACACATCTTAATAAAATTTTGTATTTAGAATTAAAACATTACAACATACCATTTCTCTATCAAGAGTTTTTGCTACCTTTATATAACCACTGCTACTGTCTATAGCAAAGTGTTTATTATCATCTCCACTAATTAGTGAAAATGAAAGTTGGGCATTTGGAGCACTATCTGCATCATTTGCAAGAACCTGCGTAAAAAAGGCATAATCAGATTTATAAAATTAATTCATCATCAAAAGCTCACTTCTATTTATTCTAATTAGAATTACATTGCTTTTAAATTTTTAAGGCAAGAAATTGTTACTCAGGAAAGTGAAAACATTAGCATCCTACTTTGTCCAATTAAATGATAGAAAGATGTGTTCAAGGCACATAACTATAAAATCTATTAGAGGTTATAAAAATATTCATATTATATAATTTCAAATTATACACACTTGAATTACTTGACTGCCAACTACAGCATCCTCCCTGATAATTGCACGATAAGATGGTTGACTAAAGACTGGGGCATTATCATTAGCATCAGTCACAGTGATATTCACTACAGCTTGATTGCTCAGGGGAGGTGTCCCTCCATCAACAGCCTGGACAGTTAAAAAGTAATCTCGCACAAATTCATAATCTAGTGATTTTACCAATTTTACTTGACCTGAAACAAAATTTAAATAAACAGCTAAAACTAAATTTATCTTCAAATGTACTCGCAATTTCATACAATAAATAAATGTCATTAAATGCATAATTGTTTAATAATGATGATTAATGTTTGAAGGTTACACACACACACACACACACACATATATATATATATAAAGTACAAGGAATCGAAGAACAAATTTTAAAATTTCATCATATAAATGCTTTTCTGGCTTCTATATCCCTATTAAAATTAACACCACACACAAGAATTATGAATTAGAAAAAAATTATTACTCTCTCTAAGCTGGAAAGATAAAGGTTCTAATGAGGCATTTCTACATCTACATTTTGCACCACATCTTAACATTTTTGTTTCATTGTGAAACATCGGTTTAATAAGTGAACAATATCAAATATCTATTTCCATATGCCAACAATTTTTCTACAGCTGACTGGGTAATTTTCAGCCAGGATCCAATTAAAATGCAAATACATCCACTCATTGTTGTTCACTTCCATTTGTTGATTCACTTCCATTTGTTTGACTCACTTCCATTCGTTTGACTCTTTCCATTTGTTGATTCACTTCCATTGACTGACTCACTTCCATTGTTTAATCAAAAATATCATTTTAAGTAAAGTCAATTCCAAGTATACAGGCAAAACTCTAATTATGTAGGATAACAGGAATCACATTCTATCTCAATATTAAAAAAATCTGAATAAGTGGGTCAATTTTTTTTTCTGAAGGCCAATTATGTACTATTAATTGTAATGCAAGGAAATAATGTTTTCATTTTCATTTACAACATTTTATTTCACCAAAGATTATCAAGTTAATATTTTTTTGTATGCCAAAAAAATACACTTTTAAAAAACAATTTTTGCTATAGAACCACAGCTAATAAAAAGCAATCAATTTCTCATATGCTACATATTGCAACACAAAAATTTCTTGCGTTTAAAGATTACTGAAATAAGCTCATCATGTTTATTTGGTAAACTTTCAGAAAAGAGGCAGTTATTATGGTTAACAAAGCTAAAAAAAAAGTAAACCAATACATAGTGTATAGCTGCTTTTCCATTAATATTTTAGAGACTACATATCTACCAAAAACTGTTAAATCAAGCTACGGTGTACAGTTGTAGAGACATTAGGTATCTTTTGGAAGCAGGAAATATGAAAAATTAGCAACATCTTCGCCGGGAATCGAACCACTGACCTCTCAATTACGCGCTGAGCGTGCAGACCACCACACCACGAAGGCATGCGAAGAATGCGGGAGAAATACTTTATACAGTTACCTAAATTATTTTAATAATTACTTAAAAATAAGCAATGCATTAAATTGTCTTATATTAAACTCAATGAAAAATTCTTCAATCATAAATAAATTAGCAAAAGTTTAAAGTTTAAAAAAAAAGTATTTTAATTTTTCTTGGTTTAGGAAAGTAATTAAGAGATTCAGGTAACCGAAGTTCCATATATATTTATCCCAGGTAACTGGAAATCTCCAATCTACAAAAAGATTATTTCTGAAATGAAATGTTCATTTTTTGAGAATTGTGAGAATTTACTAATAAAGCAAAATTTCATGGCCATAATTGAAATTTATAATAAACAAAATTCAAATTTTCAGCATGCAATTATTATTTACAGCACATATATATATGTATAAACAAACCCTGGCACTTGACATGTAGACAAGTCTGTAAATGATAATCATCTACACAAGTTTCATCGTAGTAAAAAATACTACAGTGCAAAGTCCGTAATCCGGATTTATCGGGACTTCGGCGATTCCGGATTAGGGTTTTTTCCGGATTATAGATCATCAACTTAAATCTGGTAAGATGGCATGCAGAAATTATACAATTAAAAAGTAATTTATGAAATAAAGAGCAATTATGATCTAAAGGGTATCAAAATTAAAAAAAAAAAAAAAAAAAAAGCTTAATCATTATTTGCTTACTTTAGTAAACATTTCTTTCAATGTAAGTTGTTTAAGTTGCTTCGTTTTTTGTGCTAATACTTTCTCTTTAATTCTATAAACAGACATAATTTCTTGTTCAGTTACAAAGTTCCATTGTTCAAGTCCTGTAATTGCTATGTCGAGAATACCAACTAACTTGTCAATCGAAATTTTTTCGTTTTCAATAACCTCTCTGTCACTCTCTTCACTATCGGAAGCGCGCATGCTGGCATGCGTATCGGAAGCGCGCATTAAATGTGCATGCGTAAAGCATACAAAAAAAAGTTTGTGGCTTTGTGGATTATAGATCATTCCGGATAATGGACGTCCCGATTACGGACTTTGTACTGTATTATAATAGTTCTGCGATAAAAAAAAAAGGAAGATTAAATTTAAAGATTATTTGCACATCAGATTTACTTATTGATCAAAAGCATATTAAGAATATTGAAATTTAAATTCACATACTTAAAATAACAGTACTTTACAGCACAAAATTTCAAAAGAGAATATTTCAAACACTTAAATGCAAGAGGAAGAATTAAAATTTATAATTTGTGATAATAAAATAAATTCAGAACTGGTATATTGTAAACTTAAATGCAGCTACTTTGGTTTCTCTTTACATAGAAATAAAATTGCTATTTCTGTTTTAAACAAAAATACATTCACTAACTAATTTAGATTGCAACAACATATCTGAAGCACTTACCGGTGACCGCTGATATTTCAAAAACTCCTTGTTCATCTCCTCCAATAATAGAATATGATATCTCGGCATTAATTCCAATGTCTTCACTAGTAGCATGAACAACAATGATTCCTGTGCCAACAGGCACAGATTCAGACACAGTAGCATACATCATTTTGTTCATGAATTCAGGAGGATTATCATTCACATCAAGAACAGAAATGCTAAGCAAAACCGTAGATGATAATGGAGGTATTCCATGATCAGTTGCTTGAACAGTTAAATTATACTCCGATTCTGTTTCCCGATCAAGTGATCTTTTTAGACGAACAATTCCTGTTTTGCTGTTGATTTCAAACTGTCCAAGAGGATTGCTCACAAAGGAATAACTAATCTTTCTGCTTGCACCTAAGTAAAAAAGCCATACATTATTTAGTGCGGTATTAAAGTATAATACTTCTATGATATTGAATAATAATTTAACAATATGTGTCATTAAAATTAATATGTCATTAAATGTCATTAAAATGTCATTTCAAAACTAACTGTAAGATGCCAATGCGAAAATTCACTGAATTTTCTGCTACTAAACTGTCTACTTTGAATTCCAGGCATTTCTTTTAACAGGCATTTAATAGGCAAAGGCATTTCTTTTAATAAAGAAACATTACATTTCAAAGATTCCCAACACACATTTTTCCAGGCAAGTCTGAAATAATAAATTTTTTAGAACAACCATAAACTGAAACTACATATTGCTGCCACTCACAAGTTATGTTAATAAAACATCATTAGTATTTATATAATGCTAACGTGATTCTACTTAAAAAAAATAAATGCTTAATGTCCTTCACCTTCTAATTATAATCACACATTATAGAATATATTTTTACATCATGTTGAATACCAATGCACAATATGTGGCAGCATACATTTGAAAAATGACAAAAGTTGGAACAACACATAGGATAAATAATCTTAAGTTTATTTCTCACAAATCCTGTTTGTCGGGAACCTTTATCTTTCTTATTTTATTTATTTGCATTTTAGGATACTCCCATTATCAACTGAATCCATATCAATACAATTTACTTTTTCTGGTCTTACGATATCATTAGTGAATAAAACCTCTAAAGGATAGACATGTTGAATTAAAGAGTAATTTCAAATAAGACGTTTGTATTTTTACAATCAACACATCCACCCTTCCTAGGAAGAAATCCTGTTATTAATCCCAACGCCCAGTTGATTCTTTTACTGTTGTCTGTTCCAATTACTACTATATCTCCATTGGCTATTTTAAAAGCATCTTTTTTGGTCTCTGAACGAGAAGCCATAGATATTCACTTCTGAATTGATTTCTAAAACCTCTTTGCAGATTTTGTATACATTTGATCCTTTGGTTTAAGTTCTGATGATGGACAGCATGATTATTCTTTCACATCAATGTCCCTTTTATCTTACGTTTTTGCTTTTATGCAGTTCATACATTAATTTACATGGTAAAATTCGGGTCTTATTACTGATAGTTGGATCTTTTAACGCTTTTAAACTTTTAAACTTAATCCAAAAATGAAGGTGATGTAAAAATAAAAACTAGTTTTTCGTCTTCAGATTGTTAGGTGAAAGGTTGAGAATTCCTTAACGCTTCACAGTCACTATAAATCGTCACCATTTCTTCATAAAACAATTCTGCTTAACCAACAGTTGTTTTTAAGAGGTCCTTCATCATTCATATCAACCGCTCTCACAAATCTTTCCACCAGGCTGTCTTATAATTTTATTCCAGTTCAAGAAACAAAGTAGATTAGCAGTATCAATGAAATTAGTATCTTGTCACAATAAACAGCACAGCATCTTCCTCGTCTAGCAACAAATCTACAAAAAGTCATAAAAAATGCCTCATTCACAAGTTCCAGATGCACTGCGCGGTAAACGGCGCAGATGGACAGCAGTACTCATGCAGTGCTCGTGTATAATGGTCCAGCTGCATCCAGTCCTATTGATCTGGGAAGAAAAAAAAAAAAAAAAAAAACGGCGTCTTGAACACTTGAACATGATTTTGTGGTAACGGTTTAGGATCAACTTCCAGCTTCTTTGAAGAGAATATGCGTCATTTGTAGTTTCTTTGAAGTTACAAAAGACGCACTTTGATATGATTTTGCATATTATTTTCCACCCATTAAAAATCCAAAATATTTTGCGTAGTACAGTCTGAAAAATTTGAAGGCTACAATGGAAATTATTCTTGTGATAATGTTTAATGAACTTCAGGACAATTTCGTGATTTGAGGGTTGAACTACTGGCTTCCGAAAATATGTGTCTTTTCTATTAATAATTCGTGTCTAGACACATATCATTTTATCTTCATCTGGTTAAGTAAGCAAGCTTTTACATTTCTTATCTTCTTCTCCTTTGAAAGTTTCTTTTTGAATCATCTGGACTAATTTCAACTCAGCTTTTTTTAATTCAGAAGTTTGTTCTTCTACAGTACTTTCTCCTTTTCTGCAGACACAAATATTTTTAAATCTTAAATTCCAATCCATTAAACGATCGACTTAAGAGTATTTAGTGAAGTAAGAATAGATCATATTATACTGGATATTTTCAGTGTTAGCCAAAGATTTCTTAGATTTAACTTCTTTTTCTATCTCTTCCTCATTAAAGTCTTCCTTCAAGATGCTTCCACAGTTAAAAAAAAAAAAAATCAGTAGGTTCAGTCAACAGTTGTGGGAACCCCACATTTGAGTGACAAAAGCTGTGTCGCTGTACAGCTCCAATGTACAGTCGCTGTGGGTTCTAGTTCACCAGCTACATAATTCCATGCGGGAGGATTTTCGTATCTCTTGTAGTCGATTTCGAACAAAGAATGACCATTTCTTTTCTATATCTATCCACGCAAGTACAGTAGTTGAATCACCCCAGTAGTATAAAGTTTTACGTCCTTTCAGTTCAGTGTTTCAACTTTTTACCGAACTGAATTTAGCAGCGAGTAGTGAAAGTTTAACTGAACTTTTCCTCTTCTAAACTCAAAAATACAGCAGTAGCATAAGCATCTTTGCTAGCATCACATAAAGTGTGAATTGTGCAGTGCTTCAATTTTTTTTTTTTTTTTTTTTGTTTTTGTTTTGTTTTTTACTATAGCAGGAATCCATCTGGAAATCCGAATTTCGTAGAATCTTTAGTTCTTGAAACCACTGCAAGAACTCTTTCCTCAGATTACCCCCTCCGGGGGGTCAACGTAGAGAAGTCTGCGAAGCTTCTGGCTAGGATCTGTACTTAGGCAGTCTCGGCCACGGGGGTATACAAATTACGAACCTAGTGGTTCTGGAGGCCCCGAAAAGGTCACTTATTGGCCGGGCCGTGGGCCTGGCACGTCCTAGAGCAGATGGCTCTAGTAGCCCGGGGGGTAGCGCTCCGGATTCGCTGGGTAATGTCTCTCTGCGACGGGCAGTCCGAGCGACTGGCAGGTAGCAAATCATAGACAATGACCGGTGTCGCATAAGCGATGCGTTCCTCTCTCTAAAGTGCGAGGGCAAGAGTTGTACCCCCGTGCCTGGTTCTGTGGGGTGAGGGGACTCTTAGCGCCATGAGGCGGAAAGAGGAATGCCCCTATATTGCTAGTTTTCTCAGATTATCAGTGATTTCTGTATCAAATTTCACATCTATGTCCCAAGCATTTTGTAGCATTATCTTACGGCAAAACATAACTGGAGAGGTCTGTCCAATGGGATGAAAAACTTTTGAGTTACTAATAGTATAGCTCAGTTATCCTCTTAAAAGGTTTAATTCTTTCATATAGCTAATATTAAATTTTGAAGAATCCAGTTGACAATTCAGCATCAACACAGGGGTTTCCCAATCCTGTTCAGTTTTGCATCCTCCTGTATATTCCCATTATCTGAGATCAAAACCACATTTTGGCATTAGCAGACTGGATTTAGAAATAAATGTTTTAAATCAGTGTAACTGTCAACACTGGCTACAACACTGTCAACATAGAAAATTTGCTGTAGGATTTTTTTCAAATTTAAGGACCAAATCTTGACTAGTTTCGATAACAGAAAGAAAAGGCTGCTCTAACTCCATAAACGGCTCTTGTATGGCGAAACAAGTGAATGCTGTCAAATGCAGTGATTTTAATTTCTTCTCTTCTAAGTTCTCTTACCAAAGAAAATGCGTGAAGTCCTGTTTCCTTAGCAAACACTTATTTGTAAAATGGCGTTTCTAATATCTGCTGTGAAGCCAAGCTCAAGCTCCTTCTTTCTAAATTTTAATAAAATGTTTATAATTAACTCAAGACTTGGCCCACATTGTAGACATTCGATCAAGGAAAGAAGGTTTTGTTACTCTGCTGACGCATCAAAATCTGGTTGAATGGAAATTATACTGCTGGTTTCTCTTATGATAGGTCAATGAGGAAAGTAGCTCCATACAAAATCACTGCATTTAGAGGGCTTCCTCAATGACGTGTAACATTCAAGCCATACCAGAAAAACATTTTTATATTTTCCATAAACGTTGTAGGCAAAAGTTCAGGCCATGGCAAATAAAGTTCATAACGATTATCTAAATTAAATTTCACTGTTTCTAGGAAGCAGTCTTTAGTTTTTAGATTCACCTCCAGTTTTGATTATATCCTTCATTCCAATTATATCTAGCCTCCAAAGATCAGCAATTTGCGTTTCCTTCACAAACACTGATGTTACAGTCAAAGTTTTCTCTTAAAGTATATATCGTGGGATTTTACCCATTAATTTCCATCCAAGATGGGTTTCGACTGCAACTAAACATGAGGCCAATATTTTTCTTACACCTGCCGAAAGCCTGCTAATAATATCTACCCCAATAACGACTTGAATAGGTTCATAAAAGGGAAGAGCATCAGTTAAAACAACCAAGTATTTCAGTTCCTCCGGCCATGGGCCTTTACGTATTGACAGTACGTTTTCACATATAATATCTTGATCCAAGATTTCAAAATTGTAAGTGAAATTCCCATTTAATTCTGAATTAATATAACAGACCGAATAACAATTATTGGAACTGCTAAGGTAACAAGAATCAGTGTAACATTCATAAATTTGCAGGAACACTTTCGAAGGTTCTACATTTAATTCGAAACTAGTCCGGAAAATTTATGAATATTACGCTAATTCTTCTTGCCCTAGTACCTCCAATAATCCCATTTAGTTTCTTTAACTTTATTTTGTAACAGTTATGCTTATCTTCTTTAGTAGAAACACCAGCAAACAAAAAGTTTAAGTGTTGCTCTGACGACTTACAGGTTATTTCATCTCTTCTGCAATATCCCTTAAAATGTACAACTTTTGTGAGCCAGTGTCACATAGCACATTAACTAGTCTCTCTTTATTATCACCAGAGATAAGGTCGGCTTTGAAAGGCTGAAGGAATACCTTTGGATCTGAAGTTACATTTGATAAGTTAACATCTTTTCCCAGAGAAATTTTTTCTTTCCAAGCTTGTTGCAAGTCTGCAGTTTATCAAAGGACACGTTTTTTACTGCAAATGAGACATTTTTAAAAACATGGGGTAATGGCTAACTGAATGACTAGGAAAAAAGCATATAAAACAGAATTTCTAATCCTTTATTAATCTCCTGCCTTTCCTCCAATGTCAGTTTTTGAGCATTAAAACTATAAGCACTCGCATGTCTTCATCAAATATGAATTTTTGTTTCATTTTATCAGGTTCTTTAGTGGATGTCAGCAGCATAAATGTCGTAAGAATTTTGCCTCTTTGAGGTTCCAAATTATATTTATTTTTTTTGGGCCTCTTTGTATCTCCATTTTGGGTGAAATCACGAAAAATATTCTTTCCACGCCCTCTACTTCACACTTGAGAAATGACATCAAGTTTCTTTGCATCCTTTGCAGAACTGGTAGAAGGGCTTCTATTCCAGACTTCTAGAAATTCCTCAGCAAAGCTTGATACTACCATTGGATAAAGAACAGATACGCATTTGCCCATTGTAATTCCAAGTGTTTCAAGAGCTCGGAAAATGAGAATCAGGTTTCCCGTAGAGAGAAGTCAGTGATAATTTTTTTATTAGATTTTACAAAGATTACTAACTTCAACAACTCCCGTACATGTACTCGTTTCAGTACGGAAGTACAAAATGTCTTCTCTGCTGAAATAAGCCTTTAAACTATCTACAGCCTTTCATAATTCACTCCGCTCCGAACATCATTTCGATTAATAAATACTGGTTAACTTCACAAAACCCTGTGGTGGGGGCTAAATGTCACATTGCAATCCCAAAATTCCCCGAATTTTCTGCTACTGAACTATACCTTTGAACTCCCCACCCCAGCTTTTAATCAAGAAACATCAAAGATTCCCAAATAAAGACTTTTCATTTACCATATATATTCTTCAAGCAAGTTTAAAACAATAAATTACTTAGAACAAACAATAATCAAATATTATTGCTGCTCAATAATACTAATAAAATATCATTAGTGTTTATGTAAAATTAACATGTTAATATTAACATAAATAAATACTTAACACTGAAATTATTTACCTCTATTTATTCAAAGTACATCTGAAATATATAGCTGCAGGCATCAATAGTAAATTTTATGACTGAATATCATGTTATTTTATTTTCAAAGATACATACCTAAATCTTTATCAACAGCATGAATTTTGCTAATGAGTGAGCCAACAGGTACATCTTCTGCAACAGCAACAGTAAAAATTGGCTGTGTGAACTGAGGTGCATTATCATTCACATCTTCCAGATGGATTTCAATTAAACTAGTACATGTCCACTCCAGATGGCCTTTATCCTGGACATGAGATTTCAAAAAATAGCGTGATTGCTGCTCTCTATCTAGGTTTTTGACTGTTTTAATAATACCTGAAAACAATGAAAATTAAAATTTTTAAAATACCATGATAGTACTAATAACATAAACATTTTACATTTTCTTACTCTACTTTTAATTCTATATTTTGTTTTCTATGTAAATATATTTTTCCAATTGTATTACCTTATTTAACTTCAGTTAAATGTCTCTTTACAGAATAACTTGTTAAAAAATCCTGATAATCACAGAAGGATTAAAAATTTTCCACATTGGGAAGAATAAGCCTTGCGGTGGGATTTAGCCAGTTCGCATCACTTTCGGCAGAACCTTTTCCTAAAATATTTTAGTTCAGCAAATCAGATGTTAGAATTAAATTTTATTATTTATTTAGGCAATTAATCGCTATTTGTGTAGTTCGTTTACTAATTATTGTTTATTTAAGTAGCGAACCATTTGTTAACTTATTTGAATCTCATCATTGAATAAGGCTACCTACATATAATTGCATCACATGAATGACAAGTTATTGAAGATACAGTCCATGAAGAAAACTGGCTTTCAATATTTAAAGAAAATGAAAAGGCTTCCACCAATTTTAAATTATCAGATGTCATAGAAAGACATCGAATAATGATTCTAGAATTGCAAAATCAGAAAAAGGTTCTTTTAAGTGCGTGTGATATTACAAGAGTGGACTATTCTTGTGTCAATAGTTTCTTAATTTCATGTGCACATTAAAAAAAAAAAAAGTTATGTTTTCATACTGATTGCTTTGAGATATTTTGAATTTTTATTTATCAGTTCAGTTAGATTCACATGGTGACTTAACGACCTTAGCAGCTAAAAAGTAAGCGATTAACTAAACAAACTTATTTATAATAAAAGAAAATTAAATAAAATACTTTTATTAATATTAATTATGCTATTTGTGTTTTTTCCCCCTACTGCACAACTTTCTTAATATACGACATTTAAATCTGAAACAAATTCCACTTGAATATTTAATAAAAGGTGAACTAAACACTCAAGGTGCTAATCGTAATGCAGCACCAAATATATCAATTAAATTAAACAGTTACTTAGTGGTAATATTAATTAAAGAGCGGCAAAGTCATTTACTATGGTTTGTGCTAAAATATCTTCAACTAGCATTGTTCCAACAGATTGCATTGTGAATTAATTAATCTCGGTTTATTTGTCTGGCATTTAAATAGCACATCAATGAATAAACATGAGCTTCATAAAAATATCAAATTTTGTGAAATTTTAAGCATTTTAAAATAGGGTTGATTTTATAATATGATTCATTTAACACTGTTAAAATTAATACAGTTCAGCATATGAGGCTTAAGTAGTTCTGATGTAAATATAGAAAAAGAATTCAAATAATACAAATATGAATTTCTAAAACTTTAAAAAGCAAGTTTATAATTTTTAACCTGTAGCAGAATCAATCACAAAATCAGTAGCTCCAGCTCCAGTAAGACTGTACAACTGCAAAGCATTTTTCCCATCATCTGCATCTGAAGCTTCCACAGTAAGTATGTAAGAATATGGAGGAATAGCCTCAGATATCTTTTCAATATATTTTGACTGGAAAAAAAATACAGTTTATGCACATTTTCAGAAAAATCACCTAAAATATTTAAATTATTTAATATGCATCCTAGATTTTAATTGTGTGTGAATGGTAAGTCCTGCAGCCACCAGAGGGCACTACCTGACAGGGAAACCTCATTGCCTGCACACCTATAGACAGAGACCACGCCCGAAGGCGGTGACAATGGATTTTGCAATGATCGCGAGTGCGAGTAGCCATTGAGTGACTGTTTAAACATAAAAAGTGATGCAAACTTGTCCTTGTCTTCAACTAGCATGAGAAGCCGCTAAGCCACTGTTATGTCCCAATTTAATCTATAGTTTTTTATATCATTAAATATTCTGTGGTGTGGAAAAAGGATTCCTCATTATTTACTGAGTGACATCATCTTCATTTTCCCCCACAATTATGACTATTAAAATATAGGTAATATGTGTGCCATGGGTAATGATATTTTACAAAATTCCTTCACCTCCACAGTGATACTTTTTTTATCTAATTTAATATTATAATATGGTATTCAAATTTTAACGGTAAATATTAAAATACTTCCTGAAGGGAAATTCTCATTGATGAGAAATATATGTGCAAATAAAGACAATTAATGAAAAGTTTTATTCATTGAGTTGAATGTTAGTTTTAATTTGTCCTTAACTTTTTAACAAAATAATACATATATTAAAAATAAAAATACAGCACTAGCACAATATGTTTGAAAGAAAATATATTCCAGAAATAAGTAAAGTTTTTAAAATGCAGAATATGAGAAGAATGAATAAAAGAGAAAGAAAGGAAATTGCATGAATGAATTTAAAAAAAAAAAAATGAAATTCTTACCTTCAGACATACTGGAGGATTGTCATTTGTATCTAGAACATCAATAGCCACACTCGTCTTGGAAACAAAAAGACCATCTGTTACAAGCACTTCCAGCAGATAATTTGCAGTCGTTTCCCTATCTAATGGTTTATGAACAAATATTTCACCATTTTGCCTGACATTGAATTGGTCTTTTTGATTCCCTTTAATAATATAAAAGTCATTTTTGCTTGGCTCAAAATCAGCATCCCTAATTTCTAAAGTAACAATTACAGTACCAGGAACTGCATGTTCATATATTGCAGCATCATAGTGTTGTCTTTCAAATTCTGGCGGATTATCGTTATAGTCTTGAATTCGAAGCATGACTGTTGTTACTGAAGAATGTTGAGGATGACCTTTGTCTTTAGCTACAATGCTAAAGTTATACCATGAGAGAGTTTCATAATCCAGAGAAGCAAGTGTAGTAATCCAGCCTGTTGAGGGATCTAATCGAAACACATTTGCAGCATTGCCGACATCAGATCCAAACGAATATACCACCTCACTGTTTGAACCAGAATCTGCATCCTTTGCTACAACTTTCAAAATACTTGAACCTTTTCCAATATTTTCAGCCAATGTCATTAAATATGGATTGGATTCAAAAATGGGACGATTATCATTTTCATCCATTACATTTATTGTAATATCACAATAAGCGATAAGTGGAGGACTTAGACTAGTTTCAGCTTTTACAACAAGCTGGTATGTTGCTGTTGATTCCCTGTCTAAAGCAGAATTCAATATAATTTTTCCATCATCTGAGATACTAAACACAGACTGGTGCAATTCTACTATAGAATCTATTGGTGCAGTGACAAATCCATAATGTATAGGTTCAGCACTACTAGCATTCAGAGTTGATACTACAGTTCCAATTGATGATTTCTCTGATATGAAAAATTCATAATGCTGCTGCTCGAATTTTGGTAAAACAACATTACTTGGGACAACTATAACATTTACTGGCACTTCATTTTCTTGAGGTGGAATACCTCTGTCTCGGGCTCTCACAAAAAACTGAAAAGCTTGATTGACTGTAAAGTGAAAAAAGAACTATGAGAAATAAAGTTTCATATAATAACAAAAAAGGTCTCTTTCAATTCACTATAGATGTTAATTTTTCCTACTTAAAATGAAAAAAAAAAAAAAAAAGAAATCATCACAAATGAACATTGGACATATTTAAAATTAATCACAGACAGTTCTTAAAAAAGTTACAGAAAAATTTCGTTTATCCAAAACTATCCTTAAAGCAGTTTATAAATAAATGCAATTCCTTCTGAATTTTATAAGAACAGTAAAGTGATTATTTCATTATACTACAACAGATAATTTTCATTTTGTGCTTCAACTTCATATACTTTTAATACAGTTAACTTAATACGGTAATAATTAGTATGGTTAATACAGCAAAACTAATCCTTTTTGATCCATGCAAATCCATGCAAAACTAATGAAATTTTCATTTTGAAAGTATCTCTCAAACCCCATAATTAGCTGTGATAAGTGCTCTTCAAACATGGCTTTTATATCTTAAGAAAGATCAAGTTCATTTGACATCAAAAATTGCTGCAATATTAAAAAAAAACTTGTTGCCTGCATCTTCATTTAATTTTCATCTCCATAGCTTGAATTTTGTTTATAAAAGCTGATCTTTTTTTTTCAGTTGACTTCAAAAGGTGCATGTTTTTTCCCTGCACAGATCAGATTAATAGATTCAGATCTATTAAATCCTACAAGAAAAAAAATGACCTAGAAAATTTATATCAGTCGATCATTTAGAGCTGTGTAGAATAAGTTGATCAAAATATGGTAATTAATATCTATTCTGCTAGAAGAAAATTAGCTAAAACTATGTTCATTGTTTTCCTCATCAAACACTTAATGTTGTGATACCTATGAGAGTCAAATAAAATAAATTGGAAAAAATGTTTAGAATATGAATGGTATAAAGGAGGAATAGATTTGGGAGCATAAAACATAGCTTTTTCTTTTGGCAAGTGTTACATTAATTTGGTCTTTCAGTAATGCTAAACTGATGCAGTTTCACTCATTTAATCATGTGAAAGTTCACCTACTGAAGATTTTAAATTTGGATTACAGTATTTTAAAAATTTCATTGTGAAATATGCTATACTTAAAAATTGCATCTAACTCCAGTTATTGCAACTGATGTCCATCAGCAGCCCCTTTTCTAATTACTATACTGTCAAGTAAAAGGCATAATCTGAAGTACATTTACAGTAAGCTCAGGTTATGCATTTTACTTACAATAAGTTCTTATTATAGATGAATAGACTCGTTTGTTGCTCAAGAAGAAGGAGAGAGAAAGAATGTATCTTTGTACATAGAAATTTAAACATTAATTACAGCACAAAAATGTTTGTTACTTTGCACTTCCAAACGTATATTTAACTTGATTTTCACAAAAAAGGGTATTACACTAGTTTTGAACCTCTATATGTAAAAAGCATTCAAATTAAACAGAAATTCAAATTAAACAAAAAGAATGGCATGTTTTAAAAAATTCTTTATATTAAGCTCAGAATTTATCCAACATTATATGTAGCACAAAGAAATAAGATATTTTACAAGTTAACAATAAAGTATTATACTGCCTTTGTTCACACTAAGTGCTATAATGCTAATAAAAATAATTTTTTTTTCATGCTTACCAAGTTGAGAAACACTCTTTTTTAAATAAACTTCACCTAGATCTTTGGAAATTCCAAAAAAGTCAGTAATTGTTGATGCATTATTTGAGTATATACTGTATTCAATTGAAGCAGCGTGAATATCATCATCTTCATCTACTGCATGCACCTACATAAAAATTCAAGAGTGCATGTTTGAAATGAAGTTTAAAAAAGAAGATTTGTCATACAAATTTTTATTAAAAGCAAAAAGAAAAATCGATTATTAGACTCATTCTACATAAATATTCATCATGAAAAATCACAAGGAATAAATAATTTATCTACTTCTACAATTTAAATTGTGAAAAATGATAATAAAAAGCTCTGTTTGATAAATAATACATTCCTCTGTTTTATTATTCATCTACTGAAAAGAATACAGAATTGTTAAACAATTGATCTCCCCCCCCCAATGCTCTGATTACATGGTGCAGAGCTGGAACAAGGATGAGGCAAGCAAAGCATTTGGCTGAGGTGAGCAAGCAGAAGTGGAACCAAAAAAGCTACCAAAAAATTTAATTAGTTTTAAAAAAGAAATTATAATTTTAACTTTCAGCTTTGGAATACACCAAAGGAAATAAAAAGAGCTTTGCATCATAAACAATCCAGCTGAATTAAACGAAGAAATAATAGAAGTAATTTACTCTCAAAGGAGATGAGGTTTCAGAAGTGCATGTATTATTTTATAGCATTAAAATTTGTAACTGGAAATAGCATACTAAAAGTCAATTTACATTTCTTATAATGAGCTGCAAAGACTAAGCTTTCATAGAAAATATCATACTGCTGACATTAGTCTGTCTCCCATTAATGTCCACTGCTCCTACTCACCACAACAAGGTTTCCAAAATCCACTAACTGAGCACTGACAACAATGCAAATGCTGACAGTTTATTGTAGCATAATGCACAAAGGCCATTAGAATAGGACATGGTGTATGCTGGCTGCATGGAATTTTACATGTTCATGGTTTCTCTCAGATGGAAAATAATGATATCTCTAAAGATCCCTCTAGACAAATAATTCTCTCAAGGGATTTTAATACTACTGAAATATACATCCAAATTATCATCTTCCCTATACTAACAATTTGTGCATCCCTAGTAGTCCTCAAGTTACAAAAATTTAGTTTTGTTAAAGGAAGTTTCATTCTTTAACAAAGCATCTCTGAAGTATCACAAAAATATACAATGAGCACTATAGTTATAATCAAAGCATTATAGTTAAACTTACATCTTGTTTCTAGTTTCAGTGTAACTATAGTAGATATACCATTGTAGATACAGACCAAAAATTTAATTTACGAATAGAACATATAAAGATGCCTCTTTTTATATGGCTCCACAGTGCAAAAGTATTGCAAATAAAAATATGCAATTTGTTGACAGTGATGTGTATTTTCTGCAAATATTTTATTTATGTATAAAAATTTTGCATTTTCTATATTCATATCTACCACAACACGGAACCACATCGGCAGATTTTTAACGGCTGAGACAAATTTCAAATTTGTACATCCTGAACATTTATTAGTACTTTCATATTAAAAATAAATTTACAATATTTTAATTTTTAAGCCCCTCTCATATCTAACCTGAAGCAAATCTCTCACTCGCTCTACCTTTGGCTCTGGAGTTGCATATTAAATGAAAAATGAGCTAAAAAAAAAATTTTTTTTTAACTTGGAGTTAATCAATTCATTTTTCATCTAAACTGGTAGGAGAACTGGCATCAGATATTTGAGATCATCAATTAAGGTGATAATCTTATTAATTTGAAGTACTAAGAGAAAAAAGATGATGATTTCTAGAATTACATTAAAAACTTCTGTGAAAAAAAACATAATGCATAATAATTACGGTAACTAAACTGTTTCAAAGTTTTTTAGTGATTTTGCTCATTTTTCAAAAATTTAGCCCTGTTATTTTATCTCCCGAAGTAGTTCTCATTATTCATATTATGAGACTGGATATAAATGACTTTTATGATCCAGCATAATTACATTATTCATTTTAAATTATCCTCTTTTTGGGAAACTTGATGCAAAATCTTACACTGCTATCCAGTGAAACATTACAGAGAGGTCAAGAAAGAAGAGCTCAATATGAGTACAGTTTGAACTATATATACATCAAAACAAGAATTCAACATAAGCAGAGCTAAAATTTCACTTTTATACAGTTACATACTCAGCATGTAAATAATGCTAAAAATAGTAATGATAAATTTTTAAATTTTAAAAAATTGTGTGCTGCAGTATAAAAATTATTTTACATTCAGAGAAACCTTAAATTGGAAGCACTATTTCAACAGATAAGGTTTTGAAAAAACAGCAACACTCTACGGATTATTTTTCTCCTTTACATAAGGAAACCTGCATTACCACTCCCTTGAGATGCGAAGAGATTTTGTGTCAAACTGCTGCCAATCAACGTTTGAATATTACAAAATTCTACGCCTTTCCATAAAGAAACCTGCATTACCACTCCCTTGAGATGCAAAGAGATTTTCTATTAAACCATTTTTAGCACTCTTGCAAGAGAGCCTGTTATAGTAAACTGCATTCACCTGAGCCGAGGATGAAGTTAGGAACAAACAATAAGTTTCTGTACAACTAACAACTTTTGTGTCCCCTTACTCAGTTACATCATTCCAAAAACTCTGCAAGCGGTCTTTTCTATTTAAATTTACTGGCATTGAATGTGAATGACTACAATGATCATTTCTAGTACTTTGGGGAATGAAAAATAGAGTCACTCTTAAGAGTCTTTCTCACTGGGGTTTATCTGAGCTAACAGAGTCAGTTCCATGTGTCGACTAGCTCTGCTATGCCTGCAGTTCAGATTTTACAACTTCCTGACTTATGGAAAAAAACTGCGTTTGGAGATTGGTCGGCTACGTCAGTTGTGCTTGTAGCTCAGATAAATCCCAGTGAGTATGAGCCTTTAAATTTCATTCCACTTCCTGCAGAATGAACCTTTGACATGTGGCTTCCTTAAATGTCTCACCCTATGTCCAAGGATTTCTTAGCCAGGGAAACACAAGCATACATTCAGAAGTTAAGAGTCGAATTTTAAGGCTTGTTTATTTTCAAAATAAAATTTTCAAGGTAAAAGAATTTTCTGCTGATATTGTGACTCAATTACATTAAGGAAGTGTAGGAGAAGTCTTATTTAGAGCTCCAGTGCTCTCGGGCTAAAATTATGGCACAATTTAAGCTCTGTCTTGGACCATAAAAGTATAAGTGAACTACGTTTTGGAACTAGGAATGGAACTGAATGGAAACCAGGGCTTAATTTCTAAAATTAGAATTGCCAGATTGCTATGGAAGGTTCTCAAGAAAGCAGAGAAAATTAATTAAATAATAATAATAAATAATGAACAATAAAATTAAATAAAATGCATATAAATAAATGAAAAGTTGGTAAATTAAATTAATAACAAATGGCTAAATAATAAATCAAAATACCAGAGCTCATTGTAGTGTGACTCAGATGGAATTAAGGTTTTACTGAAAAACAGATATACCAGAGCTGTGCTGCAGTGCACTCTGGCTAATTTTTTACATTTTTAATAGATTATAACATGAATGATATACCTGTAGCACTGTTGTTCCCACAGTAGTATTCTCATATACGTAAGCTCTATATTCAGAAACTGTAAAGAGTGGAGCGTTATCATTATCATTGGTTACAGAGATACGAACAGTAGAATAGCCAGGTCTCCCACCTCCATCAAAAGCTGCAATTGGTACTTCATACAGTCTATGTTTCTCTCTGTCAAAACTAATACGAGCATAAAGGACACCTGAAAAATATTACGCTTCTTTTACAAGCAATACTAAAAGTGTTTATCAAATTATTTCAATGATTTATTTTAAAATCAAGATATCACACAATAAAAAGTTACATATGTCCTTTAAAGTTGAACAATAAGCATTTACCTTTGTTAAAACTAAGTATTAACAATTATGAATATTTTCATTAACTTGTAAAATTAAACAAATGCTGTCAATCCATTACATATGTGAGTTGATGGGAAATTATGATTTATAACCCAAATGTCTTACAACAAAATGAGCTCAAAACAAATAAAATTATGGAACCATTCTACTACGAGAATTTTAGTGAAATACGATTTTCAACAACCTCAATCAGTTTAATTGTTTCTTGATTATGTTTTGCTGATAGGTTTGTTATACGCTATTTATATGGTTTCCCCCCCAATGGCAGATTGTGAACAATTACAAATGTAAATGTTGCTATAAAATTTTGCTATGGAATTTTTTGCTGAAACAAAAATTATACTTAACTATATAATAAGTGGAAAAAATTCAATGAAAAGAATATTTCTTATTATGTGTAGTGATCAATAACTCCCACAAACATATCTTTTGCATTAGAAAAACAGGTTTGAGAAGGAAAAATTAACATGTATCTTCGAAATGTCTTTAATAATTTTTTTTTTCAATCTCGTCATCTGATCAGGAAGAATCGTTGCACACAACATGTGATATCAAATTCAAGAAGTTCCTTAATACACTGTGAAAAACAGATGAAGGTGATTTTTTTTTTCACTCCTGAATACTTGGATAGAAAAGAAAAACAATTCATACATTATTTTTAAATTTATCTTCAAGTTTGTTGGAATGTAGAAAATAATGGATATATATATACATACAGTTAAGCAAACATATTTAGATCTTCTTATAACCGAAATTCCATTTTTCACACTTTCATATAAATGTGAACTCTATATTTTAACATCATTTCTATCACAATTCTATTTTTCTTTATTACTAAAAATGAACTAAATAAAATAAAATATTTGAATAATTAATTAATTAATTTGGGAAATTTCTTATAGTTGAGATGTTTCTAATTGTATTTATAAATAATATTTAAGTATATAAACAAATCACAATATATAATACCAATGTTTACCTGTCTCAGGATCAATCATAAATATTTTATCATAAACTTGACTTTCAATACTATAGGTAATTTTCCCATATTCTCCTCGGTCAATATCTGCAGCTTTAACAGTAGTCACTAAGGCACCAGGGGGTAAATTTTCCCGTATTGCTACTTCATAAACAGTGCGAGTGAAAATAGGGGAATTGCTATTTTCACCTAGAATGCTGACCTTTACTCTTGCATATCCAGAATAAACGCCATCAGTAACAGAAACATTTAATATGTACACAGACTGATTACTGAATTGGTGTAAATTTGAAAGAGTGATAATACCTAGGGAAAAAAAAATCAAAAAAATATTTTTAGTAACCTTACATGGATTTTGTTTGAAATAAAAATCTAAAAATAAGTCAATGCAATTTTATTCATCATGCTATCATGTTACCCACTCAGTAAACGGTAATAAGGATTTTCTGTTAAATCCGATATTTTATTATAAAAAAAAATATCAGTTTTTGTCTATTTATCAAATTATTTTACTGTATCATATTAAAATTGAAAACACCATTTCAAAACTTTAAACATAAACATCAAACAAAATACACATTTTTAAATACGGAAATATGTTACAGATAAGCAAATTTACATACCAGACTGAGAATTGATAGCAAATGCTTGTTGCTCATTACCACCAACAATTGAATATATTAATTTTGACTGATCTGATTCATCTGGATCTGATGCAATAACTCTAGTAACAAACTGTCCTCTTTGAGCATTTTCACTAATCATACAGTCATAATCATAATGCTCAAATTTTGGAGGGTTATCATTCATATCAACTACTTGTATATGGACTGTAGTAGTAGCACTCAGCCCTGGTGAACCACTGTCTGTTGCCATAAGCAGAAAATCATGTGAATCCTGCAATGCCACAAAATGCACTTGTATCAAATATGAAATCATGAAATTTATTAAAAATACATGGATAATTAGACACAGAAACCAAAACTTTGTTTTCATTTTAGCAGCTGTCAAAATTTTGAATTGATATCACTATGAATTTTTTTACAGCACTTACACATGTTGTAACGTTTTGTTTGGGAAAGGGGGAGGGAATTCATTAAGCACCTAAGCTAAAGCAGGATCTTACCCCCCCCCCCAAAAAAACTTGCTAAAATGCCAAAAAAATTATAATTATCAATATTTTTAATCAATTAATTGTTGAATTAAACAAGAATGATTTTTAAAAACGTAGTTTAACAATGTTGTTAAAGTTCTATATGTATAAATACACCCCCTCCCAACTCACACACATACATGTATATATCCAGCTAAAACCTTACCAAGCTTTTACGTTTGTAGGTGCTGGTTGTAGACATACACTTCCACTTACAAAGATGTTTTAAATGATGCAAGTATTCATGTTTTGGCCTTTTTAAATTTAAAATCTCAGTTTAAAGCAACTAATACAATTGATCATTATAAAAAATAAAATGCAAAAAATGTGATTTAGATGTAGCAAAAAATGTCTGAGATATTTCATTTTAAATTCGGAGATTACATTCATGGGCCATACACAAATCGGGAAGCGAAATGTGTGCTTTTGTATGCAATTAAAAATTTAATTCTCATACCAGTTTAGAAAAAGGTTTCTGGTATTAATAGATTAAGTAATGCGCATTTCGATGCAGATTGTCTTAAAAAGTATTAATCAACATCATTTTTTCAAAAAGGAGATATTCATAGAATCTTATAGAATTCATGTTCTATGAAACACTGGCAGACTTAAGTATTGGGACATAGCCAATTCGTTAGAAACTAAAAATTATAATTTTTCTAGTTTAATGAATTTCTGTGTGATTATTAGATTGTGATTCTAAATTTTAAAAAAAAAAAATGTGAGAATATTAGTAATATATTTTTAGCATTTGAAAACCCATCAATTACATCTGTGAATATTCTTTTCGCATATCAGTTGTAAGAAAATTACAAATTAAAGAATGTTGCAGAATAGCAGATAGCAAAAGTACACCAGTGTTTGAAACTTAAGCGGGAAAAAATCTCCCTGCATTTGGTTATAGCAAAGCATACAAGGGCTATCTGCCTAAGGGACTGGATGCTTTCATAGACAATTTTCTCAGGTAAACGGACTCATATTCACGTTACACATGGAGAAAACAATTAAAAGCTCCTACAACTAGCCCATCCGCTTTGAATCGAACTACTAGTATTAAAAAAGTCATCATTAAATTATTATAATTTAATTATACACCCTTCAAGACAAGTTGGAAATGATGTCAAAAATCTCAAATTTTGAAATTAAATATTCCGGTCAGTTTCTATTGTATGAGAGTCAAACTTTTTGCTTTTACTTTTTTATAATGAGCATAAAATTTTCTTAAATATTGGGGACAGGGGACCGTATAAAGAGTTTATTTTCTAATTTTTATGGGACTACTTTTTTTTTTTTAAATTTAAAAACGACAAAAGATGAATGTTTATATGATTTAAAACATCTCGGTAATTGGAAGTATATGTCTATGACCAACTGTTGCAAAAATAAAGGCCGAGTAAGGAATTTGTGAACACTGTGTAGATTCCTCTTTGTGAAAATTGCAACACCATAAAATTTTCATTAGAATACAATAAAATTTGTTATACATACGATTTGTAGTGACACAAAGAAACAATTAAGTTAATGAAATACCATAAGAATAATAAATGCTCAAAATTAGCATTTGATGAAGCTCTGTGCATTGCAATAATATCTCCTACTCATCGTGGCATTGAATTAAACAGGTTTTGAATGTGTACCACTTGAAGATTAGCATTCCATATTGCTTTTATGAATACCCAAATTTGGGTATGTTAAGAAATCTGAAACTTTTCTAGCTATGTGTGGACGGGCATTGTTCTGCTAACGCAGGCCTCCAAAAATGCACTGAACAAAGAGTATGACTTCTGGCTCCACAAACTCCCTTGCATGGTGGTTGCTGGGAACACCTTCAATTCTTAGCAGACGAGATCAGCCATCATTGATCATTGACTTCATGCCCAGAGCATGAAGCTTGGTTATCACCCAATATGACGCTGGATAATGTATTTCAGAAAGATGATGTTAACCCCTATAGCATCTAGTATATGTTCAACCTAGCATCTAGTATATGTTCTTTCCATCAATTAGCTATAAAGTTGCACATATTTTGCAGAAATTTAACTTTCGGGTTGTTTTTTCTCCCATCAATAAAATTCCAACTTCTATACTCAAGGACCCCATTCCGGATATGAATTCCTGGGGTATTTATAGGATTCCTTGCCAGTGCGGTTTAATTTACATTGGCCAAACTAAGAGAGCCTTAAAATTTCGCGTCAAAGAACATGAGGCATATGTTAGAAAAAAGGAAACACAGAAGTCTTCTGTTGCTCAACATTGTTGGTCCGAAAATCACACTTTCAATTTTTCTGCTGCCAAAATTATTCAAAAAACATCTTCCATTGGAGAACTGGATTTTCTAGAGGCATTTCACATTCATAAAAATCTTTCTGTTCTAGTTAACGATCGTAATTCCAATCCAAATTTGCCTTCGGCTTTTAGAGAAATTATTTTTTAGTTCTGGTTTCGCCAAACAGATGGCGCCACTTGCTTATTCTTGTCCAGGCTTCTTATCTTATCTAAACATTATTTCCTATCTTGTTCATTTGCGGTTTTGCAGCTGAAGATGATGGTTCGGTAAAACCATCGAAACTAGTCCTGTGAAAATTTTGTAAATTAACGCTGATTTTTGTTGTTTGACTTCTGAATTAGTATTTATTCGGCGTGTTATTGTGTCTTAATTATATGTTCAACCATCGCTGTACTCCAAGTTGATGCATGATTCATTGGAAAAGACAAGCCTAATCAGCACGCTGGTAGCTGAGCCATTGTAGCCGCAGGCGCCGATGGTTTTGAGGCAGGACAATCGTGAGCAACGAAATACATACATGCAGCACACAGTGCCAGTGAGCTGTTGCAGTTGACATTAGCGTTCTTGTGGCAATGTTTCAATGTTCTGCCAATTATTGAGATGAAGAATCACAGTATGTCATTGTCATGCGGATGAAGTGCTTGCTATCCACTGCTGATGTAACATTTCATTATCCACTGCCAGGTGTGTGATCTGACCAATTCTCTTTAACCCACTATTTGCATACAGGCATCACTGATGGGGCTTATGCAGAAAAGTAGCGAGTATAACTGGTGCCCGGGGCAAAATACCTTTTTTGTGCACCCTTTCCCCGAAAAAACACAGTGATATGATGAAAATCTTGTTTGGAGACTATTTGGTGCCCCTCTGCGAGCGGCGCCCGGGGAATCATACACCCCCTTGGCTACACCACTGGGCTTATGCTCCATATGAGTTACAGTTCTGTAATAGGATATCCTCCTTCCTGCAAGCTAATCATTTGCACACATACAAACAGCTTAACTTGCTCATACTGGGCCCCTTGACATTGATGAGGCACCGTGACTTCTCATGAAAAGTTTATCAAAGGCAGATAAACATCACTAATTTTAACATTCTGCTATGGCCCCTATTTATATGACTAACATGATATTGCAATGAAGGTAGCTTAGACCATGCACGAGCTATCACTGTAAAATTCTAATCATTTGCATATCACAAACAGCTTTGCTTTTGGGATAAGCTTCACTTTTATTCATATGATTCCTTCATGATGTTGCGATTTTGACAAACAGGAGTAATATGTATGTATTATACAGCTTTGGGTCAGATTGCAAATTTTTCTAACTACTATTTTGCTGATAATATCTGAAAAGATAACTGTATTTCATTTACATTTATATTCTTAAGTGAAATTAATTTAGAATCAATGAAGTGCTCATGGAATGTTTTAGGAACTGTTGTTTTAATTATAACTAATTAAATTAAATGAAAACAAGTAGTTTCTGTGTTTCCCTTTACTAGCAATAATGCCTGCCAATAAATCTTGGGTTTAATACCCTGCAAGCATAATTAAACTTCAGTGGAATGCACCATTTACTTCTAAACGGTCACATAAAAACCAAGCATATTAAGCAAAATCACTTATATCTTTAAAATAATATGCAGCTCTAACACTGTAACTTACATTTATTTTAATTATTTAATCAATTAAAATTCAATGATAAAGCAGCATTATTTTTCTTTAATATTATCCTTGTTGAATCAAAGTAAATATCCCAAAACTTTCAATTAAAAGTGTATATAAAGGTTAGTGATCATATTAAGCCTTCAAGAAAACAAAATCTTTTTTAGCTGAGCTAGCATCTTTGATATAAAAATGTTATAAATTTCAAATTATATATTTAAAATTCAAAGAGATTCGAATAATTAAACACTTTTCTAAATAATACCTGGCGTTCTCTATCCAGTGACTGTTTGATAAATACAATGCCTTCTGTTGATTCAACATGGAAGAATGTTGTTGCATTTCCTATGATAAAGTACTGAACTCTTTGGTTGTTTCCAGAATCGCGGTCTGTTGCATTAACTCGAAGTATAGATGTTCCAAAAGGCACAGCCTCTGATACAGAAGCAGAATAAGATGATTTTTCAAACACTGGTGGATTATCATTTACATCTTCAATACTTATATGAACAGCAACATCAGCATATGCTCCTGAGACAGAATCAGTTGCACGTATAGTGAGATGGTATTGTTGTGTTGTTTCATAATCCAGCTCTTCAACCACATATATTATACCTAAAATTTAAAAAGCCATCAAATAAATTATAATATTTGTAAAACTTTGAGACAGTAATATGAAAAAGTAAGGAACTCTGAGCTCCGAATATTTGCACCAAATATAACTATCAAGAAAAAGAAATGTTTAACCATTAATTATTAACATTTTTATAAAAAAGTTTTATCTCTTATTCATACCTTCATAAGAGAAATTAGTAACGTTTTGCTTGTTTAGGCTAGAATACATGAGTGCATATTTAGCATATATTTATTATTTAACGTTAAACACTAACTGATGTGAAACACTGCAACAAATAATGTATTTAATAAAGCAAGTTTTAAATAAGTTATAAGTTGAAAACTACAGCTGATTCACTGCTTAATTAATTGTGAAAGTGGATTTGAGAACTATCAACTGTTTGCCGGCGAAAGTCAGACTTCTCTCTTTTTATGAATTTTGGAACATTTACTGTTACACTATTACACTTAATTACCAATCATTACAAATTTTCAAGTATGTGTTTGTATTAGCACATACTCATGTTCTTTTTTAATACTTAGAAGAATTAGTAGTGACAAGTGTGAATAAATGAAGTGTAACTAATAGATCTACGAATGCATTACATGAAGACTTAGGTAATTTTACATTAAACAGCAAATTACAAAAGTATAAAATAAAAGCAGCAGAAATACACATTTAGAGACAGGTTAAAAGAATAAAAAAACTGAACAGAGAAGGGAATATTAACTTAAGTACAAAGGAGCACTGACATACAGACAATAGTAACATGCATTAGAAAGCACCTGAAAAACAGCTATCAAAAATAAATAAATAAAATTTAATGCAGGCACAGGATGCATCTAAGAGCACCTAGGTTTTCAGTAATTAGTTGTCACTCTTGTTTTACACAATGTCATTCATACTAAATTATTGACATGCAAAAGAAATACAGATTTAGGGAAAAGAAAATTGTTCACAAGAACTCACAGTCATAATATAAATTCTCAGAAATATATGGGCAATCTTCAGAAAATATATTAACACACACAAGATTTAACATGGTTCTAAGAATGCATTGATGATCATGACTGGGATTACAGGTTTCAGATATGTTGGGGAAAATTGATTTTTGAAGACGAGAATTTCAAGAAAATCATGCAGAAGCTGTAATTTCCTTGTATAACTCTTTTGTTGTTTGCAATGATTTTTGAAGAATCAAATGCCGCATATCATTAAATGATATTATTAAAGAATGTTAGATATTATACTTGCACGGTAATATTTAGCAAAAGTGTGCCCTATGACAGATAAAACTAAAAGAGCATTTTCATAATATAATTTAAGAAACATTCAACATAAATTGTAAAGTCTTGTTATAATATGGATATTTCTGTTATTATCTTTCAGACCTACTCACCATCTCATTCTGTAATTTAGAACTCTTATCTTGCCTAATAAAAATATGACTGATAATGTATTACATTTTTAAATTAAAAATAATAGTTAAGATTTTCAAAACATAATTCTGAAGACAAAATTTTATCTTATCTCAATCCATAATTATGTTTATTATATACATTTACACACAGCTATGCATTCTAGAGGAACAGAAGTATGAGAGTAACAAATACATTCTTTTATTTCAGATGAGAAGAAAGGCAAGAAGTTAAATAAATAATTACACAAATCAACAAAGTTTTTTCATAGATTAAAAGAAGTTTATTTTCTGAATATTCCTGTATGCTGATTTAAGGTATGCAATCAAATTTTTGCTATCATCCATTTTTGGATGCAAATATTTCTCAAGAAAGTTTGCATATTTTGAGGTTTAAATTTTATACATACATATTAAAAAAGTTTAAATAATGTGAAATGATTCATTTCTGTTTGTGAGAGTTTTTATTTGTAAGTTGTTGTTTTACTTGTAAGTGCTTAAGTAAGTATTTTATTTGTGAGGGTTAATAATTTTTTACATTCTGATTTATAGTCAAGCAAAATCAAAACCAGGTTTTCATGAAAGTTAAGAGTTAAAATTTGAAATGTTAAAGGCATTAGTGGTTTTTGTTATTTGTCAATGCATATTTTTGATATTTCTAGTTTTTTATATTAAAACTTCTTTGAATTTATTATATTCTTTTTCTTTTAAAGAACATATATAATATCAGAAAGATTTGTGATTGTTGTTAATATTTTCTGCTACATGGGTTTCAGTTGAATATTGAAGGCTTAGATATACTGCTTTTTTGAGAGAAATCTTTGTAAATTTGAAAAAAAACCTTCCTATAAAAAATGGAAGTGGCTCATCTGAAGTAATTTAGAAATAGCTATAATTCCTCTTAAGGCTGTATACACATATATTAAAATGTTTGCTTTCTTTACGAATGAGATAACAAAGACAAAAAAAGTCATTACATGCATAGACATTATCCAGTATGAGTTCACTGCAAGATAACTTAATATTATCAACAAAAAATTTAGGGTCTCTGAAAAATATATCTCCTCCTACAGCATCTTAAACTAGGACTCTATTGCATAATTTCATTAAAATAATGGATACAAATGGGCTAGTTTTTACAAACAAGAAATTTCCTAATCTATAGCTGAGATACAAATTTCCAAACATAAATAATGGTAAAATCTAGGAAGGTATTTTTGTTAGGCTAGAAATTAGGTAATTATTTCTGGAATACAAATTCCACCATCAGTTTATTCTAGCTCAATTGCATGAGAGTATCGAGAATTTTTGCAGTATTTCCTAAGGATGAGCAAGGCGAAGTGGAATTAAATAATGATCTTTTTCATGCTAAATAAAATGATTGGATGCAACATATCTATAAGACTTCCCTCACTGCATTACTACTTATACTTAGTATAAATATTGGAGCAGCAAGCAATAACCAAAATGAATTTCTTTATCATGAAATATCAGATATTCAGAAATCTGATATCAAGGCCTCGAGGAAATCTCAGTACGTTTCCTGACTTCTATTACACATTTAAAGCCCCTATCACATATGCATTTGTTTCATATGAACAACAGTTACGGACAATTTTTCTGCCTGGTTTACTATTGAAAGAAGGACACGCGATTTTTTCCTTCCTTTCAAAAAAAATTGCAAGTTGCTCGTTTTCAACCAACCAGTTTCGAATGCTATCAGCTTGTTTTTAATGGAGGACCAGTTTCCCCTTTACATGTCCCCCCCCAAAGTGATCTGTGGTGATTGGCTGTTATGACAAAGCAGAAAAATTGTTCCTAACAGTTGTTCTTCCGAAACAGATGGATGTGTGATAGCAGCCTTAGAGAGATGTTTTTAAATGATAATCATATATTTCAAACTTTTAGATGGTGTACATATAAACTTATTTTTATTTATATAAACACAAAACTGCTTCCATAACAGCAAATTTCTGATTATATACTTGGATTCAGCAGCGGAAATGCGATCATATTTATACAATTTGTGTTGCAAAGAAAAATGCATAACTTCTTTTACTTAGTTTTACATGCAGTGATAAGGGAATTTCCGGAATGATCTAGCATCCGGACCTCCGGCCCGCTAATAAATAAAATAAAATAAAATAAAAATCCCGCCCTTTACAAAATCTAGGAAGGAGAATAAATGAAGCATGTGAATTTTTTTTTTTGACTAACAGAAATCAAATCACTTTCAAACATCTTGAGAAAAAGTCCGGACATAGCCAATAACAATACATTGAGTGCACTGTAATAATGTTGGCCAAAATCACACTCTCGGCCGTGAGTGATTGTGGGTAGGTGGAGGCAGGCACTACGAATTTGACCCTCCGCCTCGTACAGTCTCCTGCGGATCCTAAATTCTGCTGCCCAGTGCCTCTCCTAAATTTTAAAAGTTTTGCTCATTCGATTTCTAAAAATTCTGCCACCGGCTCTGGCGTTGGTCTGATCAGGGGTTAGCATTCTTCGATCTGACATAAAATAAACGAAGCCGCAATGGTCTACGTCTCATCATACTTGATTTGAACTGATAATCTGAAATTCTGAAAATTTCCGAAATCCGGCATTGCCGAGTTCTTAACAATTCCGGATCTCGGACTTTGTACTCTATACATTTTTAAAAAAGCTTAAAGAAAAATCAGCTAAAATGTTATACAATTTAGTGTTTGCCTAACTTTCACTATCAAAAATTTAATTAAAGTGATTTAAAATTATTCGATACTAAATATCCCAACATGTTAATCTTTATATATTCAATATACATTTCCTTATTTCATCCCACTCATTAAAGTGAATTTATAATCTCAACACAGGAAACAGTTAAACATATGTATAATAACTATACTTGATGAACAAATGAAAAAATGGATCTTAAATGCAGAGGAAACATTCAGCAAAATTAAAATAAAAACAAGAAATACAAAAGAAATTGATAGAATTACAATGCTCAGTAAGGAGGAATGTTCGGAAACATAAAATCAGCATATTCTCAGAATATTTAATAAAAATTACATTTTTGAATATTATGGAACCTTGCATACAAAGAGTGACAAGGAAAGAGAAAATTAGGATAATGTTAGAAAATTAGTATAGTTCATTTAATGCTTGTTAGGATTGTGCAGTGATAAGGGAATAGTGAGTTTCCAGAATAGGTAATATAAACAAAATCAGACCAAAATAAAAGTACTCACATGGCCCATTGCTATTACCAGGGTCTAAATAATGAAAGATTATAAAAAAAGCAAGTTAATGAATGCATGAAAATAATAAAAAAATTATCTCTCAACTACTATTTAAAAATATGTAATTAAAGATCAAATTTTAAAGCAAAACAAAAAGTAACAAAGTTATTCCTCAAACAATCAGCAAAATAATAATAACAAATGCAAAATAAATTAGAACTAAATAAATCATAATATAAAACAAAATATTCATTCAATATTCAAAATAAACAAATAAATCATTTAGCATCTTAATTGTTGCTTATGAATTGCACAGTTCAAAAGAGAAAAGATATGTAAATGAAGTGGAGTTCCTATTACAACTACTTTTCATTTTTTTGAAAGATACAGAGAATGCAATATGCATGTACACAGAAAATATTTATGTATGCACATGAATGTAGAGTTTATGAGTTTAAAGGCATGAAATTATATGGGAGAAGGGCAATAATCTTTTAGAAGATATTCTTACATACATTTAGTTTTCATTCAGTGATAGTAAAAATATAAGAATATATTTATCCTATGATGATTATCAAAGCAACATTTAAAACTGTGTCATTATTTCTGGTTTTTGGAATATCCATTTGTTCTCAGTATAAATCTTGCACCACTTGTAGTACGAACTGAATATATTAAATTTATTTATATCCAGCATGTATTGCGATCATAAGAATACAGTCAATGAGCTGTATGTGACTGAAACTAGCCTTTGCATACTAAAAAATTAGTTTATTAGCTAAAATGTGTTTCAGTTTATAAAGTCATGATTTGCACACATTTTGATCCATGGCCTAAATTTTAAATTGTTGTTTACTATTTCTCTTACACTCAAACAGTATTAATGTTAGCATATCCTATTGGTAGTGCCAGTGATTCATTAGCAAAATATCAATATAAGTATTTAATTTTCACCCAAATTTGATAGTAATATTATAGCTTCTAATACATAATTTGAATCGCATTTGCTTTTATATCAAAATCTTATAGGAAGCAAAATGGAATCTGAACAATCTGAAAGCAAACTCTTATGAAGATTTAAAACATATAATAAAAAATAGTTTAATAAATGGCAAGAAATTTGTGTCACAATTAAAATTTTCTCCAGATATTTTTATGACTACCATAAATATAAATTATATGCTACAGAACTACGTAAAAGGAATAACTGATTTTGTACATCATCTAACTGAAGTAACGCTTAAGTTTAAAATGTACTTTTATGAAAATTACTATGATAAGTAAAGAAAAGATGAAAACTGGATGCATATACTTCTAATAATTAACAGGTAAATACAGTATTCATGTAATTATCTCTTAGTATTCATATTAAGTATTTTAAACCTACACAAATGAGATTTTTGCAATTGCATATATCAAAACAGAATAATTAACTACATCAAGAGCATTACAATATCTAATAATAAGCACGTTCATCGTGTTCACTAAAAAAGTATTTTTGCTGCATAACAGTAAAACTGCATTGAGTTCAGTGCAATGAAACAGGCACAGTTAAACAGTTCAGCAAAGCAGTTTTATTTTCCTAGCCCAAAAAACAGCACAGCATTTTTCCTAACTGGTAAAGAAACTGGCCTTGAAAGTTTATTTTATGAATTCTCCTAAGTTTAACTTATAATCGGGTTACCCCCCCCCAAGTCGTTTATTGTGCTAGTTACTCAGGCAGCCTTGACTCTGGGGGGGGGGCGAAAACCAGATTTCTAAATACGAGACTGAAAACGAATAGGAGGGGCAGGAATTTTCTTTTGCTGGAGGCAAAACCGTTTTTAGACCGTTGAGATTGTAGGAAACAAGCCCATTTTGAAAACAAAGGTAAAAAATTTTGTGACACATTTTGAGGTGAAAACCGAAATGAGTTAAGATCCCTCCTGGCGGGTTCAGCCAATACCTTCTAGACAAGGAGTTCCCGACCACGGAGAAATTTAATAGTTTCAAGGGAGAATGTGGTCAGCCTTTTGTTTAACCTATTAAGTATTTAGTTTTAATTTATTGATATAAAAAATATACATTTATTCAAGTTTTGCTATTTATCAACATTTTCTACACATTCTATAGTTTAATTTATAAAACATGTTAAAAAATAATCTTCATCTAAATAAAAGTCTACGTATTTTTCGAATTTTGGAAAGCAAGGGGGCAATGATCTTTTAGGGATCATGAAAGGGATGCATTGAGCAAAACTTGTTCGAACAAGTTTTGCTCGCAGACCACAATGAAAAGGTGGGTGCCCGGGTAAAAGCCCTACCCCTGAGTAGCACAATTTTAATAGAAGTCCATGTCACTGTGACACAGTATTACACAAGACAAAAGTTTGTGTAGAAGAGCTTGTAGAACGATTCTGCCACAGATACTTCCCCGCGTTTATAGTTCACCATTGCTATATTCTGAATTTACGATCATATGACCTAGTAGCTCCATGGTGACCAGCGGGGTGGAGGGAGGTGCACTTGCCCCCCCTAAAGAATGCTGCTCTTCCCTCCTGCTTTTAAATATTAACCAGCAGAGGGTTGTCGAGTTACCATGGCCACTTTGTGAAAAGTCAGGGCTAAGACGACGTCATTCGAAAGTTTTAGATCACTTTCTTGGGTAATGAGAAGGGTAAAGAAAATTATTTGACGTGCATCCTGAATGTAGAAACTGGTAAAGCTCTTAGTGACAGATAAAGAACCAAACGTCATAAAAAATATTAATTCGTTTAATCTATTCAGAGCACACTTGCGCGTGGAACTCAAAGATTTTCGTCTGTCAATAACTTAATTTTAAAAACAAAATCTTAGTATTCGCAATGCAAATCACTGATCTGTCCATCAATCACCAGTCCCCATGCTTGTATTTCTTTTCAACGGGTATTTTTCGCATATTCTCTCAGCTTCTACATTTTAGAAACTTGTATAAAATTAATGCTTATTATTTCTGTTTTTCAATCTAAGCCAATCTAAAACAAGCTTTATGATCTACTCTCAACAGTTCAGTACAATAACTTAACAGTTTTAGTATTGTAATTAATACAATACATCTGAGAAAATTTCAAGATGCGTTTCTTGCTATTTGTGGCTACAGCAGATGTAGCACAAAAGACAACTGAGGGTTGTCTATAATTGCTTAGAATAGTTATTTCTCAACAGGGCAGATCGTCTCATGCCTTATTTAGAGTATTCTTTCAGAGGCCTTCAATGCCCTTTTTCCTTATTTTGTACGAAACCATGTCATGAAAAGTTAAAGCATGAGTTTGCGACCCTTTAAAACATGGGACATAAACCTGTGAACCTTGTAAACTTAGGCAGTAACCAGGTCTTGTTGTTGAATTTGTAAAATCAAAGTTGAATCACACATAATAATGTGCCGCAATATGGTTCCTATATATGAGTTATTATTTAAGTAAAGAACAGAATTTCTGCGGATTAAATGGAAGAGTAGAGCTTTATACTTCCGGAACTTAACAATTACTTGTGCAATGTGGGGCTTTCATTTTAATCGCTGGTGAAAAATAACACCAGGATATTTTACTTCCTCTGTCCACGGCATAACTGTATAATACACACTGAAGCATAATATATTTCGATGTACGTAAATATGACAGTTACCGTCTTATTTTTATGCCAATTTCAATTTTTCAGCGATGAAGTCAGGATTCCAGTGCTTATGCACGAGTTTAAAATGAATGGCTCACTAAATACAATGATGTATTTTGCGCAATACAATGTGACTGTGAATAAAATTATGTATTCACAGTAGAATAGTGTTGGGAGAGTGAAGTATGTCGTTCATTTAAATTTGGAAACAGAGAAGACCCTCATGTGGGCCATTGTGGAACGCCCACATTAAATTGCCGGCGCTTGGAATATATGTTATTAAAGCGAACAGCAAAGTATCCATCACACAAATACGAATATATGGTATGTATAACGTAGTCTGTGAAAATCAAAACAGACTCGATTTTCAGACTAGCTTTGAGATATCGAGGAAAAGAGCTCCTCGACAGAACAGTTGAAGTCCTTGGAAGATAATATCTCCTACTTTCAACCAGTGGGGAACAGTGGTGTGTTCTGTTATTTGTCTGAGACAGTTTTGGTTCAGCGAAGGTGGACGCTTAGTAAGTAATTCAAATGTTCCTCCTCCTATTCATAATAAGTCGAGAAACCCCCCCCCCGGTTAGCTTAAGACGTGATCTTCGTAAACGGTACACAAAATAAATACATTTTATTTTCCATATGTCATTTTATCAAGCAAAATTGTATGTTAAAGACGTTTCTAATTTAATTTTTACTAGAAACTATATTAACATTAATAAAAATACACTACATTATTGGCAATCTAACTCTAAAACAGAGCATATAATTAAATACTGTATAAATTACTTGGAATTCGTTCATTAGTAGCTAAAAATCCCCAGTTTTATATACATGACTTTATTTGATGAATTTTCAGATTCTTTATGTCTGAGTCTTTGATTGAGATAGCGAAGATCAGGGCGCCTGCGCAGTTTGCTTGTTTTAAAATAAAAACATCCCCATGACAATGTTTTCCTTTCGAGTTAAAATTATTAGCTAAGAGATTATTTTATTGTTGATGCACAGGAATAACTCTTTGTACTGCTTCTTTCTGGGCTTCGATGCTAGCCTAGCTACATTGTTTTCCCAAAAATATGATTAGCGAATTAATTTTTACTCATAAAGACGCATTAGGGCAGTTTTCAGAAATATCTTATTTTTCCCTTGCATAACAATTAGCATTTATCCATTTACAACAATCTTCATTTTTTGATAAATTCAAGAATCTACATTTATTCACGTGCAAAAATTTATATTAATTCAAGTACAGTCATATCTTCTTCTTCTGGAACATCGTAATAAAGCACTAAACCTCGAATGCCGGCCTCAATTTCTTGCGATTTCATATTCTGTAGAATCATTGGCACTATTCTATGAAATCTAGCAGCAGTCTAAAATAAGCACTTCTTGTCCATGTAAAAACTTAGCTCGCACTTAACTAGCAACACAGCTGCCAGTGATTTTATCCCATGAATTCTTTATCCTCTTGCAGGCCAGGCTTCACAAAGCGTCATTTCCCTGCTCGAACAGCGGTGTTGGTCTTCTTAGAGATAGTTTATATCGCTGAAGGAAGCCACCTGTCCAATATTGTGATGATTTGAAATTTTCTGGTGATATATCTAACTCTTGCCCCCATTATAAGGGTAAACCCTTAAATATCGGCTCGGCGAACAACCAACTCCTCTGCTCCTCTGTCAGCAACAGCTAACGTCTTCCAATTAAGATAGGCTGATTACTGATCTGACCCAATTCAGTGTTCCTTAGCATCTCCCTCGTTCTATCTGCTGACTGAAGTTATTGTATTCTGATCCCAATTTTCGGACTATTTTGAAATTTAACTTTTTCTGTAGAAGGTTATAAGACGCTTCCTTCAGAAGACTTCCACGATTCCTTTCATGCACTTGATACACTAGCATTTTTAAAAATGTTTTTTAATGCGATCATTTTGTTCAGGGATCAAATTAGAATTCTCTTAAAAATCAAATATTAATTCAAGTGTGAATTAAAGATTTGAGAGACAGGATTGGCATCAAAATTTGTTAAGAATGCTGCTGCACGGAAAAGCGACGCAAAATTCCAAGCACAAAATTCAGAAAACATTTCATTTCACGCAAGTGCATTAAGTACGTCCGTTACAGCATGCGAAGTATTGAATTACGAAGCTTCTAAATAGTCACAACCACGTTAACAGGCGCTCACGTGAGTTGAATCTGTACTCCAAATAGTCATTCGGAAATAAATCGGACTGGCAATCTTAATTAAATCTTATTTCTGCGGTAGGGCTTATATTGAGAGAAACCTGTAAAATCATGCTAAGGCCTTTTTTTCCGGAAAACACGGAAGTCCAAAATATACGTCACTGAAAAACAACTAATTTTCTGTGTAATGCAGATTACAACATCTATTCATGGACCTTAATAAATTTGTGAATTAAATCAAAACTGAAATTTTTTCTTATCGAGTTCAGAATATTTTCTTTATCACTGTTATATATAAATTTAAAAGGCAAAAACAAATGAAACATTTAATATGATTTCAAATACATATGTACTGCTGGTTCATATAAAGATTAAACACAATGAATACAATGCAGACTTACCAGTAGTAAAATTCACACCAAAATCTTCATGGACGTTTCCATCAACTATACTATAAATTAGTTGCCTTCCTTCTGGACTGTCAGCTAAAACTGTAAGGACAGCTGACTTTGAAAGCAACGATTCTGCAACAGATATATTATAATACTGCTTTGGAAATACCGGCATATCTCTGTTAATCAGACGAATTGGAACGTCAACTGTAGTTCTTAATGGTGGATTACCTAAAACATGTACAATTTTATTCAGTGTTTCAAGAAGAAAGTACACATTTTAAGAAACTTAGTAAAAGCTTTAGAAATATTGGGTTAAAAAAATCTATGGAAGTTGCAGATTACAAAATGATACTATTAAATCAAAATCTTCAGCCATCAAACACATAAACTCTAACTTATCAAGATTGTTGCTTAAAGGCAAATATAAAAGATAAATGTGTAATGCCGATCAAGAGTTAGATAAAAGAGTAACAAAAGAAAGAGGTAAAAATCTCCCCCCTCAACAAAAAAATACTAATAATAATAAATCAAAATGAAACACGTATAATATGGAAAAAGTTGAAAACGCCTTGAAACGTTTGGCTTAAGTTACTAACCACTTTGCATAATTTAAATTACATTCAGTCCCTTTTGATTATTGATAAGCAACAGCTCACTTCAAAAGGATACAAATTAGTCAGCAAAGAGAAAAAATTACGAGAAGATATAAAATTAACAAGTTAACTGTAAACAAGATTGATTTGATTTTGAATTGCCCGTTTACCATCGTTCTAGGTAATTTAGATAGAGAACCCTGGTTTCATGTTTCTGAAAGTAACCTGATCTTGCTGAAAAGTATTATTATGTCATGCTTTTTACTGATCCACCTTAAGTTACGTAAATCAAAATACGTAAGTTACATTGATCTACAGCATCTAAAATCATTAATTTGAGAAGATATTAAACATTTTCCTCGTAATGAAAATTGATTTTTTAACACTATCATCTAAGATGACAGTTAATAGGAGCTTTAAATACACATTTACTTTTATTTTACTATTAGTTAAAAAGTACAAGGCTGAAAGCTTTACATCTATACATCAAAACCAGTCTGAAAAACGAAAGAGACTTTGCTTCACAATACTCCGAGTCTAATTCTTTTAAATCTTCTTCATTTGCAAAAGCTAAAATAGGAAATGAACTTGATTATACAAACAAAGAATTTTTGTTCATTTTATAGAGTGCAGAGTAAAAAAAGATAGATGTGTATTAGATAGATTTTTAAGGCTTCATTTTCATTTAAATGGTTTTGCGGATGGCTATTCAATCAGATGACAATCAATGTCAAATTCAATCAAATGTATGACTATTTCAAATCAGATGATATTTTAAATTTATCTGTAAATTCAGTTCGTTTCAATTCACAGAATTAATTCAATTCATAAAAAGTTTTAAAGCTATATGTTGCTACGAAAGTGTACTTTCATAGTTATCAGTTTATGAAGGTCAGGTGAAGTGATGCAAGATTTGACCATTAAGTATCATTGAAGAGCACTAAAATGGCTGTGCTGCTTTTACTGGAATCAGCCTAACCATTAAGAAGAAAATATAATTTGACATTCTTAGATTATTTTATTAATAAACTAATTTTACCAATAAATATATCCTAAGACTTAAAAACATATAGTTTAATGCCTTCGTTTGTCAAAATTTCCTGACTTGGTGACTAGAGATGGCGAAATATTTTAAGGCCATGTGAAAAGAAAATAAGAATTTAAAAATCTGACGTGCACACCACATCTCTTCTTTATATGGCCTATTAAATTATGCATATTTTTAACTGCATTTAAATTTATTTCCTCGAATTATTCTACTTAAATAACTGATCCCTCAAGACAAATTAAAAATATCAAAAATTGTAGATTTTGAAATTAAATATCCAGATCAATTTTTGTCGTAAGGGAATCAAACTTCTTGTAAAATTTTTTAATCTCTTCGGACGTACAATTGTCACGCAAAAGAATTGTCGAAATTGATTCATGAACAGTCAAAATGGATATTTATGTTGAAATATGCTACCTGACATTTTTCGCGGTTATATTATTTCTTTTACTTCGAGGAAGTAAAACTCCAAATTCAAATCGAGTTACATAAACTATTCGGTTTCCTAAAATTTGTTCAACCACGAAAATAATTTCTTTTAGCAACGGATAACTTTTTTCGAAGATATTATTTTATTTTTAATGATTAATCAAATAAACAGATTTATGTATCAAAGAAGCGGATAGCTCTTCGCCATATTCAAAAACAGAAAATCATCTTGAATAATCAAGAGAACCTAAAACACTGGAAGAAGAATAAATCATACAGGTAAAGAAAAAGAACCAATTATCCGATTGACGCACCGCTTTACAGTAAGTTGGTGAAGTTCTTATATTTGCATTCACTGCGCATTACGTCGATAGCCTTTTAAAATGCTGTGCTTTAGGATACGTTTCTTTATTTTTCCTTTTTGTAATACTATTCGATAGTTCAAATTTTTTCTTTGAAAGATATTCAGTTTTATTATGCATATGCCTTGTGAAAATTCCTTTGAGTATTATAAGCAATAACTTTATCATCCCCTCATTTAATATGATACATAACAACGTTTTCCAGAGTTATACAGCTCATTTAAAGCAGCATCCCCTGGATTCTAGTTCTAGGGGGTGTTGTTTAGAGCCGGTTGGATAAGAACACTGAATGCAGGTATTTCGATTTGGTTTCGGATCCTAGCGAACTGGTTGGTTGTATGAGCCTTTTAGCAATTTTCCTGATGCTTAGCATTAATATTATCCAGTTACATACAAAAAGTCCTCGACGAAGGCATCCTTCTGGTTAGATAGATAACCGTCGTATACTTCGCGATATTCAGTTAAATTATCGGAAGAAAAATGAAAAATAAAAGCTTAAATGATATCTACTTATAACAGCTGATAAAGCTAAATCTTTACTGTTAAACAAAACTTAAACTCTTCAGACAGCATTTTGATTTTGAAAGTTTGACATTTGCATTCGCATTTCCTTTTTGAATGCAAAATTATATTTGTAATCAATACATTTCCACAAAATTTGAACATCATCATTTGATTTTATTTTGCGGACATACATTAGTGTACGGAAGAAGTACAGTTTTGCAGTCGCTATATTACAAAATATTAGAAACGAATATTATTTATCACATTTTTATATAAAATAACATGCACTGCAAAATACTTTTGAAGCAAAGACAAAGAAACTTTGTTTTAAAATGATTCGCTTTCTTACGGTGATAACAAAGTATTTTTTTAATATCGAGGACAAATGCAACACAACAACAAGCTCTTCGAATGACAACAACATGTTCTCGTGTTTCTCATTTTCATTTATAGGAATTTTACGTTAACTAAAAACAACAAACTCTTTAGAGAGCCAAAAAATCGAGGACATGAGGATAGGAGCAATATATATAAGCTTGAATTATTTTCAATTTTTAGTTTCCTGTTTTGAATATTGGAGCAAATCTTTAATCACACATTGCACAGCTTGATACTAAAATAGCACTTGAAAGAACTCCTTTGACCTACTTCATGCAGCATTAAGTAATACATTAGATAAATTTTTTTTAAAAATACACACATTAATTATGATTTTCATCCAATATTGGAAATACACAATAGTGTGCAAAATATAAGCAACAGGTCCATTTTTCAACATACAATCATGAAATTCCTGAAAAGGGCTTTTTGCGATCAGTAAACAGAAACGTCAACTCAGTAGAAAGATGATGCATATGGGGTGCAGATATTAGCATCATGACATCAGAGATTACGTCAGGACAAAACACGAGGAGTCAGAGCATGGAAACTTAAAAAGAAGAAAGGAAGTTGCATTTCCACGCATTCTTCTGCAAGTGAAAGCGAAACTGTACGTGCAGTATGCCTAGATCAGGACGCCTTTACATGCGGTAGAATGATTGACAAGCTTGAGGAGGGGCGTAGTGTGATATCTGTCACCCGAAAATTTGAAACTGATAAAAGCGTTGTTTCACGAGCTTCGAAAGCATTCCAAACGATGGCTGATGGTGGTCGGACAAGCAAAGCTCGATCCGATCCGAGCATTTTATGCCGAGATATTGCGCGGCAGCGCAACATGTCCGGCTCAATAACAGGAATTTTTCCAGCAAAACTACGATGACTGAAGATGGATATATCGCTCTGCAGGCGAAACGAGATCGACACTAGATAGCGAGCAACATTTTTGCCAGACGATTTCATAAAGGTGGCTATTCTCCTACCGTCCTGAACGCTAACATACCACTGACAAGACTGAAGATCTCACCAATGGAATCACCCTCCGAAACTCATTTTATACATTTTTAGAACGATTTTAGAGCCGTTTATTTTATGTTTAAAATATAAAGAGTATTTTTTTAAACGTCCCATCTGATAGCCCTTTTTATAAGTCTGATCGTGATTTACATAATAGAAGGCCTTTTTCGTAAAATTTCCAGGGTTATTGATTTCCATTCCTCTTCCACTACTTTCTAGAGTCCATCAATCGTGGTGGGTTTGAGTTTAGAAAGAGCTTTTTTTTTTAAGAGACCAAAGCGCAATAGTTTCACGGGTGAAACGTCAGGACACTTTGCAGGAATACACTGAAAAGGGATATGTGTAATACCTGTATCAGTCTTCATTTTATCAAGGAATGGAAGTGGTACTTTTCGAAGTATAACATGTTGCTTTGTCTTGAAGTTTCACTCTTGCCATTGGGATAAAGAAATGGAAAATCTTCTTTAAATATCAGACGTCAAACTTTCTATTGATAGTACTTTGAATTGATTTTAACATTCTTTTCACATGCTCCTTATTTTTAATTTTTCACTGAAAGAGAATCCTGCGGCAACCATAAACCCCTTACTGAAACTTTCTTTGCCTTGACGGATCCTTTTCGATAATAAATAGACAATTTTTTGGGGGGAGGGGAGGCTGCAGTCATTTATGCAAACACACACGCTTCATTAAGAGTCACAACGTATTTCCATTTATCTCCTGCTAAAGAGTTTTCCTACAGGATTCTATAAATTGTCCTGCATCGACCCAAATGCCGTAGCAAAAGTTGGTAAGCACTATATTTTCTTAGATTTCTTTTGCAGCTATTCGTCTGAAGTCCTTTTTTCCATGTTGAAGTAATGATTAACGGCTTTTCCCTTTCCGATGAATAATGTTGCTTATTTTGCAACTGGAAATTTTAATACCGTGCATTTCACAACATTTTTGAATTATGGAATCGAAATATTTCCCTTCGGAAAGCACAAAAACATATCTTTCAATCCACAACAACATGCGACAATTTTGAAAAAATAAATTTTAATGTTCGAATAAATCTTAAAGTAGCAGACGACATTTCTCATTTCAAATAATAAGCGGGCCCACCAGCCGTCGAGCGGTAAAGTCGCTGAACACTGTAGTTCGGTCCGAGGTTCGAATACCGAGAACGGGCTGGCTGCGTGGGTGTTTTCGTGGTTTGCCCATGTTTTAACGTGTATATGAGCCAGTTTCCCTTAGAAAATCCTCCACGAAGGCATTCCTCCTCTTAGGCAGATAGCCCTCGAGGCTTTGCCATAATCACACACACACAAATAATAAGCTGTTACCAAAAATTTTTATTTCGAAACATTTGCTTTTTTATAAATATATATATATATATATATATCGAAATCGTTCTAAAAATGCGTAAACACCCTGTGTACTTGTCGAAATCCCCTACTCCAGTTACAATATTACCTGTGGCATAAGTAAATTAGTGCACATTTAAATCTTATGCAAAATAAACATAATGAAAGCATTTTAAGGAAGCAGTGGCATCCATTTTCTAAGCAAGAAATTTATGTGACAAGTCAATATATATCAATGTATGGAAATGTGAATGTAATAAAGGTGGACTATGGACATTATTTCCATAAATATTGATCCTAGAAACGTATTGATAGTAAAAAAAACTTTCTCAAAATAAGGCAGAGGATTTTTTGAGAACAGCTCGTGTATAGAAGTGTTCATTAAACATAAAAACGTTTTATAAACGTTGCATTTAATGTTTAATTTTATGTTAATTATAGAGTAAAAAAAAAGAAATGTTCGTTAAATATTAACTACGCTATAATAAATTAAAGTAAAGAGCTAATATTGCAAGCAAAATTAGCAGATATGGTAGAAAATGAATTTACAGACTTTAAACACTCTTCGGTGCTTATTACCTATCGAAGTTTTGGAGACCAGTTTAGGAAGTAACTAAAAGCATAAAAACGTATTTTGTCAATTAATGATTCGGCTTGTATAAAACAGAATTTGTCACTACATTTATAGATGAATTAAAATATTAATTACACATATTTCTGAAAATTTTTTTTCACGTACGGAACGTATAGTATAGAGTTTATTTAAATATTATGAATATTTTAGCAACTGGAATTTTTATTCTACAAGGACCATCTGAAGCTCGGGTTCTATGTTAGCAGAACTCTCCCCAAAACACTGTTGAAACCGTTTCTATAAAATTCTTTACCTTATTTTCTGGAAGTATGTAGTTCAAAATATATGAGGAAATAAAGCCTATGTTTATCCATACTTAAAAGACGTTAAAGAAATCATGATTGTATTTAGCTAATCACACAAAAATGTTTACCTCCATCAACTGCTGCAACAACTATTTCATGATCAAGGTTCTGAGATCCAACTGGCTTTAAAAGAATGATTTCTCCAGACCTTGGGTCCACTTTGAACGTTTTATTATCACCTTCAACTAACTCGTAGTGAACTTTACTGTTCTGTCCTAAATCTAGATCAATTGCATGCACCTGTAATAAAATTCATACAGATTAGTGATAATTATCAAAACAATAATTAAGATTTCATTCATAAAGTTGCTAAATCAGGGATCACATCAAAAAAAATTCTGCCTCTGAAAACGAGTCATAGCTCACATAAAACAATTTAAAAATTACATGTTTTGCTTCATAAAACTTACATTTTAAAAATTAAATTGAGAGGCTTCATTTTATTTTAAATACCTAATGAATGTTTATCTAAACAGTTTCTTTACATTTTGACATATTATTTTAAAGAGAAGTGAATGATGAAATTCAATTTGATGGAACAACAGGCGATACGAATTGCCGAAACTGAATTTTTCATAGTGAGCCAGAAATCATCACATAGTCTCATTTACCAACTAAAACCACCGAAATTCCTTTTCTTTATGTTTCTCTACTTAGTATCAAAACCAAATTTACTAATTAATTGTGGCGAATAGATTTATTCACATGCAAGATGCCAGAGAACTGTCCCAATTTAGAGACAACATATTTAAAAACTTAACCGCAAGTATCAAAGTTCATTTTTCTAGTGCCATTTCCTGAATTCTGCTTCTGAAAACGTCCTTTGGATTCCAGGTAAGCGCCTGACACCAGCTATGATTTCTTGGGGACTTTTAATGTATGTTCCAGAAGAAGATATAACCGAAAAAAATTACTCGGGAAGTATATGTATCGGACAGTTTCGCAGAGACCATCTGAGTATGCTTCCAGTTACACCACGAAGGCATGCGGAAAGGAGAGAAAAAATACCTTCTAACGCTTTAGAAGAAACTCTAACTTATAGCAAAAACAGGTCTTCAGCTTAGGTTTGATTTACATCTAATCATTTTTATATGCTGAAATTAACGCCTTTTAATTTTTCATTACTGACCGTATGATTATTGCGACTAAGCCACTAAACATGCTTTTTTCCAGAAGAAGGATGTAGTTGATTGGGTCCTCATCTGCAGTATACAACAAAAAGGTAAAAAATACTGATGATTTCGGATTCAACCGAATTTACATTACTCTATAATAAATATTCAGTTAATTATTTAAAAAGCATTTTTTTCGGTACGCTCAGCATTGAAACTAAATGTAATTCTATTAAGACCGCTTATTATATTAAGAATGGAATGGAATTTTGAAAAATTAAGAAACATGTGATGTAGAGACATTAGGTATTTTTTGAAAGCAGGAGAGATGAAAAATGAGCAATGTCCTCGCCGGGACTCTAACCACGGACCTCTCGAATACGCGTCGAGCGTGCTGACCACTACACCACGAAGGCATGCTAAGAAGGCGGGAGAAATACCTTACAGTGGCACTTTGGGGAAAGGAGATTTACTCACATATTTTTAATAACAGTGGCACTAAGCTAAGTATTAAATGCATACATATCAAGCATCTGAAACTAAATACTATAAAATTAATTTAAAAAATAGACGTGGGAAGGAAAATATTCCATCAAATAATTTAATTAAAAGCAAACAGTAACCTTTTTGCACTCGAGAGGCGACACTAGGTCACCACCTGATTTGATGCGAGTCGATCACTACTCGGCTTGATGCGATAACTTGAGAGGTAACAATGTTTATTTAGGTTCGGTTTGGGGAATATCACTGCATGATGTATTTAACAATACATACATATAAAACAGCTGCAAATGTTTAAATACTTTTTTTAGATTTATTTTTATATATTAGTCTTCGACATTAGTTCGAACTCGATAGACGTGGCCAACTGGAACATTGTTTTCAAAGTTACGAAGCCCAGTAAGCATGAAAAACGATGAAGGAATCAGTTTAAGTGAAGATAAATTAAATTCTTCCCTGATGAAGAACGAATTACGTCTATGCATAAATTCCTTGAGGACAAAGAAGAAAAAAGTATTAATGAAGATAGCGATGAAGTAAGAGGTGTAAGAAGGCGAAAAATGAGGGTAATATATAGTGATTTTTATGGAAGCGACAGTGATTCAGCGGAAGGGACAATTCAAAGTGGATAACGTGCATAGAATCCGAAGAAATAAAGCAAAGAATACCGTTTGTATCCGGAGCTACAGGACCGCAAGTATCTTCAGACATATAAAAGAACCATTAGATTTCTTTAAATTGCGTGTGAAATCATTTTAAGTTAGCCGAAAGAAATTCACCAGATATGAGGAAAATTGTCTCGAGTTGCTGGTTCGCAGCAGCGAAAAAGGCCTCGAGAGCAAGGGATTAATTAAGTTTTCCGACAAATGAAGAAGATAAGAAAAATTTCATTTCTTCCTGCAGGTTAAAATATATTCTTAATTTGATTCCATTAATCACAACAGACAATTAAGTGTTTTTGAATTTTATGTAATTTCCGAAATTTATAATAATGATACAAAAACTTCTACATATGCAATAAAATCATAAATATGATTACCTTTCGAACGATGTATCCTTGCTGTGCTTCCATAGGAACCACTGAATAATATGGTAAATTCACAAAAATGGGTGGGTTATCATTAACATCTGTGACAGTGACTTCAACTAAAATATGGGCTGTTTGAGGAGGGGAAGTTATCTCACTTTTTACTTCTACAACGAGTGTATAGAAATTCTGCTGTTCTCTGTCAAAAGGAATGCCTTTAGTTCTAACTACGCCAGAAGTCGTTCCAATTTCAAACATTTCAGAAGGATTTAAGATTTTAAAAGTTAAATGTTCATTGAGGGCTGTACCTATAACTGATATGACAGCTACTGTTATAATTTTATTGGAATTTTCTTCCACTTTAGCTGTATATTTAGATTTGCTGAATCGCAAAGAGCCTGCTCGAGACTCTTTAACTTTAATCGATACTTTAGAACTAGCTTCATATTCGCTGTCACTTGCAGACACAACAAGCTGATACTCCTCATTCATATCTTCAGGATTTCGAACAATAATTTCACCGCTATCTTCATCAATAGCGAATTTTTCACCAAAATTTCCAGAAACAATATTGTATTTGATAGAGGTACTAGCTACAGTATCAGGATCTGTTGCTTTCACAGAAGTAATAACAACTCCTTGATGTGTAGGTAATAACAGAGTAGCTGCATATGATGGATGTTCAAACTGAGGAGGGCAGTCATTGATATCAGTTATAAATATAGTTACAGTTGCTGGAACTACAGCACTAAGTCGTGGTTTCCCCATATCAGTCACCTGTACAGTGAAAGTATAGTTGGAAAACTTTTCGTGGTCTAAAACTTGTGATGTGCTGATTGCACCTGTAAATAGTATAAAACCATTACGTATTTACTACATAAATAACTTTTCACATTATGAACATGAATAAATATACATAAAAGAGTTGGATAAGTATGCATATAAACTAAAAATATACCGGTTAAAAATATCAATACGTAAAACTATCATATACAATATTCAGATAAAACATAAATGAATGAAAGATTCATTTCCCAAATAAAATATCTGCTATTGATCCTAAATGCTATTTAATTTATCAAGAAAAAATGCAAAAAAGTCAACTATTGCGGGAAATATGTGTAAAATTTCCAGAATAAATTGGTTAGTTCCGCTATGAAGCATTTAGTTTAACATTTAATGTTTTTTAGGTACTTAAGTATTAGTGTGTGTTTGTGTGTGTGATTATGGCAAAGCCTCGAGGGCTATCTGCCTAAGAGGAGGGATGCCTTCGTGGAGGACTTTCTAAGGGAAACTGGCTCGTATACACGTTACACATGGGGAAAACCACGAAAACGCCCATGCAGCCAGCCCGTTTGCGGGATTCGAACCTCGGACCGAACTACCAGTGTTCAGCGATTTTACTGCTCGGCCGCTGGTGAGCCACTTAAGTATTAGAGCAACCACTATAGCAAAAGTCGCCAAATTTTCAAAATGCGCCAAATTTGGCGCAAGATTCTTTAGTTTTAAAAAGCAACATCGCCATTTTCATATGCCTTATTTCCCCTGTATTCTAAGTCCAATGGTTTTTATAAACAATTTGTGATTTCTTGTGCTTTAAACAGAGTTTTAAAATATGCGCTTGTGAGAGTTGCCTGCTATAGAAGAAAGTGCGGTAAAATATCTGCCAGAATATAGAATTTTGCTACAAAATGGCTAAAAAAGAGCAGCTGCTTTGAATGTGTTCTTAAAGTTATCGCCACGGAAATTCTGCCAGGATAAAAGAAACCAAAATTTGCTTGTAAGTGTTTTTATTAATTTATATTCCAGATAAAAACGTAATTAAAATGTAATATATGTATGTACGTACGTAGCAAATAATTGTTTTAATTAATAGTCATTATTATTTTTCTTTAAAACATAGCTAAATTGAGGCAAGGTGGTTGCGCTAATACGTAAGTATCCTTTTTTTTTTTTTTTTCGTTTTCGAAATATTAAACAAGGATTTAACGCCCAAAAAATGCATTAATATGTTGCTAAGTAAAATGAAGCCATGTTGGTATTAAACAAAGCGATAGTGAATTATGAAATAACAGTTCCATAACAACTATGCCTTCTTTTACTTAAAAAATATAGATATTAAGTTATTCTAAAATAGTGCTCCCTAGTTGATGCATAGGGAAGCTTCACGAAATGTATCGTAGAGTTTAAGCACACGTTTTACAATCGATTTCTGATTTCAGCATCAAATATTTGAACAATCAGTATTTGCATCTTTTTATTGATGTAGTGAAAAGATTATGCATGCAGCTAATATAATTATGTCTTTAAAAATCATATATTTTGAAAGCCCATTTCAAATACAAAAATCAATTATATATTTTAAACACATGATCAGTTCTAACTTAATCAGCTTTTCATAGTAATGATTAGTAATTATCTCTCTATTAAATCTGCTCAATATTTTCATTGAAAATGATAAGAATAGTGATATATGTAGTATTCCGCTGGTATTAAAAAAAAAGTCTCTGGATGAAACGTGATGCTCATATCTCTGAGACCTGTACAGTGAAATTTAAATAAAGAAAATGATTAATACATCTTTGAGAGAATCTACGGATAGTCAACTCTAACACTACAGACTGGTAAACTATGCAGAACATATCAAGCGCAGAACTTAACATTAAGAAGTGTGTTTAACACAGTATTCTTAATTGTAATTACATAATAATTCAAAATCAAAACCACTGTGTTTCAAAGAGTTCAGCAAAGTGTGTCGTCAACCAGAAAACGGTCGGAAATCATTGATCTAAAGAATGAATATGATTATAATGATGCTGAAATTTTATATTAGAACTTAAAACACTATTGACAAAGAAGAAACAAATTATGCACTATCTGATTTGTTAATACTGATTGTAATGAAAATAGATAAAAAAAGTTAAATAGTTGAAATAAATCATTAAGACTGCATTCTGAAAAGGAAAAATGTATAAAGGATTTTGGCCCAGTAACTATGAATTTAGCAATTATTAAAATAGTATTATACGAACACAGAATTCTTCCAAGCATAATAAGTAAAATCCAAAATTACAAAAAAGGCAACTATTATTATTTGGACCAAAACAGATTAGGAATTAACGTGACAAATCATATAAAATGTATAACAAAATCATTCACATTTCAAAGAAAATTTGACTGTAAATTTCCCATATAAAATACACAAATATTATTACTACTTCAAACAATATATCTAAGCATTTAAGAGAAATTCTGGAGTTAAATCTGAAATTTTGGAATATGGCCAATTTAACTTACCAGTACTTGAATCGATTCTAAAGTATAAATTAGCTGACTTTTCTACTATTTTATAAAACAAAACTGCATTGAGTTCGGAATCTTTGTCTACGGCAGCTACTACTAAAGGCAAATTGGATTCATTGAGCACTATACTGTCCGCATCCATCGCTTCACTAACAAGGCCGATCATTTCAGCTTCTAAGAAATAGGGATGGTTATCATTACGGTCAAGTACGTGAACAAGAACCATGGTCTCTGCATTTGTTCCAACCATATTTGTGGCCCGCACAGTCAAATTGTAAAACACATTCGTCTCATAGTCAAGTGATTTGGTAGTATGAATAACACCAGACGTAGGATTTATTGTAAAGTGATCATCCACATTTCCTGCAACAATTTCATAATAAACAGATGATCTACAAGTTGCTGACACCCCAACAACTTTTATTTCATTCCTACCATTTTCAAACAATTCTACAACGTACGCCGACTTCTCGAATTTTGGAGGAGCATTATCAGCAATTGTAATGATGATATGAACATTCACACTTCCATTCAGAGGTGCATCACCATTATCCGTTGCTCTGACACTAAGAAAGTACTCTGACATTGAATTTCGATCTAAATTTTGTGCAACTTGAATGATGCCAAGAGTTGGATGAATTGCAAAGGCTCCACCAACATTTCCTAAAATAATAATAAAAAAGGCATGATAAGATAAGTTAAGATAATAAGATATAGTTAAGATAAGTTAAATAACGATCTCAAATGTGGAAAGTGGTATATGTAACTAGAAGCAGTTATTGAATAAGTAACAAATTATTATCCGCGTTTTATGGAGAAATGAAAATTTTACAAATACAGACAACACGCAATACGGTGAAATGAAAAAAATCGGAATGGGTCCATACTGCCGATGATTTTAGTTACAAAACTAACACTGAAAAACATCCAGTTTCAATGGACGACACTTTTGCAAGAACACTATTCTGCCATCATTATTAATCGTTTTATAACAAAATTCACAGACTGAACACTTCTGTCTAAAAATACCTCAAGATGCAATAGATTTGTGGTAAGAAGGAGCTATCATGCATTATTGGTTTGTAAAACATCCTTCGGGACTTTTAGTGCTTATTATTTCACAAGTTTTTCAAAATCATTAGGAAATACACTTAACATCTTTACTCTGCTTGGAGGCGATATACTGCTATAATGAAGACTTTGAGTTAGGTTTTTATGTTAATAACAACATTCTGTGCTAAATATGTTTAAACACATAGATTCAGAATATTCTTTTCATTAATATATTTGCCAAATAATTATCTTACGAAATCTTTTTAAAGACATACATACCTTTACAAAACATAACCACTAACAATATATATATATATATTACAGAATGAACGAAACAAAATTACAGTAAGAGATAATTTGGCAAAATCTATGTTCAATTTTTGAATATTTTAACTTTCATGTATCCAGAATGCACAGATTTCTTCATATCATTTAATATTCCTTAATAATACCGGTTGAATTAGGCATAACACTTTTTCAGTAAAATATTTCGCACAAATAATATAACAGATTTTCATAATTTAAGATGTAAGTGCATATTTAGATAGGGAAGTTCCTAGGCTGCCTGCGTACTTTCCTATTAAATTTTTAAAAAAATGCTCAATGATTAATTGAATTTTTATTTCATACTCACTAAGTACTTACATATGACAAATTGTATAAAAAGTACTTACATATGACAAGTACTTACAACGAATTTAATGAATTAAAAATATTTAGGCGTAGTATTGCAAGAGTCCACCCGCCCTTGATTTTGGCCGCCCGCGTACTTTTACGCGCTGTAGCCTCCGCTAGGAACGGCCTTGTATTTAGTAGTAAGATGTAATTCATATCATAGTGCAAAGTAAGTACTTTCTACGCATTTTCGAAGACTGTAATTTAATAAATGCGGTCTTTTCCAAGACGAAAACTCCCAAGATTCAGATTTTCCTATACTGCAGGCTATCTTAGTACAGGAAACCCATACTTTCATAACATAATATCAAAAACTAAATACGAAATAATCATAATTCACCACAGAGTATTGGAACATTTACCGTTCTACCCAAACGAGGATAGAAATTTTACCGAATTTTAAATAACCTAACCAGCTGTGTTTGAAGAATTGTAAGTGAGTGGGAAAAGAAACATTTGAATTCAATGTTGACTACCTCTACAACCAAATAATGATGCTGTTAAGAAGCAAATGACAAACCACAATATTTAATGCAGTTTAAAATAGCATAACGTTTTACTCTATCTTTTATATATTATTTCATAGAAAATAGCAGGCATTTTTGCATACGATAAGAAAAGTTCTGAAATATATATGCTTAGAATTTAAATTTTATGGGGCAAAATAATAATAATTTAAATAAATTTAAAAAATATATTAGATTGTAAGGATCTTAATTTTTACTAACGTTTATTTTATTTTAAAACTTTTACTATCTTTCTTATTTTCCACTTCCTGCCAGAATTAAATGCTTTAACTTGTTTACGCAAATTGTACTTGCCCAAGTATTTAAGTTGTGGCCTTTTGCCAAGAGTTAGAGAGGGAAAATGAGCCGTCTTGTCACTGCATTCTTACGAGTTTTCAATCATTTTCTGCTCGCCTTTAAGGCCAGAGGTTTAGTCCTCTTGATATTTAAAACGTATTGTAGTTTCGGCAGTTTGCGTACTACCTACGTAACCTTTTAAAAAGGCCAGGCTTAGTGTTAGCCATTTGTAACCTAATTCAAAGTTAGCTTTTAGTTAGAGTTTTGGTTAGTAGTTTTATATTTTTACGTTCAGACCACAGTGGTTGGTCTCTGTATCCCGAAGTACGGAGCACCTGTAAATTAATAGAGAATAAAGGGTTCAGTACATCCTTCCTGCTTGTGTCGTCTATTCCACACATACTTGAATATAGCTTTAGTAAGCTCCCTGTTCCTATTCAGGATACGAAGTATTTCCAAAGCAAGTCAAAAGACATACAAGTCCTGACAAGAGGAGAAAGAAAGCATCTTTAATGTACCAGTAGCAGTTCGAATAGAAAGGATTATGTAATGTCAGAAAAAAAGCACCGTAAAATTTGCTGAAGGATTAGTTACATATACACATAAAAATGAATGCCACATAAAACAGTATTTTCGAGACAGTAAAAGACATAACAGAAAAAGCAGCCAATTTTCATAATCTCTTTTTAATAATTCTAACTTAATTACTTTTTCAGGATATTATTTTTTGCTCTATTTTTAACATATCTATAAGTGGTTCACTTGTCATACGTGGAGAAGCAGATTTTACTGACCGGTTGAAGTATCCAAGATGAGCAAGTGATCATTTTATTGGTTTCCCCGATCTTTAGACATGACGCGTTTTTATCCGCAGGTCCTTGTAAGAGATGCCGCCTGCACCAGTTCACTTCAGACTCGAATTTCATAGCAGTACATTTCAATTGTTGCACAACTATCATTCAGTCATGAGGCACAAAATACATATTGCTCTAATACATGATAACTTATGGGAAGTATACACAAAAAATTTCTGACATAACAAATATTAATGTTTCCCATATAATACAAAGGACACGACTTCCCATATAATACAAAGGAAAAAAAAAAATTTAGCAGTAAGCAAAATCTGCTTCTCCATTTTGAAATAGCCTACGAAAATATATATACATACATATCAGGAGAGAATTTCATGCTATGCGTATATAGCTGCGTAGATACCTGAGATGCATGACGACAAAAAAACAGCAGCCGTGGCTGAAGATAGCAAGACAATTATTAGCAAAGCGGCATTTATAGAGTTTTTTTTTTTTTTTTTTTTTTTGTTTAAATTCTGAACGGAGATTGGATAAAAAAATATCCGCAATGCTATTCTTACGTAATGGCTTAATATAGATTAATTTTCAGATAACGCAAGATAGCCAACTTAAAATGAGGAATTGAAAGAGCTGTAGCTAAATTAAAGTTAGTAATTCTCTTTCATATTTTATATATTACACACGCAAACACACACACACACATATATATATATTCACACTTATATGCATGAATGTGAGATATAAAATTTTAAAGAAAACTATTAACTTTAGTTAAGCAACAGTCCTTTCATTCCTCATTTTAATTTGGCTAAGTCCCCTTCTGGGAATCTAAAGTGCGTCATCTGGAAACTAATCAGCATTATGTTATTTTATTAATACTGCAGTGCGGTAAGCTCTTGTCCAGTCGCAGTCCAAAATTTAAAAAAATAGAAGCCAACACCATAAATATCCTTTGCTGAAATGCGCACTCACTTTGCCAACCTTCCTCTCGCTATGCTAAGATTTGCTGTTGCATTGCTCTGTTCTCTATGTCGTCCATTGCCTGAAAAAATGTTATATGCTACGAAAAGTTCTGGGGTGCTTGTCGCATCCTTAGTAAATGTGAAAAACGAGATTATGGACTCTCATTATTAGTTATCAAGAAATAAAATTCAGGCTTCTTATCTACGCCAACGTCTGTAAGTTTCTTCTTCTTTACTACGTCATCTTATGTATCTACGCTATCTTCTAATCCTCGACTCATCTACAGAATTATCAGATGTATATTTGTGTTTCTTTCTACAGCAAAATGCAAAACGACAGTTTCCAAAATAAATTTGTGAGAACTCTACATTATTGCACTGCATTAATTACAAAGAAATATTCAGGATATAAAAAAAGTAGCACCGTCTTCCTAAATACTTATAATAAAATTTCTGCGGGATTACAAAACGTTTAAATATGATTTATAATTTTTTTCCTTTAAAATTATTGAATCATATGAGCAATAGCAAAAATAAAACCTGTATTTAAATAATAATTAAAGGTGGATACATACCGGATACAACTGAATAGCTAAGTTGGGCATTTTTCCCTTTATCTCTGTCTACGGCAATAACCTGTAAAACTGAAGTCCCTATAGCAGCTGTCTCGAATACTTGACCTTCAAACATGCTTGTTAGGAACTGAGGCGAATGATCATTGTGATCATAAACATTTACTTCTAGTCTTGTGAAACAACGTTTTGAAGGTGTTCCACTATCCATGACTGCAACAGTAAGAATATGGCGTTGGGCTGTTTCGTGATCCAGAGGCTGGGCAATGGATAGTATACCTGTCCTTGAATCAAGTCGGAACTTTGAAATACTGTAAGGACTGGCACTGAAAAGCATACAGAAATATTATAAGAAATGAGAACAAAACATTTCAAATGAAGGGTGCAAAACTACTAACTTTTTTAAACATTCATCATCTAAACTGGTTACCTGTTATGTATGGTATAAAGTAAACGTTTGTCTTGATCTCTGTCAAAAGCCTCAAGCTTCAAAATCTCAGTATCTACAGGGCTGTTCTCTGGTATTTCAACCTTATAGGTGTGTTCCAAAAATTCAGGCATATAGTTATTAATGCTCATGACTTTTATGCAAAGCTAAAAGAAATGAAAAGTTGTGTAAAAATTCTCATCGATCAATAATGAGTATCATATTTTAGAATGCACACACTACAAATTTAGATATTTAATAAATGTGGCAAAAGTTCTGCTTTGCTTACAAAAAAGAAAAATGGTTGAGAGAAAGCATGTATTTTTTCTTTCTTCGTCTTTCTAAATTTGTAGATCACAAGTGTAGATACCAAACATACCCATTTATACATCACAAACTTTAAAAAACTATTATACATGCTAATTATTCGCTAATTGGCGATACTAGTTACTTGTTTCCAAAAAGATAATGCAACGTTTCACCAGTATTGGTTTTCAGAATTTGAATCAAAGAACATGCCATCGAATTAACATCATGATTTTAGCCCACTGATATATACCACATTCAGCATACGTTGAGCCCAAGTGTAAGCAAATCTATGACCCATGAATAATCTAGTGTAACACAGATATGTTCTATACTGTGGAATTTATGAACTGCTGTTTCTGCAAAACGACACCAGCAATTTGTTGACTTACATCCAGTACAATGCTACAATGACTCATATACGTATATACGTTGAAAATTTATCTTACAGTGAGATAATAATTTTTTTTACGAGCTAAATTATTTCTGTTTTATTAATAATATTAAAATAACCTATTTTATTTTCTGTTTGGAAATGCACTTCAAAAGAATTAATTTAATATATGTGTATGCAACAGAAGGAGAATTACTTACTCAGTATGGTAATAAACCATTGAATTTAATTCATAAATTAATTTCAACGCTTAAAATCTAAGATTTATGGTGGAATAATCTAGTTGCTGTTTTCCGTTGTTAAAATTTTTTTCAGAAAATTACTAAGCTTAATTTGTTCCACAATTTGTCCTTAATCACACAATTAAAATGATACCTAAATCCAGTTTTGACACAGAAGTACATATTCAATGGTAGAGAATAAATCTATTTGTTTTGAAATCATTTTTGTATGGCCTTTATTGCTATTTAAACGAATTTATTATTATTTAATCGCATGTTTATTGCAACTCAATTAGATCCCGTTAGATTTATCTGTCATGAACTAAAAAATAAAACGTGTCCAATAATTTGAGCAACCTTTTCAGAAATTTAGACAGAAACATTTCCAGTAGCGTATTTAAAGAAGTGGAAAGGGTAAATATACAATTAGAAGGAGGTAGCAATCCATCATAAACTAGACAGAGAAGCCTAATTAGGCCTTCCTAATTAGGCTTCTCTATCTAGTTTATGATGGATCTCCTTAGATGTATCTCCTTTGAGCGAAGCATCTAAGAAGATGCTTCGCTCTACTACAGCAACATGCAGGGTTGTTTGCAGCCACGCTAATCTTTTTCTTATTTTTATAAGGAAACCTATTAAAACATGAAAGTTTTAGCCTTACACAGAGCTTAATTTCTAAAATTAGCAACGCCAGAGCACTGTGGAAGACTGCCAGGAAAGAAAGAAAAATAAATAAATAAAATAACTAATTATTCAAGTAATAAAATCATTAAAATTGAAAGAAATGTAAAGAGGTAAATAAAAATGTAATAAATTATTAAATTAATTATAAGTGATTAAATAAAATAATATAATAATAGACCTCGTCCTATTTGGGGCTCCGGCTGGAATTACAATTTCATTCAGACTAAGCCTCTGACATATGGTTGTGGGTTTTATTTTCCTTAACGGTCTCAGCCTCTGTCCAAGGTTTGTGTTCGGGGAAAAAACAGGCGTGCATGCAGTTAGAGATGATTTTAAGACATATTTTTATTATTAAAATAAAATTTGTCTGCTGTACTTGTGCTTCACTTACATAAAAGAAGCGCCGAAGCCCCTTTTATTTAGGGCTTCGGTGCGCTCCGCCTAGAAAATGATTTAACTCAAAATCTGAGAAGTACCGGAGCTGGGCTCCGTTGGGTTCGGACGCAGTTTAAGCTCTGTCCTTATATCATATCTAGATTCGATCAGCAAAAGAAAAATTACGATCAGTGATTCAATCAATCCAGCAAACAATACCGATTCAGTCAATCAATGCCGATCAAAAACCAGTGCCGATTATTTGTGGTGGGAAATGAAGATTCAGTAGTTATTGAAACAATCGCATGGTTTTCTAGTATAAAAAAGAATATGGACAAATAGAAAAAGAATATAGAAACTAATTTTCAGTTTATCTTTCTCATCATGAATCTTCAGAAGTTCAGAAATCTTCAGTGCAAATAGTTCAAGCAACCGAAATCAAATTTTTCCTCCACAAGGGCTTAAAATAACATTACTTCCACTAACTCAAGCCACTTTTTCATGTATTATGTCTTAATTCTATTTGAATCTCATTTCCAATTGAATTAAAAATATAAGTTTGGAATATTAAATTACCCAAAATACCCCCACCTTTCGATAATTTCCACTTGTCACAATCCACTTGACGCGATTCACGATGAAATGAAAATCTAATCCCTTCTTCGTTTCTTTATCAAATATAGGTAATACATTCCACTTCTCAGAATCAATAAATGTGTTGCATTTATCGTAGATATAACTCTTTTTTTTTATCAATCAGTGAGCTAGGAATTGTGCCTCGTTTACTGTCCAAGAAGTTATATATGTATAGATATATGCTTTCCCGCAGTTGGTAACTATAGCATCCTCAAACTTTCTACAAATGCGCTCCATTATTCGTCCCTCCCTTACAATACGTTCCTCCAGAGAAGATACTATTTTATTGTTTTATTTGAAAGAAGAGCACGAACATGACCTTATGTTCATATCATTTCTCTGAATATTTACAACCGATTAATCACAGTCTTCTGTCGATTCACATCAAGTTAAAAAGAAGAGAAGGGGAAGCTTAACTACGCGTATTCTTCCATGTCTCTTCATATCATAAGAAAACGAAGGGATGAGAAAAAAAAAAAAAAAAAAAAAAGAAAAGGACATTTTTTTAATATTCAAGGTGGGTTGGAATCGCTTTAGAATAAACTGTATATGTTCAAAAGTTGTTGATTATAAATAAGAAATTTATTCTTATTTACGACCAGTACTGAAAAAGCATGATTAAAGAAAAAATTCTCTAAACGTGAAATGCAAGCATCCTCTTCCCTAAGCACAAATGAAGTTAAAAAGGTTAAAATTTAAAGGTAAACATGTCATGAGAGGAATGATATATTATTTATTTATTTACTTGCATTTTATATGTAAATAACAAAATATATTAACTAAAATTTGCATTTACAGACAAGGGGAAAAAACATTTTTTTTTTCGAAACTGAAAAATATACATACCATATTTTCCGGCTTATAATGTGCGCCGGTGTATAACGCGCTTCTATAATTTCAGGCTACATTAAAAAATTTTTAGGTATATTCGCCGCATAACGAGCAGTCAGTTCTTCACGAAGAAAACTAAAAGATACACGTGCAATGTTCTTATCTTTTAAGGGTCTCTTATTCGAAGATTTGTTCTAACAATGGTATACCGAATTGCCCAGCGATAAGAGGAACAATATATATATGTGTGGGTTAAATGCTAGAGGGAGTACATTTTCCGGCAAAGAGTGAGGATTGTATTCAATGCAGATGTCCAAAAGAATGCTATTGAGGGTTTAGAGAAAAGGGATATATAATTTGCAGTAAGAATGCACTTTCAACCTGAATGAATTCGTGAAATTAGGAGTTAGATGTTTAATCTTTCTGTAATCATATGTTTCCTCTACGGACGTCTACTGGACGTCGAAAGGGACATTACTAAGAACCCGCATATTTCCACGAAATCTACGTACCTAGGTTACCATTTTTACTTACTAAACAGACTTTAACGTCAATTAGTAATCGATTATCGCTCAGACTGAGATCATATGATCCTTCAGAAACAGAACATTCGTCTGATTGGTTGATCTTTACCCGGGACAGAGCTGCAAATGAAACATTTTCGGCGAAGTTTCAAAATATCCTGCATAGCCGGGACATCGTTTCCGTAGCTAGGCGGGACTTCGCTTCCAGCGGAGCTGTTTTTTCTAGGAATCCTCCCGTTTAAACCAATGTTACCGGAATCTCGGTTCTCAGAAAAATACCATCTAGCGGGGACCATCGCTAGATGTGGTAACCCCTTTAGATGAAATACAGTTGATTTTGTGTTACTTTTAGTAGTAAAAATGGCTCCCGCGAAACGAAAGAAACACAGTGCTGGTTTCAAATGCAAAGCCATTCATTCTGCGAAATAAAATAGAAATCGTGCTGCAACAAAGGTGTTTGGTGTAGGTGAAAGATGGAACGGATGATGATGATGATTTATTTACGAATCAGAGTAACATTATTTACATTTTAAAGATGGTGAAGATGAAACAGAATTCAATTCTATTTCATCTTCATAATTCAGAGTGTCTGAAGATATAACAGAAGACGAAGATGGCGAACTTTTTATGTTATCTGATGATGAAAATTTTTTAGTCCATAAGGTTCATATTAAATAAACAGCATTAGAATCATAACCTAATAATTATACGAAAAGTTCATTAAACTAGAAATATTTTTAATTTTTACTTTATGTTAATAATGTTATGAGTCTATCATATGTTAACGCTGATGTCTACCATTGACGTAAATAAGATATATATATATTTCACGACTATCTGCATAGAAACGCTCATCACAAACTATTTATAGAGAAACCTTTTCCCCAAATTAATATTTTATTTTATAGTTTGGTAAAAATGCAAAAATTCACCCTTCGATTTGTGTACGGCCCCTGAATATGATCCTCAACTTTTAAATGAAATATCGTGGTCAATTTTTGTCATACGGTTGTCATACTTATTTTATTTTTTATAATTAGTATACAAATTTTCTCAAAAATATTCTTTTCTACTTCTTCTTTCTTCTGTATTTTTCCCTTTCTTTCTTAAGTAATCGAGATAACGTGTAAAATGTCAGTAGATAATTTTGAGTTGCCTCCAACATGCTGAGAAATAATAATAAGTACAGCAAAATTAACAAATAACACAAAGAATATTCTTTCCTTGTAACTGTAACATGACACCATACAATTCGCCTACTCTTTCGCATTATTGAAAGAGAACATACCCGTGCAAAATAGAATTTGACTCTAAAATCGACGATTCGGCACATGATTACAGATTCAACGTAGTTAGTAAGGATTTTACTACATGAATAAGTTTACAAACAACAATTCTTTTTTCCTCCTTAATTTCATATCGATAGACATGCTATGAAACGAGTCCCCTGATCACTAGTGTGAGCAGTCTGTCCTCGTGCCGCCGACACACAAATCTGCAACATTTTCAACAAGCCGCCCAGACAATATAGTGGTTAGGGGAGCCCACTGCGATACCGAAGGGCTCCGGTCCGAATCCTGGAGAAGGCATGCATGTTTGTATGGATAGTGTCTTTGCGGCGGGGGTGGGCACTCTAAACATATGGAAAGCCGAAAGTCGTCTCGAGATGTTGGTGGTAGGAGATGAAGTGTGGGAGACCCTCGGAATTCGTCCTCTCGGGGTGCACTCCATCAAAATTGGGGGGGGGGAACTGAGCGAAATCGTACAGATGTAATCTTGCTCTCCTTGCCACGATGAGTTTCGTGGGCTTGTTCTGATGTTACTTTCAGACAAGTAAGCTAAGACACAACACATTTTCCACAGGCGTTCAATTAACTCTTTCCTTCTCAAACTCCCCAAAAGAAATATAAATAGGCTAAGGCGCTATAAAACCAAATATAAAAGGGTCAGTTCGCCGCGGAAGGAAATGTACACGAGGTTAAGGCTGCTCTGCGTCGGGCCCACCGGCGGCCAAGAAGTAGAATCACTGAACACTGGCGTTTAGACCTGGGTTCGATTCAGGGTGAATAGGCTAGCGGTCGCACAGCGTTTCCCTAATTTTCTCCGTGTGTAAGATGGATACAAGCCAGTTTCTCTTAGAATGTCCTCTACGAAAGAATCCATTCTCTTATGCAGATAGCCCTCGCGTGCTTTACCGTTATCAGATAAACCAAACCGAGCGCTCTACGCCAGTCATCCTGGCAAGCAAACCTTTTTGGGTCTACGTAAACCCCAATGCAATAAACTCTCGATATTGAATACATATGTTGCTCATTTTAAAACTTTTTCCCCGGACACACCGTATATATAATTAACATAAATTACCACTTTTTTCAATACATAGCTTAAGATATCAATTATAAATGTAGAATTTCATTAATTGTATTATAATTTAATCATTTATTTGGAAGGCTTCTGAAAGTTTTGTCTACTTAAGATAAATAAGAATTAATCTTTCCACTTACGTAACTGAAAACAGTGTATACTCCATCTGTAACACTTATACTGAGATTATAAAATGGATGAGCTTCCCATTTCAGTTTTCGAGCGAGTAGCACAGCACCGCCTTTTGACTGAATCATAAACATGTCCCCAACATTACCACCTATAAATAAGAGATAATATAATAAGTTTATAAGGTTTTAAATATTATGAATCTTCAATAAAAAATAACTGATAAAATTAAAAATGTAGAATAAGTGAAAAAAGATTTAAATAATTCGAACACAATAAATTCACAAAACTTTATATGTCTAATGTAAGCTTCTAGACTACATAATCATTGACATTTCTTTAGCCTTTCAAATATTTGCTTTATTATCTCTTATGCCAATAAAATGCCAAGAAGATACACACAACTTTTAGGAGAAATGTTTTGAAATAAAATCAAATAAAAAAATGGATTGTCTTTGTATTTTAATCAGCATTAAGAAATACACTTGCTATTTATTAATAGAATATTCAATAATTCTAGAAGTATTTATCCAGTTCCTTTTAATACAGTAATAATTATTCTTGGCATTTAAATTTGTGATTTGGTTATTTATATGCAATTTATTCTATATTTTTAATTTTAGTAGAAAAAATGGCCAGTGTGCTCCACTTCTTTATCCATTAAAATAAATTTACTCAGAAGCACTGCTAATTTATTCTCATTAAACCATCTGTTTAAATTTCTAAAAGCCAATTCACACTAACAGTTCATTATTCAGCAACAGTTTAAGAAAATCACGATAGATGGCGCCAGGCGACATCTAAGTTATGTTAGGACCTGAGGGTTCAATTTTCGAGTGCATTAGATAGCTGTGGCTGTGTACCTCTGTTCAAAGCTTTACGAAAATAAATTCAGAAGATGGTATTTCTAACATAAATTACTCATGTCGGGAAACTTACGACGTACTGATTTCCAAATTGGTGTAAGTTTTTTGCTCCACAGTTAATGGGGCTATGCGCGTTAGATTTTAATCTAACAACCCATACAGACTTCTATTTAGCATATATATAGTTCAACAACACGGGTTCTGTTGTAGTAGTGAAATTTTATCATAAATCTCGCACGTGAGATGTTACATTTAAAATTTAAACAAGCATACCAGCATACTGTGCAACTAGCTGACCATATGCAGAAACAAATTGATGGTTAGATACGTGCCCACAAGGTGGAAGAATGGATGAAATCGCTGAATATCTGGAGTTCGACCCGGGCTCGAATCCTGGCAAAAGGGGTGGCTGCATGTGCGTTTCAGTGATTTTCCCCATACGTAACGCAAATAAGAGCAAGTTTTCCTCAGAAAGTCTTCCACGAAGGTATCCCTCGCCTTAGGCAGATACCGTTCACGTGTTTTACCAATTTCAGATAGACAACGGCCATATGAAATAAATGAGCAGTTTGCGCCTAATTGGAACTTCAGATTACGTTGTTGGCTGTGGAAGGTAAATCAGATGAAATAGCAAATATTACTGCTAATTATATTAGTCGAATTTTGAGTGAAAAAGTATGATGCTTTTGCAGTTGACAGTTGCAGCACAAGGGTAGACAAGCCTGAGATGAAAGGAATGCATTTGTATAACTTAGCGCATATAATATAATAAATAACACGCATATAATATAATAAAGAATACAATAACGCACACAAATTATACAAACAATCTTGAGTATTTTATATGTAAAGCAGAAAATTCTCCAGGGAAGAAATGCAGAGAGCAATATGCCATCGAAAGTAAAAGATTTACTTTAAGAGAGATAGGATGATAAAAGAAGTATGGAGGCATTTTCGGAATTTTGCGACAATTTCTGGGGGTGTTTTTTGTTTGTTTCAGCTACAGAGAAACTGAATTTTACAGACAGAAATTAAATCACCCATTAAACACATGAAGAATAAACGGTGTTTTAACATGTTCTGCAAACTAAAGAAATTCCAGCTAATACAAGAATAAAGATATTATGTCATCGTCATTTTATGAAGAATGGGCTCAGGACTTCAAATTCTGTTATTCTCAGCTACAGTTACGTAGGGGCTAGATCCGATGCGGCTGAACAGGGCGGGCTGATTTTAGAATTTAACGAATTAACAAAAATAACATTTAAGAACGGCGAAATTTTTTTAATTTAGGAAGGCACCGGGCAGCAGAATTTAGAACCCTCATCAAGTGGCAAAATGCGTAGAATCGGCCTTGTCTACAGTCCATCTACCAAAATTAGACCTCTAGTTCGATTACCATATTAGGGGGGAGGAAAGTTACTAAGATTTCCACTCCCATATTAACGCTATCATGCATTTTTTCATTATTTACTGCAAACACTCCGACTTAAATTTTTTCTCTGTCGTGGTTTTTGGCTGTCCGTAAACCATGTAAGATTTAAAAAATGAGCGACTGCAGCAAAATCTTACCAAAACATGAAGTAAACCAACGCATATGGGAGAAAGTGACAACCCATTTTTGCAAATACACTGAGCTTTTCATTCATACGCAGAAGCATCGTATGGCTCAGCTTAGCTTTTTCCTGGGGGTTCGGACATATATGTCCCATACAATCACTATATTAAAAAAGACTAAAAAAAACTATTTTACTATGGAGATTTAAAATTTGCTACTTATGCGCAGCAGTGAGTGGGATACCTGGTTGATTCGTTTGTTGTTCCTTGCTGATTGAATAGTTGACTAAATGGCTAAAAATTTAAAAAAAAAAAAAAAAAAAAAAAAAAACTAGTCTCTGTAGCCCACATGAAAAGTTTAGGGTGGTAAACTATCCTAAAAATTCAACCAATTCCGCTCACAATACTCTTGCATTCAAACGCAGTATTTGTTAAATCCTCCTAACATTTTAAAGCAAATCGTTTCAACAAAGGCAATAGTCAAGAGAAATGAAGTAATCTGCTACTGGAACATTAAATTTGATTGAACAGTGAAGTTCACTATTATAACTTTTATGCACAGTCAGATCATAATACCACGAACTTTAGTTGCGGGTGTGCAGCATAATAAACACTTGACTTCGTTTTAACTGTGCGAAATTGACCTGCTTGCTTCATTTTTACGTTTTAAGGTATATTAAATCTCACGATGTACCAACCTGACAATTTAACCAAATAGTATAGTATCTACACTGCAAATTTTGAAGCACACAACTACAAAACTATAGTTTTCGTATCTCTATGCTGAAAATAAAAACACAATACACAATATATCAAACTTTAATTAAATATCAAACGTTACCTGCTAAAGAATACCATATAGTATCACCATCTGGATCTTCAGCCTGGACCATAGCTACTAAATTTCCTACATGCTCACTCTCTGAAACAACTAATGTTTGAGATTCCATTGGATGTATCACAGGAGGACTTTTACTGCTACCAGGAACGGATATAACTTCTAAGATGACTCTTGAATTAGAACTTAGAGATGGTTTCCCTCCATCAGACGCCGTAACCTGTGGGGGGGGGGAAGGACGTAAAAAACAGTACACAAGAAGAGTGAATTATAAATTATTTCATACAATTATTTAATCTCGACCTCAAAACTTCTTATTGAAAGAAAATATACATTCAAAAGCAACAGTAAACAATCAGATGTATGAGTAGTTTAAAAGAAACCACAGATTTTTATTATTAGAAAATTTAAAATTAAAAAGAAGTAAGATAAGAAAAAGTAAAGAAAGTTTCAAAATGTAGATCTGAAAGAACAATAAGTTGCAGTTTCTCAGGGTTTGCAAACAAAACAAGAGAAGAAATCCGAGCATTAATTCTCGTAAATAATACAAAATAGGATTTTTCAAAATAATTTATATCCGGAACTTTTTACATTTTAAAACTAGAAGCACCAAAAATATTATTTTATAACTTCTACAAAATGTAATTAATTTTAATATAATGAGCCTTGCGTTTAATTAAGTAAAATTAATTAAATTTATTTAATTAACAAAACCTTTAACTAAAATTAATTAAATCTATGCAAACTGAATTGCTCTTGATTTGTGCCTTTTAAAACAATAACATTCTTTCATGTGTTTCCTGTAATATATTACAGATTCCTGTTACAAATATTCCTTGAATTCAGACAGAACGAATTGTGTTGAGAAAATAGATTTCTGTTAGTGATATGAGGTATGACAAATGAGGTAATCCAACCTATTGCGAGGAAACGGAATTCAAGTCGTCAATGGTTTTAGTAGGTCAATGGTCGTATCACTTATCTGCAAACTAAGAGGTTTCAGGACTTATTCGTTACCGAATTAAAAGAATATGCAATCTTTTCACAGAACAGTCAGCAATTGAACTTTTTGTTCATAATTTGTTATAAACCTAGAATTCTTTTTGAAATGATATGTTAAATTATCATAAAAGCTATGCATCAAATGGTAAAAATTTTGTAAAAATCCGGAATTTAAAATTCTTTAATGTGTGGGGCTCTTCAAGATTGCACGAATATCTTTTTCCCATGTGCATATTAGGTACTGACAACCAGAATTTTCAAGAAGTTTTCAGAAAAATCTTTAAATTTTAGAGCAATATAACTTTTACTTAAGTGCCCATTATTGCTCGTACAATTGCATACAGTTAAATTTAAGTATATTATTAGATTTTTTGGTCAATAAACATTACACAATTAACAAACAAAAAATCGAAAGTAATAACTTCAGACGGTAGAAGGAAGCATAATCGCATTAAAATTAATAATAATTTGTCTACAGTTAACATTACAAATATCCTTATTCGAAAGTTTCCGACGGCTAATTTGTTGCATTATAAATACTTTAACGTACAAAAAAACTTTAAAAAAAATATGTATGATTGAAAACATTTTTAGATTCACATAGAAAATAGTATTAAAATATTTTTTCCATGATACAATTTGCATCTTCATTAGATGACACTAGATGGCAGCACAAAATTATCTCTCGTATTCTGCAGGCTTAATTGAAGGTCACCGTCTTTTCGCAGTTAGTTGCATAAATAGGCATGTTTGCAGTGCAATTATTTTTTTTTGGGGGGGGGGGATTTTTCTGAAGGCTGAGCAAATGTTATCAAATCTTCTTATCGAAGATAATCACAGATAAAACCCCTTCATGTATTTACCTAGTATAAAGAATTAAATTATCGTAAACGACCTTTAGAAGATGACCCTTATAGTGTATGTTCTAGTAACGTAACAAGTTAGGAATACTTCAACTTACGCTGAAAACACTGCATTTCCAATCAGAAAAAATCCAAGAATCGACCATGACAGAAATTTCCAAAATTATCAAGATCATTCCGGGTCTTATGAACGGCCGTCATAAGTTTTTGCTCTAGGAACGATTTTTCTGAGACTATCGTACCTTATTGAGCGAACATATACAAACATAGTAATAAGAGATATAGTTGAGATACCTTAATTGAGGATGAAGAACGGATTTACCTGTTTGAACTTGAAACAAAATTCCAAATCGCGATATGATACTCTCAAGATGAAGCGCCAGCGCCATCCACTAAATCTGACAAGCCTGACGTGTTGGTATAAAAATGATCGCAGTATTTCTTGCTTATTCTCAACAGGTTGCAACAAGCAAGCTTGAAGAACTATAATAGCAGCTTATGAATATTTAACTTGTACAAGTGTTTCAAAGCTAAGCAATTAAATATAGGAAAAGGAGGATTGGTTTTGCATTATGATAGTGCGTCAGCGTATAAGGAAGCAAAGGACCTTTAATTCAGGGAAATAAATGTAACTTCTTTCCCTCCCCCACACCATGATCAGCAGATCTAGCCTCGTGCAGAGTCGTAGCTAGGGTTTTCAGCGCCCAGGGACGACTGAAGATTTCGCGCCCCGTACTGCTTGCCAAGGATGGAAAACATTTAATTCTAAAATGTCGTAACATCAGTTTGGCGCCCCTTGGATTCTGCGCCCGGGAACAGATGTCCCCCCTGCCCTCCTCTAGCTACGCCCCTGGCCCCGTGTGAGTGTTTTACCTTTCCTAACGTGAAAAATGAAATGCATAGTAAACCGACATATTTTTTCATTAGTTTAGAAATGATATAATGATTTTTTAATAATATGAAATCATTTTTACCAGAAGTTCATATTGCTGTCCTCCTTTTAGTGCAGCTTGGCTATATATTACTCCCGTCTTCGGATGGATGCGAAATAAATGACCACTTGAGCCTTCAGATAACACATATGAAATATCACCGTTGGGACCTGAATCCTCGTCGGAAGCTAGAACCTAGAAATAATTAAGATAAATAATTAAAAACATCATTGCATTAATGCAAAGAATACTTTTTAAATATGCGTGCTAAGGAATGATGGACAAAATCCATGGACTAGAGCTATAAAAATACTTCTCTTTGATGCAGACGCTGAAAAATAATCGTTATATTATGATTCTTAGAAATAAACTGCTATATTTTATGAGCAGAAACACTCATTCTAAAATTTATTTAGAATTTACTATTATTTATTAAAAAAAATTAGAGGCGTAATATGCACTATTTACTATTTATTTATTTAATATGCACTTATTACTAAAGAATTACTTATCCAAACTTTACAAGATTAAGAAGCACTAATTAATAATAATTTTATGCGGCAATACTGACATTAGTAACTTTGGCAACAGGTTTGGTTTAAATAGGTAATATTTTAGAGGTATTGATGAAAATTTGAAACTTGCCATCACCTAAACAAAGCAGCAAAATAAATAAATATACAAACAATAAAGGGGAGAAAAAGAGAATTAAAAAGACAAAATACTAAGAACACTACGGAAAGCACACACGCATACAAATGGATATACAGAGAGGAATACATATTTTGTTCATATTACCATAAACACACACACACTAGAAATGATAATGTTTTCCCCCACACAGAAAAGAAATTGTTTACAGTAGCAGCTTTGATAACAGAAATTGAAGAGACCTTCCAAAATAAAAATTCTGAAGCATGAGAGTAATGATAGCAGCCACGAAGATTATATGACAGTAAAACTGAAATCCGATATATCTGAAACTTTAGAACTCATGATTTATGCAATGGCTTCAATTCTGACAGCTCGAACGAGCTAAAAAAAAAAAAATATTTTGCCGTAATGCAGGACGTAGTACGAGTAGGAACCCTTTAATACATGTCATAAATGCACGGATTTGCAATCATGTTCAATTTTGGATTAGCAATATTAAAAATTATAAAAAGCATTTTAATTCCCTTTTATATATTGAACCTAAGTAAACCCTCAATTTAAAGGACTGCTAAGAGTAAATTGTTTCCATTATTGTTGAAAATCAGTTAAATCGAATGTGTTTTAAAAACTGGATATATTAAATAAAATCAAAATCAACATATCAGTTACAATGTTTAGATATATATATTATGTCAAACTGATAAAAAAGACACAGAAAAATAAGTAAAGGAAGATAAATTCAAAGAGCAAGAAATGCTGAATGCGTATATTTATTTCATTACATCATCAGAATCACAATATCCTCATTTGACATTCTAGTGATTCTGAAAACTCACTGCACATTCAGAAGAACTTGACTCGATTTATTGATTTTAGTGAAAGTCATTCAGTTATTCATATGTAATATTAAGAAACAGCAAAACATCTGAGCACAATGAAAATTAATTACATTAATTTGGAGAGGTTTAGGAATAATGGTCAGTGCTGCATATTCGACTAAGAATATTTAAAAATAAAATAAAATATAAAAACTGGAAAATGGTTAAGTCCTCCAGAACGATTCTTTTCCTAAACATGCAAATTTATCGTGCTTCTCTTTCTACTTGTTTTACTGGACGCTGAAAGATTTTCCTTTTCCGATTAAATTATGTTAAAATTATTAAATTTTTAAAAAATCCTTTACGCTGTTAATGAGTGAGAAATTTATAACAGCAAGAACTTCCGTAGCATTGCATTTAGCTAGAAACTGTTTTGTTCTTAAAGATTATTATACCTTTATATATATATAAAAATATAAATATCAATTAATCAATACGGTTTAGGAAATAAATTATATATATATATTGTTCTCAGACATGTAAATTTTATCAATAATTTTATCAATATTATAAAATCATACCTTGGCAGAAACTATGCAGAATATATGCTCTTTGACACACTTTCGCGATCTGATTAACGTCAATCCATCATTTTAGTGCTCTTGTTTGAGGTTTAAAAAGAAGTATTAAATGGTACTTCGTAGGCTTTACTTTTGCACTATTAGTAAATATTTCATACTTTAAAATGTACTTATTTTTTAAAAACAGCGTTATAGCAATGCTTTTATTTGAGGGTCACTGCTGAAATTCATAAACAAAAAGTACTATCTGATACATTTTCTACTTTTTCCTAACGTTTTCTAAAAGACATTTTATGAGATGTTAACTCTAGAAAAACGTTAAGAATACAATGGCAGTAGCTGATGTTGTGTAAATTTCCGTTTCGAGAACATAAGTTTAAAATCTATGGAACACAGCCAGTTAATTCTTTTGTCTGTTTGCCTTAAAGTATTTCTTTTGGCTATAGCAACACGAGAGAACTTTAGTTACGAGAACATAATCTGGAAAGATTATTTTCAAACCGAATAATTTCCAAGATAACACATCGTTAAAAAGTTCTAATAAAATGCATGCCATTCCTATGAAGAATCTTCATGCAGTTTATTTTACATTCAATGAAGTAGAATATATTTTTATTCACTTTTTAAATATTAACAGATATGGAAACAACGAAGCTGAATTATTGGTGCAATTTAAACTAAGGTGTGGTTTTGATCAGTGATAAATGCAGTTATGTTTATAACCTTCGATTTTGAGGATATTTATACATTCAGTCAAAAAGCTGCCAATTAGTTTTTCAAAGTCTATGCCAAAAAGTAAGGTTGCTTCTTTGTCGCGTTCTACAGATAGCTATAAAGTAATAATGGAACGAAAATTTACTACTTATCCTGAAAACTGTTATGTAAGAAGAAAAATAAAAAATTCTAACTTCAGATTATGACATAGTAGGTTGTACACTAACATCGTTTTCCTAAGCTATAAAAGGAAAGAAGAAAAAAAGGAGGGGGGGCCTTCCGTGATTCAAATTTTATAATCAAAGCAAACCGTAAAAGTTACAACAATCTAGGACAAACAACAGACATTTCTCGATGACATTAGCAAGTTCGCACATCATATTCAGCACCAGTCTTTCCAAGGTAAAAGTATGAGGTCATTATTTATGAACTATTACTCTACATCAACTTTTTATTTTACATAAATAAAAATATTAAGCAAAGTGTGTAATAAAGCTTTTTCTAGTCGGCTCTTAATACAACCGAGCAACAATAGAACTTACATACTACTAATACATTTACATACTTACGTACGCTGTTACGTATAGAACGCTGTTACATAAGTATGTAAATTTAAGTATGTTACATTTACATACTTACGTACGCTGTTACGTATAGTAAGTTACGTATAGAAGTTACGTACTACATTTTGGGTATTGGGCTGGACAATGAAATCATTATTTTTTAACATTATTTCTTTCCAGGCCATTGGAAAGGTGAAACATTTAAACCCAGAGAAATGAAAATTACTAAATAATAACAACTGGGGGAATACACGCACATACACATTAATATATAAACCAGAGAAGTAAAAAATTAATAATTAAAATACGTTTATAAATACTCTGATTTACAACAAATAATACACTTTACATTAATTTTTGTAAAGTCAGACCGTTTAATGTTTGCATTTCACACTAAGCAACTGTCTTTGATTTCTTCATTAATACAATTAGATTTTAATAATTAATTTATCACGGAGTATTATAAAAATATCAATATATTTTAACATTTAAGATTAAACAATGGATAATTCACTTTCTTCTATGCTTTATTATTTAACTGAGTGTATAAATTAGAATTATAAAACTGGTATATATCATACATGAAAAATACATTGGAAAATGAATGATTAGATATGTACGCATTTCAATCAGATCGAAATAAATAACCTTTGTGACTTCGCCGTGCAGACATTAGGTGCTTTTTTATGTTTATTCCTAATGAGAGGAAGAAATAGAAGTAACTGAAAGGAAGAAATATGTATGACATAAATGATTTTATTTTTATTATTTCTTGTTTGTAGAAACCGCAGATATTATCTTATTCTCATCCACAACTTTCCAAAGAGCTTTATAAACATCTTAACGAAGACGAAAATGAATGGAAACACCCTGAAAACACCTATTCAAAATTTAACGCTCAGATTGATAAGGCGGGGATAATAAAAGCTAAAATATGCAAAACTATAACGCAATGCATCTTGTGAATGTATTTTGCAGCAAAACAGGATAAATTATATTTTCCGTTAACAATCATGGCAGAACTCATATCAGCGATTTGAATAATATAAATCTCTTCGATTATTGTTATGTTTTAACAAAGGAGCACCGAATGCCTTAAAAACATCAAACTGATCCAGAAGCGATACTCTCATTCAATTTGTACGGCTAAAACTACCTTTTCTAACTTTATTTAAGCTGCAACTCATAAATAATTCATCTTAACGCCTACAGAGAATATTTTATTGAATTTCCTTTATAAATCTAATTCAAAAAATCGTATTTGATATTAAAAAATGCTGGTTCCTAAATTTAAGTAACTAAAACTTTTTGTACATTTATCTTGACTAAGTACATTGCTTTTTATCCTGAAAAACTTTATAACATTTCTTTTCCCCACGTTTTTAACTTAATAATAAATTTTAGGACAATAAAAAAATCCCAGTTATCGCATTACGGATTATTTGATTTTATCAAGTCTCAGACGGTGTTCAGCTTGATCCATAGAAATTCCTGCGACTGGTATATAAAAAGATAATGTGCCTTGGAATAATAGTATTATTAATAATAGTAATATAGCATACCTGACAAAGAGTTGGTCCTTGTTTAGACATCTGTGGAATGTAGCATCTCTGAAGTCTCTGGAAAAATGTAGGTGCATGATCATTGACATCCAGCACATTAACTACAATTCGAGTTGTTGAAGAGAGTGGAGGATCTCCGTTGTCAGTAACAGTAATCTAGGACAGCAAAAAAAAATAATTTCGCAAGTGAAATATCAAAGGTAAAATTGCCATAATACACAACGATTTAATATAAAATAAAACAGCAGCATAGAAAAATGAATGACATTTTCGAAATCCCATTCATACTTTTTCTCCAATGTACAATTATAAGACTAATTTCATATCAAAAGAAACTCCAAAATAAATACACTAAAACCAACGATTATTGAAGACTCATATATGTTGTTAAACAAGTTTCCGTCTTTTTCACGGCCATTACTTTAATATACAGGCTGAATGAGAGGTTTTAAGGCTGATTCTCTTATGCGGAATCAAATGACAGTACTGTATTCTTTCCTTTCACACTTGAATCCTTCCCACTGAATTACACTTTTCACAGTGCTTTATAAGCAATTCAAAAACATGAAATGCATTTATTTGTGTCATTCTCTTTAGCACTGTAGGCGCAGCGTTTTTTACTTCAACAACTGAAAAGAATCTTCCCATGCAATTACCTTTTCGATAATGAGAACGTCCAGAAATCACATGTCCCTAGGACCATTCTATTACTGTTGACAGATCGATTTTAAGCATTATTACAAAAGCCACATTGCAGCAACATGCAGTTAAGCATTATCCTAAAACAAAGTAACAGTTCCTTGAGCAAATCTGGAATTTTCATCTTCGTGGCTCCAGGCAAATGATTTTCATGTTGTTTATGTAATAGTTACGGGTTCACGAGGGTGCAATGTCGACATTAGTAATCGCAATGAATAACCTACTAGAACGTACTTCGTAGATCACTCGCGTATTACCACCTTAATTCGTCTCTACCACTGAAATAGGCAAAATGCCTCTACCACAAGGCACAATGTTTACTGTATATTTCGGCGAATAGCGTGCACTTTTAATACAAAAAGTAACATTGAATTTACGGGTGCGCGTTATGCGCTTGAATGTAAAAATGTTTACTGTATATTCCGGCGAATAGCGTGCACTTTTAATACAAAAAGTAACATTGAATTTACGGGTGCGCGTTATGCGCTGAATGTAAAAATGTTTACTGTATATTCCGGCGAATAACGTGCACTTTTAATACAAAAAGTAACATTGAATTTACGGGTGCGCGTTATGCGCTGAATGTAAAAATGTTTACTGTATATTCCGGCGAATAACGTGCACTTTTAATACAAAAAGTAACATTGAATTTACGGGTGCGCGTTATGCGCTGAATGTAAAAATGTTTACTATATATTCCGGCGAATAGCGTGCACTTTTAATACAAAAAGTAACACTGAATTTACGGGTGCGCGTTATGCGCTGAATGTAAAAATGTTTACTGTATATTCCGGCGAATAGCGTGCACTTTTAATACAAAAAGTAACATTGAATTTACGGGTGCGCGTTATGCGCTGAATGTAAAAATGATAGATTTAAAATAAAGAAAAGATGAGCATACAAAAATTAGATTTTTACACTTACCTGAATGTTGTTGATTTAAAAGAAATGACATGCATTTTGAAATTTCAAATTTTCAATATCGGATAACATAAAAAGTTCGTCATATTCGCCTTCCGTTATATCTTCAGGCACATCAACAAATTTTGGTTCATTTTCACCATTATACTCTGATTATTAAATAAATAATCATCTTCCGTTCCATCTAGATTGTTTACATTTTCCAAATGACTTTTGAATTATGCAGGATTTAATTTCATGCCGTGCTGTTATTATCCGCTACTTCTAGACTGGCATGATGCATTTAGCCGCCTTTTGCAAATCTTTTTCTCACCTTCATTCCACTGTTTTAAATTTTCTTTGAACGGTTTATTGATACACATATCTAAAGGCTGAACTGATGGCATTAATCCACCTGGTATAACTGCCATGACTTTACTCCACTTATTCAACAATTTCATCGTATTATCCGTTAGATGGGATCTGAACATGTCCCAAGCTAAAAGACTTTTTGGATTCTTTAATGCAACAGGACGCTTTGCCAAATATTTCTTATCCACAATTTCACACTGTTTTCATTCATTCTTACATTCTTGTGAACATGAATAAAAACATCATTTGGAAAATTGCATTATTTTTAATAATGATCATGGATTTTTATTTTATACCGGCCGCTAAACAAGAAGGTACTACGGTGAGGTGAGATTTTTCGTGACCTCTTGTTTTTATGTGAACCATTTTTGTTCCTTTCATATCAATTGTTTTATTTTCTATCATATCAAACATTACTGGAGTTTCATCCCTATTTCAAATATCTAACAGTAAATAATTATTTTGCCTCATATATCAATAATATACTTCTGGAAACTTATTAATTTGTTGTCCAAATCTTTGGGAAGCCTTTGCGAAACCTTTTTTTTTTTCTAGAACTAAATTATTCCGTGCTATAAATTGACTACACCAACTCAAAGATGCTTTATTCATTTGCATGGTTTTTTTTTTTGCCCACTTTAAGAGAAATAGAACACGCTATTTCTTGTTATAATTAACGTATTCTATTCTGGCGATTTTCTAGGACCCAGTTCACAAGCTTTCTTTTAGGATAGCCATTTAGTTGCTCCTTTTACGCAAAGCACGTTTATACTTTGGCATATTAACTACTGTGTACCAGAACTGTGTTTGTTTTGTTTAGCCCGAGTCATATTTACTACTAGAAGCAAGACTAGATCAACTGCATTTCAACTAACACAAATCCGATTTACTAAAGCCTTCGATGTTCATTTCAAAATCAAGGTTTCAAATCACTAAAGAAAGAAAAAAACATCTGGCTCCTAATTCCGCGAATTCATTCGGGTCGGAGGTGCATTCGTACTCCAAATTATGTCCACTTTTTCTCGAGACCCTAGACTAACATTCTTACGCACACCTGCATTGAATACAACATCTCTTTGCAGAATTATTTACTTCCTCAAGCATTTCTCCCGCACAACCATTGTTCCTCTTATCGTTTGTCAATTCAGTATGCCATTGTTCAAAGTCTGGGGAAAAGTTTCGAATGAATGACTTCAAAAAACAAAATCATCGCACATGTATCTTTCAGGTTTCTTCGTAAAGAAACGGGTGGGCGTTACATGGCGAATATACCTAAAAATTTTTAAATGTAGTTTAAAATAGTATAGTTTTAGACCGGAATATACAGTATCACCAACGCATATTGCAATATTTCAAGTGTTTCGTTATGACCTCAAGTTTAATACGAAATTCAATGACACCTCTGTTGCACAGTCAAAAAGTCGTCTTCCTCATCCGTCGCAACAAAGATTATTATGTAATTTCGATAGTTGTGACGATATATTGAAGATCAAGGCTATCTAAATGCATGTACACAGCATTACAAATACAAATCTCAAAAAATTTCAATTACCCTTTATACATCGAGTCGCTTTAGGTAACATGTAACAGAAAAAAGCGTGATTGTAATTGGAAACAAAAAACGCGTTCTCTTTTCGGGCCTACTTGCAACGTTAAATCCTATCGGCTATACTATTTTATTTTTCCCCTTTGCTCTTAGGGTAAAAAGACATGCAACTAGAAAAATTCTGCAGTTATTTCTTTTATTTTCTACTGCCAAAATTACAGGTGGCCCAACCGGTACAGTGGTTAATGACGCTGACTACTGTGCGGATGGGCCCGGCTCGAATCCCGGAGAAGGTATGGATATTTGTAAGCGCATGCTGTCTGTGCAGCAAGGCAGCACTCAAAATACGTCGCGAGCCGAAAGTACTCTCGAGAGGTTGCGGGTAGAGGAGGAGGGGTACGAGGTGCTTGGGCCGCATCCCCGGGGTGTTCGCCCTCAAAATAACGGCGGAAGCTCCACAGTTAACTAAGTTCAGCAACACCTTAATCACCAATGATAGTATAGAGTTGCTGGCCTAGCTTCTACCTGTACTTGTAAATATTACAGAATTAGTTCTGCTATAGTTTAAAAGTTGTCTAATTAAATCTTGCCTTCTTTAGTTTTAAAATTGGATAACTAGTCATTTTTCTCTCTAGTGTAAAAATTTTATAATTAATACTTTCACTGTTTTATTAAATAAACCTCTTCAAGCCGCTCTGGTAAGTATAGTGGCTAGTGATGTTGGCTGCCGTATCGCTAGACCTGGGTTCGATTTCCGGAGAAATGTTTCTTGGATGCTTTTAAGTGCACAGAGTCTGCACATCATGAGGACTCTTAAAATACTGACGAGCCGAATGTACTCTCGAAAGATCTGTGTAAGGGAAAAGGGGTAGGAAATCCTCGAATCCGTTCCTCGAGGTGTTCTCCATCAAAACTTGAACAAAACCTTTCCTTTCTAGAGCACGTTAAATCAGTTGTATCCTGTAATACCTCTTATGCAATGTCCTCGGTGATAAGACGGATAAATGACCATTAATTATAGGCCATACCCAATAATTGCACTAAATTCTATTTTCGGCCATTTGAGACAATACGTCTTCAGTTATTTTTCTCCTAATATTTTTAATTTGATAGAAGATACGTCGTATCTAAGCAGACTTAAATTAATATGTAACATTAATGCGATAAATGAAATTTACATTTGACCCCTGAATTAAGCGTGTTTAGATTACTGAGTTTAATTTATATCCGGACGTTTTCAAAACGTTTATCGAGAAAAGTTTGCAGATTAAAGACGATTCGAAAAATAGCTTGATAGCTTTAACTAATAATAACAGTTGTCACGAATATGCAAAACTACTTGACGATATTATGTTAATTTTAGCTATATCTTTCACAACAAAACTTAGATGCAATATTTAAAAAATCACAAAAGAAAAGAAGAGTTGTCAACTACAAGCATCAAAATACATAAAGTTTTACTGAGCTTTGAAAGACATATTCCGTTACAGTTCGGACATATTTCTGTTACGGTTTCATATCCGAAAGAAAACTGAAATCGGTTTGAACTGAAAGAAGTGAAACCGAAAGAAATACGAAATCTATTTGAACTAACGAAAGTATTTTTTAGTTAATGTTTTCATACTGAAACTAAAAATGTACATTAATTAATCTTATAATTAGCGAATTAATATAAGTATAAAAATAAGAATTCTCGAATACCTCCAAGACATGCTCCGCTTGTGTTTCTCTGTCTAAAAGACGGGATGTAGTAGTAATTAAACCTAAAAGAAAAATAGTTTATTAGGTAGCTTCGGATTATGTAAATTAAAACACACAATATACACACATAACTGCAATATATTTAGAAATGATGTCAAAAGAAAAGATGCGTTATGTGTTTTTCTTGAAGTGATGATGATAAGTACTAATTTTAAAATTTAAAACAGGATGACATTTACAAATTTTATGACAGAAGTTTGAACCACGTAAATATACATCAAGTGAAGATAATTGAAATGATTTAGGGAAAAATTAAACAACAAATTTGTAAAAAAGGTGTAAGGATCTTAAGTTTTACTAACGTTTATTTTATTTTAAATCTTTACTATCACTTCTTATTTTCTACTTCCGGCCAGAATTATAAGCGTTAAGGATTTTATGCAAAGTTTGTCTGGCGAACGCCAAGTATTTAAGTGTGGCCTTTTTGCCGAGCGAAAGAGAGGAAGCAGTGAGTTCGAAGCAGGCCGCTTACCTTAGAAGTTACGCAGTTGCTATTGCCTTCCAGGCCAGAGGTTTTAATCCTCTTAATAAATTAAACGTATTGTAGTGTTCACAGTCTCTGTGCTACATACGCTTCCTGTTATTATAAGGCCAATCTTCCACGTGTATTATTCTAAAGTTAAATTAGAGTTTAGTTTTATTTTGATATCTTTTACGTTAGACCCCGAGTGGAGGGTCATTGTATTCCGAAGTACGGAAGTCATTGTATATAAAGAAAAATAAAGGGTTTTGTATACCCTTCGTCTGTATCCTGTCTACTTACTACAATTAGTGAACATAGCTTTAGTAAGCTCTCTGTTCCTAGTCAGGTCATTGTATGTTTCCGAAGAAGGTTAGAAGAAACATTGAACCTGATAAAGGAAGAAGATAAAAGTCTTCATTTTCTTCAAGACAGCTATAAATCCGTCGACTGCTGAGTTACATAATACCGCACGGCCGGATTTCAAGAAAGATTATTTTCAAGAAAGAAAAATACGGAAAAGTTTCTAAAGTAGGTAATGATTGTCAATAAGCATTCCAGGGGACATGGGCTTCTATGGGGCTAAACAGAAGAAAATTATTTCGAATTATTCTAGTAATAGGAAATCTCCAAGCTCTCAGTTGCACAACCCATCCCACTAGGAATAGGGCCCACCAGCGGCCGAGCGGTAAAGTCGTTGAACAGTGGTAGTTCGGTCCGAGGTTCGAATCCCGCGAATGGGCTGGCTGCATGGGCGTTTTCGTGGTTTTCCCCATGTGTAACGTGTATACGAGCCAGTTTCCTTAGAAAGTCCTCCGCGAAGGCATCCCTCCCCTTAGGCAGATAGCGTTCGAGGCTTTTCCATAATCACACACATACACCCGCTAGGAATAGAGACCATATGAAACTAACAGTATTCATCCCTTTTATCTACATGGCTTTTAGTAATGTAAATAATGGAAGAAAATTATTCCCGAAATAGGTTTACATTGCCATTCAAAAAGAATTAAAAAAATATTAAATTAAAAAAAAAGCCTCCCACAAAAATTTAATCTTTATTCAAATATATATTTATATGAAACTGATTAATTAACTGTAAATAAATAATTAGTAAAAATAAACGAAACAAATTTTTCATTTTTCAACTTTAATTGCCGCACTGCGTCCTCATAGATTGCGACGTTGTCGCACTTGCCAAAAACTTTGTTCTAATAGAAATATTTATCGCCTACTATTATAAAAAACTAACGCGATTTTAAGTTATTAGTATTTCGCAGCATAGGTAAGCAATAAATAAATTGTAAAACTTATATGAAAAATTCTGTTTGCATATAATTTACACCATCGGTCTCTGATACGGCGCTACAGCGGAAGTGTGACGTTAACTTAGGTGTTTAAGGGTTAATTAACAAATCTCACACATTCTATTTACAAGGATAAAAATGCTGAGATAAAAATAGTACATTTTTACAGCGCAACTAAAATTTCGAAGATAATTTAGTAAAATTTTTGACACTTTCTAAAATCTATCAACTATACTCAAGTAAAGCCATTGGCTAGGCATGGTATGAAATATTAGCTACTCTCGCAGAACCTTTAACATTTTCTCAACATTTGTTAAAATATTTTGTCAGGTTCCGAAAGTTATGGAAATGAACACTATTCTTTAGAACGGTTAATGACAAACGTCTGACATACGATCCGTGTCATTTCTGTAGAAACAAGGATCTTTACGGTCTTAGATGAAGACAGACGGACAAATCAGTTTAAAAAAGGCTTTAAAGAAGATTTTCGATGGACTAGGTTGTCAAGAATCGGTCAATTAAAGCATGATTTACATAAGCCATTAGAAGTGAGGCAGTTTTGCAGGAAATTACTTTTCAAATAACGTCATTCTGGAAATAATCATCTGCAACCGAGAAGAGCGTGAAGTCGTTGAGCTCGAATAGCCCATTACACACCGAGAAACTGAAGCAGTAAACTATCAGTCGTTTGGGAAAGCGATTTTAATTAAATTTATTCTTCTCAGGAACAAGACACAAGATCCGACTGTAAAAATAAACGTGCTATGCAATATCGAGAGCAGTTTGCGTTTATTTTGATATGCTTTCCATACCTTCAACATATAAAAAAACACTAAAGATCGAACAAATATTTTGTGTAAAAATAGGAATGGTTTTAAATGAAGACATAATTCATTAAATTAATTAATTTTTGGGCAGTTTCCCATGCATTTTAAAAGAATGCACTTATTTACATAAAAAAAGGGAGGAATATCAGATCACAATACATGTCATTATTCCGCTGCTTATTCAGGGTTTGAAAAGTCCAAGTAGGCTACTTTGATTATCTAAATCCAATTATTTATTCATCAGTGCAGTCTTAATTAATGTAAAAATATTGCTTTTTATATTTTTACTCAGGTTGCTTATCGTTCTCAAAATCACACAACATACACGGTAACTCCTGAAAAGATTATAAGGTATTTCTCCCCGCCTTCTTAGCACGCCTTCGTGGTGTAACGGTAGCACACTCGGCGCGTATTCGAGAGGTTCGAGTCCCGGCGAGGGCATTGCCCATTTTTCATGTCTCTTGCTTCAAAAAACCCTAATGTCTCTACAAGATGACTCATGAAAAGTTAGCACATTTAACAAAGTTAGCTATCTTTCGTGAGACATATAGAGGAAAGTTTATATTTTCCTCCATATGTCTCTCGAAAGAGAGCTTCTTCTAAAGACATTTTATGTAAAACTCATGCTAATTTTTTATGAATATTCAAATGAATATTTTCCCGTTAAAACAAATATTTTTAATAAAGAATCACAATGCAGCCGTGATGACAATACCCAAGAGTAACTTAAACATATTCTAGTTTTCCTTAAAACATCTTCGATGAAAGCAGCTCTCTCAAAAAGCAGCCCTGGCGTTCTTCACCAACAAGTAACAAAAGTATTGTAACCCTCTTTAAAAACAGACGAAAAAAAGGAAAAAAAAAAAAATCAGTTTAAGATCCCCCTCCCCATAAAAAAAGTGTTCAGCGAAACAATTAGGAGATTTTCATTTTCATTTAATGCCTGCTTATTAACGATCAGAATTTTAATTAAAATACAGCATTTTTTAAATTATGCAAACACTGAAATTAAAGAACAACGATAGGACCTCATACTGCTTTATCAGTTCTTTCTTTTGCTAAAAGGAATTGCATATAAATATTACTTTTATTATAATTAAAAAAGGTAACATTTATGTAAACTTTCCTAAAAGAATAAGGATACCATAAGGATACCATTACTTTTTTTTCACATTTATGCTTTGAAAGTTTTATTAGAAAACTTCTACTCATTTCTGCCTATTCTAAATCTTAGAGGAATTAAGAATATTTGCCTGAAAAAACATAGTTGATAGGTACAAACTTTTCGAAGCTTTATAGCTAAAGCCGCAATATAAAATTCTCATAATACATGAACTATATGATTTTAAAAATTAGTCCTTTAAATTCATAAGTATCTTAATCACTGTTAGTTACAGACGGACAAATCAGTTTAAAAAAGGCTTTAAAGAAGATTTTCGATGGACTAGGTTGTCAAGAATCGGTCAATTAAAGCATGATTTACATAGGCCATTAGAAGTGAGGCAGTTTTGCAGGAAATTACTTTTCAAATAACGTCATTCTGGAAATAATCATCTGCAACCGAGAAGAGCGTGAAGTCGTTGAGCTCGAATAGCCCATTACACACCGAGAAACTGAAGCAGTAAACTATCAGTCGTTTGGGAAAGCGATTTTAATTAAATTTATTCTTCTCAGGAACAAGACCCAAGATCTGACTGTAAAAATAAACGTGCTATGCAATATCGAGAGCAGTTTGCGTTTATTTTGATATGCCTTCCATACCTTCAACATATAAAAAAACACTAAAGATCGAACAAATATTTTTCATGTCTCTTGCTTCGAAATACCCTGTCTCTACAAGATGACTCATGAAAAGTTAGCATACTTAGCAAAGTTAGCTATCTTTCGTGAGGCATATGGAGAAAAGTTTATATTTTCCTCCATATGTCTCACGAAAGACAGCTTCTTCTAAAGACATTTTATGTAAAACTCATGCTAATTTTTTATGACCGGGAAAAACAAATATTGCCGAGAAAACAAGTGATCCAATAAAATTCCAGTACGATAATTATAATTTATCTTTAAGTATGTCTAAAAACTAGTAGAATTTTGTGATTTTTTAAAAAATATTTTAATATGAACTTACAGTTCTTGAAAATGAAAGTATATTTCTTAAAAACGAGAAAGTGAACTTAAGGAATTATACTTAACTATTACGAAAAATATAATAAAAAAATAAAGTTGGAGAAAAGTTAAATAGATGAATAGTTTGATATTTATTTAGCTTAACGAATATCGATAAATTTATTATTAATTATGAAATAATCAAATAATCTCGAATAACTCTTAAAAAGTAAAAAATAACAATCAATATATGAAGAATAAAACGTTATGTAGTTAAACGGTTGAAAAGAAGTTAAAAGTAATAATTA